CAGAGCGATTCCACGTTTAAAGATCCTATCTACGATCACAGCGGAAAACTTAAGTAAGACATATGGGGCAAACTGTTGTATCCCTTCTTGCTTTAAACATTGGTTGATCTTGCTTCTCTTTCAAGAGTATGTGATAGATTACAGTCTAGTCATTTCACATCTCAGTGCATTAACGCAGACGAGAATCTAAAAAGCTCTAATGCGTTACATATACTTTCGAACTTTTCTCTCCAATATTAGGAATAATATTGTGTAAAGAAAATCGAGCATCGCTACGGTCGTTGTCGGCTCTCGCTGATCGAACAATCCCTCATCCTTCTTGTCGCTGCTGTCTCTCCCGCCGCGAACTATCTTGTTCGAATGCAATAGCGTTCAGTCTGTGTGTGCGATAAATCGCCTACACGTATGGTCTTTCGGTGTCATAGGCAGGGTTCATACTGAGCCGCACAAAGCGGCAAGGTGGCACCTCCAGCACAGCGCTCGAACTGTGCCCGAACTGTGCTGCGTGCGCAGTTGCAGTATTTTGACCGTTTACAACGGTTTTCCTTCCTGATTTCTCTCTGAGCCTTATTCCTCTACCCCGCTTCCCTTTTTGGTCAGCAGAACTTCGAACTCAAAGCGGGATTGAGGAATAAGCGCTGTTTTGCTCTGTATGTCCGATTATACGTGCTGTTCCGCTCGTTCATCGTGTTTTCGTTTTATTCGTGCACAAATCTATTCTATTTGTTTCCAGGAGGCTGCTGCGATATCTTCGCAGGCATTGTTCGTGAAGGAGAATCTGTTGGTGAGTACCACTTTTTGCTCCCAGCCCCTCTCCCAACCCTTTTCTTTTTCCATTTCATTGTTTTTTTTCGTTCTTCCTCTCACTCCGCTTCAAGTTCGAAGCTCCACACAACAAAAAGGGAAGCGGGGTAAAAGAAAGAACGAAAAAGCAATGAAATGGAGGAAAAAAGAGGCTGGGGATACATGAAGCATAACCGCGTTCATTCTTTTACCCCGCTTCAAGTTCGAAGCGCTACACAACAAAAAGGGAAGCGGGGTAAAACAAAGAACGAAGAAACAACGAAATGAAAACGAAAAGCTAGGAGCTTAAAGGCAGTGTCCCGGCAGATTTTGCACCTCCACCTTTTTGCATGTTTTAGCCTTTTCGCCACATAGAATCCGAACTTGAGCTTTGAACGGGCTGAAAAGGCCGATTTTGGGGCGTTTTCCTAATTCCAGAAAAACGGCTTGGACGAGGTTTTTAATGGAAAGTTGGGGAGGTCCTCAAACGAAGACCCTGCTGTAATTCTTGCTTTGGATAGCATGCATCATCTCAGACAATCACAGGCTCTCAGCGGGCCCCACCAAAAGCGTCGTTGCCTTATCGCAGCCACTGTCGCTTCCCGCTGAAAGCTTTGTCGGAGCTTTTTCGGAGCTTGTCGGAGCGGGCTCGCTGCCCGCTGAGCCCGCTCCGACAAGCTCCGACAAAACTCCGACAAAGCTCTCAGCGGGAAGCGACAGTGAGGCGATGAGGCCACCGCGCTTTTGGTGGGTCTAGGCGGTGGCTTTGTGGCTGCCGGCTGAGAGCATTTGATTGTCTGAGATGGGGGAGAGCGCTCGTGGGGTCCCGCGCCGAACAGGCGGGGAAGGCCGTCCAAGCGCGCGCCAGTTGGGGTTGCGCGCGCCGGTTCAAGGGCCATTTTCTCGGCCCAGGGGGAACATCACCCAGCCGGAGTACGCCTGGAGGTCGATGGGATGACCAGGAACCCCACCACACTTACATCCCCCAGGACCCGAATCTGCCGGGACACTGCCTTTAATAGTGGCCAACAGATTGATGGAATTTCCTGCTCCTCTGCACTACTTCTGCCTACCTTCAAGAAAAATGCCTACGAAAATGTTGCAGCGGCCTCCTGGAAACAAATGGAATACTTTTATGCAAGAATAAAACGAAAACACAATGAACGAGCGGAACAACACGTATAATCGGACATACAGAGCAAAACAGCGCTTATTCCTCAATCCCGCTTTGAGTTCGAAGTTCTGCTGATCAAAAAGGGAAGCGGGGTAGAGGAATAAGGCTTAAATGAGAGAAACCAGGAAGGAAAATTGTTGTAAACGGTCAAAATACTGCAACTGCGCATGCAGCACAGTTCGGGCACAGTTCGAGCACAGTTCGAGTGCTGTGCTGGAACTGTGCCGCTTTGTGCGGCTCAGTATGAACCCTGCCATACGGTTGCTACTGTGCTGCACCGCTATTAGCTGCCTTACTTTCGAGTTTCGCGCACTCGTGAGATGAAAACATTAAAGCATGACAGTATACTAACTCGACCTTGAAGTCTGTGCCTGAAAAGTGCTCTGTAGTAGAAGAAAATATTTTACGATATCCTCATTATTTTGCAAAACAACAAAGTCTTGTGCGTGCTTCTACTCAGAAAATCGCAAAAGTTCCGGGGCAAACTGAGCTTCTAAGACTTCCGGGGGAACACACTCCTATTGGACATCCAGGTACGGGCAGGGCCCATGGCACAGGGCTACACCACACGGACCATTCGGAGCGTCTGCACCGGAAGTCTCAAAAGCTCAGTTTGCTCGGAAGTTTTTTGCGATCGTCTGAGTATAACTTCAGTGCCGCGCTCTGGATGGTACCGCATATATATCACTAGCTGGCTTACCCGGCTCCGCCGTATGTTCCGAATAGAAAATTCCATTTCTTAACCGATCCGGACCAAACTTGGCACACATACGCATTGTTCCCCGGCGGGTGTCACACTTCACTTTTCGTTATCGATCGACGTCGATTTTATCGATTTTTTGCAAAATTTGAGCTAGGGGGCTGGAATTTGGCAGAGGGGTGTAATCGAGCATGCTGATCACCCCCACGGGGGTGATCAGCATGCTCGATTACCCCCCTGTGTCAACTCCCAGCCCCGTAGCTCGAATTTTGCAAAAAATCGATAAAATCGATATCGACCGATGACGAAAAGTGGCCTATGACACCCGCCGGGGCCCGATGTGTATGTGTGCCAAGTTTGGTCCGGATCGGTTCAGAAATGGAATTTTCTATTCGGAACATAAGTACACACAGACAGACAGACAGACAGACATACAGACAGACAGACATACAAACAGACATTCAGCTTTATATATAAGATTCATTCTTTAAGAGATTCGAAAATGTTTCGCAGATATCTCAAACAAGCACGATTGTGCGAGTCCATACTTCGATTTATGTTACTACAGGAAAAAGCATGGTAAGAGTTGTTAAGACAATGTGTGCAAAGCGATTTCAATCCTTTCCAATAGAAGGGATAATATCTTGGGTGCATTCGGACATGTTAAGATACTGCTCCACATGCTGCTGCAGTGAGTTGCAATCCCATCTAAGCGGAGATTGGATTGCCGGGCGCCCCTTCGCAGTGCTCGGTCGTTTCAGAGATACAGTACAGTCTGACCCAGCTTTGAGTAGGCTTAACATTTCACGTGGAGCAGCGCGTCTGCAGCTGAACGCTTTGCGGGGCAGGAGGCAAGCTGAAGGCACAGCGATAGCATTTTGCCAAGCAAAGTCTGAGGAGGAAGAAGAGGCGCAGACGTGGGAACCATTGCGAAGCGGATGCCCGTCTCCAATCCCGCCTATGGGTGCGTTCATACTGAACAGTTCGAGCGCAACGCCCAAACAGAGCGCTGTGCAGGAACAGTTTGAAAGCTTAATGCTGGGTTCATGCTGATCTGTAAGTTCCGGAAGTTCTCGAACTGTGCGCTGTGCTAGAAATGTTCAGGAACTTACGGATCGGTATAATCTGCCTAAACTGGGTTGAGCTCACTGTACATCGTGCTAAAACCCTTGTCTGCACCTTTTATCATTTCCCTCATCTTTTGCCTGGCAAAATTTCAATGCGTGCGCTCACGAAGCCTCCACCGATGCCGACGCGCTGCTTCAAGTGAAATGTTTCGTTCGCTCCGGGTTGAAACATACTTTACCTGCGTCACGTATCGTACACGTTGACAATTTGAAAAACATGCGACGAGAGTTTTGGCTAAGGCACCTCTACCCAGATTCTCGACTTCCATATTTTTTGTCACTTCTAGGCCTTCTGAAGGCCCTGATCGAATATAGAGTCGAGAGTCTGCGAAACCCCCAAAACCCCCGTTTTCGAGAAGGGCGCAATGCAAGTCGCGGGCTGCGCCGCTGATATACGCCGGGTGCTGAAATACGTCATTCGCAGCTACGCAACTTAGGGATTTGCCTAGTGCAGGAGCCCCCGCTAGTAGGCCATCATAACCTCATCAACCCCCACTTTGACGATGCGGTACCTTTTAGCCGAGATGTTGCGCGTTACATCGCGCCAGGGTTCGGCAGGTCGAGCAGAGGAGAGGTAGCAGTTGCGGAGTGAACGATACCAAGCGACTAAAGTATACATACAAGCGCATGCCTGTTATAACTAGCGCGAAATGATTGAATATGTCTTTTGCAGGAGAGCTGCAATGCCACGTGTGCACGAGAAACTGGCCACGTTTAGTAATACAGCATGAGGCAGATCTTTGTTCTTATCTTACTTTTTGCTTATCGTAACAGATTTGACAACTATGAAGGAATTGTTCCATAAATATAAAGTTTGTTGGTTGGAAGTCTTAATAACAAGATTTGAAAGATAAACTTGAAACACTTGAGGAATCAAAATAATTAATATGTTGTTAGTTTTAAAGGAACTGTAGGGTCGAATTTCGCCACACAATTCAAAATAGTGTTGAGACTATTTTCGTCAGTTTTCTCTTATATTCTGTCCCAGCATCGGATCACCGATTCCACTTTTGATTCATTTTTTTATCACATTCTCATCACAAACATTCCTAATCGATAGTCTCCCCGCTTGTTGATGTTATCCGTGGTTATTTCTATCTGTACTGTTCTGTTCACAACGTGAAATATACAGATCATACTGTTGGCTATCTATAGAAATAGTGCGACTGTCATGTCCTATGGAAAAAAATCCATTTCTTTGCGGACTGTGATATTTAGCAAAAAATTTCTTGGACGAAAGGGGTCTTTTGCTACAGATGAATTGAAGTACCTTTTTTTGGACTTTATTAAATGCCCAGCATTTTTTAGTTGTATTGTAGTTCAAAATCGTAATCACTGTCTTTTTGTGATCTCGTTCAGAGTAGTAATGTCTATTTGATTTGCTACTTCATTAGATCGAAAATCCGCTTTTGTAATCGGGAAGTATGTATGTCGCCATTGTACTGCTTTCTCAAATATCGATTTAGTTCATGGACTTCGCGTCTATTCTTGAAGTGACAGCCCTTGACTGGGTACTAATAGCGCTTCTGCTAGTCCTTGTCTACAGATGGATGCGAAGACAAAGGGAGCCAGAAGTGACACCGCCAAAGCCACGTATTGTAGGTCTTAGACATCTTCCTTTCTCATTAACGAATTAATTCGAGAAATATTGCTTGAATCAGTCTCAAAATTTTTCAATGACTAAATATAAAAAATTCCCTTCAGGTTCCACCCCTTCCTAAGCAAGACATGACTCTGAAAGAGTTGCGAAAATACGATGGAGTGCAGGATGAGCACATACTGTTTGCTTTGAATGGAACGGTGGGCTTTTTGCTATTATTTCTGTTCATATCGGCTGAGCTGTGCAAAGATAACTTTTTGTTTGCTGTTTGCTATCTCCTGCAAAGATGTAATTGATAATGTCCATATTCAGATCTACGATGTATCACGTGGCCATAATTTCTATGGCCCTGGTGGTCCATATGGGGCCATGGCTGGGAGGGATGCTACCAGGGCTCTTTCCACCATGAATGTGAAGGACGTGAGAGACGAATGGGACGATCATGAAGATTTAACAAGTGATCAGAAGGTGAGCAAAGCTCATTGCTTTTATTTGTCCTTTGATTTATTGCCTTATTCATTATATTAGGAAACCGCAAACGAATGGGAGTCGTCTTTCAAATACAAATACCCAACTGTAGGTAAATTAATCAAGGAAGGGGAAAATCGCACTGACTACGGAGGAGCAATGTCATCGGTTCCAGCGTAAGAACTAGATTTCTCGTCTTTGCTTTGGTACATTTACATTGCCGTAAATTAATCTCAGCTAAGTATGGTATACTTACAGACATCTTTACTGGTATAATAACCCATTAAAAGTGATGAACCATTAACCCAGTTTTTGTCTCTTGAATGTGTCAAATATGTTTTGTTATGCAATCTTTCAATAAAGTTGCGAATCTTTTGTTGCACTTGATTATGATTGAATGTTTGTCGTTCCATATCTTTGATATCCATGACTATCGATGACATCCACATAGTTTACATTAATCATGAAGTCCAACTGTTTCAACATATCATTGAGAGTCTCTGAATCGAATTCCAGCACAAACGTCGCAGCTTGAAATAATGGCTTTTATGTATCCGTTTCACGCACCATCACTTCCATCAAAATGGGACGATCCGCTATGGGTTCATGAAGTTTGTCCATCTATGGAGCATTCATTGTTGGCTATACTCGAACAGAAGAGAATGAATCAGGTCTGTCGGTTCGGAATTTTGTGCGCTTTGTTTTTTGATGACTTTGGAGCGCGAAAGAGAGGGAACAGTCCGTAAACCTATGATGAGTTTTGCTAATGAATCAAGGAAAAAAATAGGGTCGTAATTGGTTTCACCTCAACTTGTCTCTCAGATACATCTCTTTTGATACACAAAGGATCAACAATAATCTTATATATAAAGCTGAATGTCTGTTTGTCTGTCTGTATGTCTGTCTGTATGTCTGTCTGTATGTCTGTCTGTGTGTACGTATGTTCCGAATAGAAAATTCCATTTCTGAACCGACCCGGACCAAACTTGGCACACATACACTACGGGCCCCGGCGGGTGTCATAGGCTACTTTTCGTCATCGATCGATATCGATTTTATCGATTTTTATCGATTTTTTTGCTGAGTTCACCTACGGGGCTGGGAGTTGGCACAGGGGGGTAATCGAGCATGGGGATTCCGGATACAATATTGGTTTTCAGGATTATCGATTACTTTTATCGATTTTATCGATTTTTTTGCAAAGTTTGAGCTACGGGGCTGGGAGTTGGCACAGGGGGGTAATCGAGCATGGGGATTCCGAATACAATATTGGTTTTCAGGATTATCGATTACTTTTATCGATTTTATCGATTTTTTTGCAAAGTTTGAGCTAGGGGGCTGGGAGTTGGCACAGGGGGGGTAAACGAGCATGCTGATCACCCCCAAGGGGGGTGATCAGCATGCTCGATTACACTCCTGTGCCAAATTCCAGCCCCCTAGCTCAAATTTTCAAAAAATCGATAAAATCGAAAAAGTAATGGACGATCCTGAAAACTAATATTGTGTTCGTAATCAGCATGCTCGATTACCCCCCTGTGCAAACTCCCAGCCCCGCAGGTCAAACTTTACAAAAAAAAATCGATAAAATCGATAAAAGTAATGGACGATCCTGAAAACTAATATTGTGTTCGTAATCAGCATGCTCGATTACCCCCCTGTGCAAACTCCCAGCCCCGCAGGTCAAACTTTACAAAAAAATCGATAAAATCGATAAAAGTAATGGACGATCCTGAAAACTAATGTTGTATTCGGAATCCCCATGCTCACTTCCCCCCCTGTGCCAACTCCTAGCCCTGTAGGTGAACTCTGCAAAAAAATCGATAAAAATCGGTAAAATCGACATCGATCGATAACGAAAAGTGGACTGTGACACTTGCCGGGGCCCGAAGTGTATGTGTGCCAAGTTTGGTCCGGATACGGCGGAGCCGGGTAAGCCAGCTAGTCATACATACAGCGACATCGTGTCCATTTGCTCTGATTCAAAGCCTTGCTGCATGGTCATGAGCACCGAATAGCTGAGTGGGTAATTGTGACGATGGACTTTCCCGCATTACGATTTGTATCACCAACATTGGGTGTATGTCAAAAAGCGTAATTTTTATCGCGATGGACATGTAAGCACATATTTGGTGGTTTACAGGGTTCTATAGGCATCCAAAATTTCCAAAGGAAGTACCTGACCAGATTCGTATAGAGGGAAGATTGGACTTCTGATAACGTGGAGAAACTGTTAAACCGTCGCTATCAAAAGTGGCAACGCTCTGAGCCGACTCCGCCTCTATCGAATCTGGGAGCAGATGATAGCTGCTTTGGTTGTGCATTCTTCCATTCTGGAATAGATTCAAACGGTTGAATTGGGTAAATAGTTGGAAATAAAGCTGGAAATGCAACTGTGAGTAAACCCGTGAATATTTCAGTCAGTTTTTCATCAAATCCCGCGAACTCAATGAGTGGAAAATCTGTGCAGTCAGTAAAGTAGTTGTTTAATTTTTTTTTTGAAGACTATAGCTAGAATTAGGGTTTCAAGTCGGCGACAGGCGGAGAAATCGCACATCTTGATCATTTCCTGCTGACGTCATATATCGTCCCAAACATAGAACTTGTCTGATTGCAGCTTTCTCCCTTTCCCGGTTCCATTCCATACCCCGCTCTATTTGTCTAGTAAGTGCACATTCTTGACCAAAACATTCGCCATCCAGCCAAGGTTGTTTTCGTAGACAACATTCTGGGAAGAACCCTCTTCAGTGTAAAGTGTGGCTAATATATTCTCATCAATAGCCAAACGAAGCGGTTCAAAGTTATAATTTACCTTTGCATTTATTTTGTCGCATAAAAAAGTTGTGGTGCGAAAAATCAAGTTTCTAGAGCAAGGGGCAGCTGTATATACATCGCAGCGTTTGCAGCCATGCAAAGCTGTGTACCATTCGTGCAGTCACAGCACATGATCAATTATCGGCACAGTACAAACAGTACAGTTTCAATCCACGTTGTGCCCGGCCTGACGCGATTTCGACCGGTAGTCTTCTCGGTAAATTTTGCTCTGGGACTACTCTTCGTGCTGAAAACTAGTGTCCACTTCAACGGTAATCTCTCAGAGTACGATAGAAATACCGTGCTCCGAGAGGAGTGAAAGGCAGTCTTTTGGCTCAGCTTGCATTGGCTGAGTTGACCTAGATGACTGTGATCGAAATGGTGCTGCTTTCAAGTGGTAAAAATAGAAGTTCATTTCGTCTTCGTGGCTTTTTTATGATATTGAGGAAGAAAAACTGTTCGAAGTTAGCAGCAAAAAAAAAACTTTTTTCTCACCCAGTTTACGCCTTTTTCAGCGCGCTAAAGATGAAATGAGATATATCAATGATGGGTCTTGTGGTCTTCGAACTGATGATATGGATGAGGAAGAAGAAGACAGCGGCGACGACCATTAACACATCATGGTGATCTGGATTGTCTGCTGTCAGCGTGGTCTGCAACTACACAACAGTCCGACAGTTGCCGAAGAATGGGTTCAAATTGGCATTTTTGTCATGCTTCTCTGATATCTCTTGTCCTTTCTATGCTTTTCTCGCAATAAATGTTTGCTAAAGAGATTTTTGCAATTTGATAATTAGTAGCCGTCTGTCGACTTCCTATATCATAGTCGCAGAATCGTCTATATTAAAATTACACTTTTAGACTAAATAGAGAACAAGTGCTCCAGGACTCTAAAGCTAGCCATATCACATATTCTCATCATTTGTATCCTACGCGTCATTTGATGGGAAATGGATCGAACACCTTATCAGCGCAGGTGATTTCTCTCGTCGTTGACGTAATTCCTTGTGCTAATCGTTTGCAAACTCGTCGGGCTTATCTTATTATACCTTTTTAAAATCTATCATTTCAGTTATTTTTAACCTTTGAGGTTCCTTACATTTTTTATCGTAGGTATCCACCGAGAAGAAACTTTCACCCCGTTAGCGCTCAAGGGGCTCCGCGCTACTCGGGTGGAGCTGGCTCTTCGGGAGTCGCGAAGCCACGAATATTTGAAAATGCGGTTGGTGAAGCACAAAATCAAAAAGGCAGTTCGCCGTTACAGTCACGACCTCGAATTAATTCGGAGTCGGAAAAGGTTATTATCAAAAGAATCTATTGTTTGACAATACCTAATCGCTTTGTACCACTTGACGATCTGTGGGTTCAATTTCTGTGTTAATGTGCTTTTTTGATTTACAATCTGATTAGAGCACCTGTTTTTAGGCTCAACACAATCGCAAATCTTACTCGTTTGAAAATTTTCCTATCGAAATGGATAACAGTGAGATCATAATTTGCGAAAAATATGCGGTGAGTCAATTGCACTAATAAGCTTTTCGAGATGCGTTATTCAAGCTTCAGGTGTCGCTTCTCCAACAACCTCGTTTTAACGCGATTTTCATACGCGCAGGATGGAGCGGTCGTCGAGAAATTACAATGTGCGGCATGATTGATTTTGGCAGCTCAGAAAGCGTTCTCAGACATGCTGTCAAAGAATGTGTCAACAAGGTTGAACAATGCGATTATCTTGGTCAGTTTTGATAACTCTTACTTTTTTCTAGAAACTACATAAGTTTTTTTTATGTTAAAATGATTAATCACATCGTCGTTGTAGTACGACAGGGAGAGCGCTATCCTATCAGCGAATGTTCAGTTGAGTATCTCAACAAACATCATATTGCAGTCATGGATAAGGTATCATTTTGATTACAGCTGCATTCTGTAATTTTCTCGGTTCAGGTCGATGGAAACTTTCCCCATGCTGTATACTGGTGCACATTATGTGACTATCATATGTCTAGCATACAACATGTGCGAAGTCACTTTGAACAGCACGAGCATTTCGCAGACGAACAAGTGGGTTACTGTTGTGAAGCATATTTTGCCTTCAAGGTGACTATGAGGTGCATGAACCCCTCTACAAAACATCAAATGTGTTTGTGAATGGTTTTATGAAAATCTGTCCCAAACGTCGAGAAGTTGTCCCAGTAGTGCTGAAGAAGTACTGTTTTCGCATATTTAGAGTATTCGGACTATCTTGCGATTCTTAGGTTTTGATGGTCTGCGATGTTCAAATCATGTGATTAACCTATGAAGAGTATAGTTTCATTTACTGTATAACATCCACCAATGATGCGCAAGTGAGCAATTACTGAGCCGCAGCCAGTTTTCTTAGGAGACGAGGATAATGAGCAGGGCATTAACACCACGCATTGTGAATCTCGTTCAAATCTTCTTGTGATGTTGTGTATTATAAATTTTGGGAAGGAGGACTCGAGTTTGACAGCTCTACTGTTAACTCGTTTCTTTTCTTCGACACTGTCATCGGGCGATAGGTGAAGTGGGATTATACAATTTTCTGATCGTAGGCTTTGAAGTCACTCCTTAGTTCTGGTTACTTTGCCCTTTTTTCATCCCTAAGGCTGCGTTCAGACTGATTTCGAAATCCGGGAACAGTTCCAGCACAGCGCTTGAAATGAGCGCTGTGCTGGAACTGTTCCCGGATTTCGAAATCAGTCTGAACGCAGCCTAAAGTAATCATGGTTGTTATAGAGGATGAGGGAAAGAGTAGACCTTCTTGAGAAGTTACCGCAAATGACTAGCGGCCAAATGGAAGCCATCAATATGGCGATCAGTCAGCTTCTCGAAGAAAGTGATGAGGTAAGATAAACCTTTCTTGTCTGTTTCAACGTAAGTGTAGACTTTGGATTGATAATTCAACTTGATCGTTTCGATTCAGGTTTACAGACGAGGACCCATTTGGCAGGACCGGATGGAGTTGATGGACAAAGTTGAGAAATTGCTCAGTCGGTGTGTTTTCGAGAAGCTGCGAGTGAGAGGTAGTTGCAAAAATCTGAAATGACTAGTTTGGTGATTCAAATGCTGTTTAGGCCATGTTCGACCGTACGGCTCTACAGTGACCAAAACTGCGATCGCTAGTAGCGATCTCAACGTTACTATCGACATTCCTGGTGTTGACTGTAGCGATGCAGTAGAGACTATGAAAGAAGTGGCCGATCTGTTAAATCAGGGAGCAGGTGAGAATTATTTTTGAATTTTTCTTTGCTGAGATCTCTTACAAGCTGCCGTTGGACTTGCTTATGCGTAAATTAATGTTCAGATGGCTTTGAAGCCCGTTTCTTGGCGCAGACGCCCATGTGCATTCGTTTGATTATGTCGGATGTATGTGTTCGTATTACCTGGAGACGCGAGAGCGGCCTCAAACTTGGAAGTTTACTTGCTACTTACGCAGAAGTTCGCCCTCAGTATCCAGAACTTTGCAGAGTTGTCAGAAAATGGGCTGAGGTAATTCATTCCTACACAGGCCTTGGCCCCATAAAAAGTAAAGGACAAAGAGTTTGGCGTGTTCTATTTTCTTGGGTTTTCCCAGAACTACTTCACAGTTGAAGATAACCTGCTTGCCGACTTTCTACGATGACATAAGAGTTTCCCAAATTAACGGTCTGGTCCGCTCGTATTGCTTTGATATCAATTTAGCTGTTCTCAGCAGGAGTAAAGGGCTTGGTTGCTTAGACTTGGGCTCCTCCGGCCATAGGCAGCTCTTGCGCGGCACCCTTTTGTGTATGGTGACGATATTAGAGTAATTTAGATTTCTGGCATATATTCTGTTGAAAAGCGACAAGGTGGCTTGACTAGCTATGGTTTCGATTTGATGGTACTCTACTTCTTACAACAAAGAGGTCTAATGCCTTGCCTTCACGAAGTAAGTATTTTTTGGGCACGACTCAAGTTTGTAGAGAAAACACTCACTTTTCACTATATTTTTAGATGAGACCAATGATGGTTCACGAGAAGAGAAATCCACACGTCATAGATGAGTATTTCGATAGAAGAGATCTTTACGAAAATGATATCACAAAAATCGTAAGTAGGGCATCATTTTTCTTGATATCATTCATATCAACTTCATTAGACTGAGAGTTTTGGAGCATTGCAAGAACCTTGGAATCTTGCTCTATTGTTTGTGGAGTTTTTGCGCTTCTTTGCCTCTCGCGATCATCTGAACGAAGTTGTACAAGTGGTTACGAAAAATGTCATGACAAGGGACAAAACTCGTTGGAGCAGAAAATTATTGCAGATTGCAGGTATCTTCATTTCCAATTTTTGTTCATTTCAATTTATCGATGTTGTTTTCCAGATCCATTCAGAACTGAAAATGTGGTCACGTTTACTAGAGCCTATCAAGCATTCTTCTTCAACTGTTTCCTCAAGTCATACCTGTACTTTGCTATTCCACAAACAACAACTGGCCCAATGGTGGATATCAAATTGTATCAAAAGGTAAGATTCCTTTTGTTTTGCAAATTTTGCAGATGCAGACTTTGTCTTAGATGGCCGAAAGTCCACGAAAAAGGAGAGGTAAACGAAAGAGAGGAGGCCCTTCTACGCTCGGTAGTGAGGTTAGAGGCGAAAGAAGATTTGGCGGTGGTGCAGAACGCACTCCTCTCACAGTAATGGAAAATGCTGCTTCTACTAGCATTGACGTCAGTTTGAGTACCCTTTATACCTTCTTTTTGTTATAATCTCTCGATGAATATCAACATTTTTGGTTTGTGCCATGCTTGCATGTTATATCTGATTGTGCTATAATTTAGGAGGATGAGTACACGACCGCAGCGGATGCATTAGTCAGCGAAGAGCAGAAAGAAGAAGTCAATCGCAAAATTATGGAGAGCTTGATGGTGAGTATGAACTTCTTCTTACCTAGCAGTTGCTTTGTTTTGCTAGGTGTGTTCTTGCTCGACTGAAGTTCATTCCACAACTTCTGACCTGCACCTTCTCAGTTCATTCATGAGTAGAGACAAGAACAGCCGCCTAGAAAACTTTGGCAATAGGATCAGTAGTTCATTTTGGTCAGAATTTTTGTAATGAACTTTTGTTTTGAGCCGGATCCGGATCTGTTGGACCTATCGCAAGTGGTAATGGACGCGAGAGTTCAAGCTACGGGGCGCAGACAATCCAAGGACGAACAAGCACATCTCAGCATCTCGTGTGTCAATGGCTTACTTCTGCGTGGAGCTAAACAGGATGTGATGAGTCATCTTGTCGCGATAGCGAAAGCAGTTACGAGCAACGATGCAGTTGCTGGTTGCTCTATTGTAGATCTTCCCAACAGACTCTGTGGATCATATAGGTTACCAAGAGGCGAGGCGTTTTTTGTTCCAGAACGTAGCGCTTGTGGTTTTCTTGTCAACAGTCAATGGACAAATAAGGTTCGGGAGGTTAAGAGAGTCAAGAAAGGTATCTGTGAAATTACCTTGCATCTCGCAGCTGACCATTTTCTGAAGATCCTGTATTGTATACAATTATTTGATACATATCCACTCAGAAGACTTCGAGAGCGCGTGGAAGAATTGAAGAATTGGGACAATACGTCTCTTATTGTCATGTTTGGCAACGAGAGTGAACACTCCAATGAGAGAAAACAGTTCAAATTGGCAGAAGTTTGCGAAAGTATAGGCCTCGAAGTGTGGACTGGATATTTCAAAGAAGAATCTCGCACTTTCGTCGCCATCAGGAGTGACAAAAAGTTATTTGAAGTTGATGACTTGGCAGTGGAGGAAATTGATACTCCATTGCTGAAGGAATGCTATGTTGTTAGAGCGGTGGCAACGCTCAATCCAGGAGAAGAACGACAATCAACTGAAGATGAATCCATGTCGAAAGAAGAACAAGTAGATTGTGTGACTGAACAGATGAAAGATGACAAGCGCAAAAGTGAGAAGAAGGTTGAGAGAGCCGAACGACGACGTCAGGAAAAAGAAAGAGCAGCAAAACTTCTGGAAAAGCTCGTGGAAGAGGAAAAGGCAACATTGAAGAAGAGTCTACCAGAAGAGAGTGACAACGATCTGAATGCACTTGTTGATGACCTTATAAGTAAAGTTGAACGTCTCTGCAAGGACCCATGTAACGATGGTGAAAAAATTGACGTGCTATTACAAAATGCAACACCGAAAAGGAAAAGGACCCGTAACAAAGTACAATTCGCGGAAGCTTCTACAAGCAAAGCAGATGTTTCCCGTATGGATGATAAAAATGTGCCGTGCAACAGCCATGGTAAACCTATCGCGAGTAATGGATTGGAAGCTTCAAAACAGTCCGACGATGATGTTAAAAACTCTGATCCTGATATCAAGCTTAGGATGGTAAGATCCTGTGATTAATATGGCTTAGCTGCTTTTGTTTAGTTCAACTTGATTGCTGCTGGCGCAAACTACTCTTACTGGCCTCTATTTGCTTTAACTAATTCAAGGGGGGGGGGGGTTGCTGAATCATAATACCGTTGAACTGCCACGCTTGAAGGCGGCATCCACCCAAAATCCATTCACTCTGGATTACTATTTATCCTAATGGTAGGCCCTAAAAGTAAACCAACCGCGTTGGTCCGGTCCCTATTGTTGCCTACAAAAGGAGATAATGGACCTGATCCTCTTTAGCTCCACCCCCTTTTTTGCGCTCCACGCACCCGCGGATTGCGTGGCGTGTTCCATCATGACAAGCAACGTTGAGAGGCATAGTTTGTGATGTGGCACTATTGCACACGACGAGGTTTCCTGTAGCATACGACGTGGCTAGCGCCGGGGCACTTGTCTATGTCTGCCAAATTAGGGCTTCAGAAAAGGGATTGGATTACCGGAATTTGAACCTCATATCCGAATTTAGCGCCATTGAAAGGCCCGTTAACATAAAAAACATGGAAGACGAAATTGTGGATGTACGCTGCCTTTAAGTTTTCTAATTTACTCTTCTGGCGTCGAAACAGTGTGAATTCAAGAGTCAGTAGTAACGAAGAAAGCAAGCATAGGGGTTTTATTGTATTAGATTGGGTCGCTCCCAAACATCTATATAGGAATTTTGCTACTCTCGAAATCTGATGCATGAAAATGTGCGAAAATCTGCTGCTGTATTCTCTCTCTCTCTTTCTCTTGCCTTTAATGATATCCAAGCAAGCGGATAGGGCCTAGATTCAATGGAGGCGGAGTTACCATTTCAAAATTGATAATGCTTGTGCATACCATAATTTTGCAAAGATTGATTCTCTATACAACAGTCTGCAGCATGCTCCAGTCAGTGTTTACATCGAAACAAAAAGTTTGTCAAAATGCAATGTCCGAGAACTTTACCGCCAATCTAACAAAATCAGTTGTGCAGTAGAACTAGAATGTTTTATCAGCATTTCAGGAAACGTGCTTATTCTACGGTATCCCTCTGAAGGATCTGAATCCTGTCAATGTGGAAATTGATGACGTAGGCGTGTACAGTCGTCGAACTATGTACAAAATTCGAGATACCTATCCTGTGTCTATTAGAAGACCGGTATTGTTGCAAGTTTTTTGTATATTTTCAATCGTTTTCATTTATCTTTCTAGTTGTTCGCCATACTCGAGCGCCTTGAGCTGAATTCTCGTGAATTCAGTGAACGCGACAGAGAATGTGAAGCTATGAAGGAACGACGTCGGCAAGAGATTCGTAGTGCACGTATACGCAAGAAGTTGAGGAAGTACATAGGGACAGAAGTCAAAATTAAGAAGGTGCGTTGAAGTTCCATGTAATTGCATGGTACTAACTGTTTAAGCATAGCCGTGGGAATTTTCAGGTGCAAATGCAAGGTCCGAATCCATTTGACTCACAAGGTGGAATAACGGAAAAAGACTGGTTGCCTGTGGTTAAAGCACAAGACGATGACGATGATGATGACGATGAGCTTGGTTTACCTTATCGGGGTACGAGTTTCAGAAATAGAAAAAAATATGCAAATTCCAGATATTATCCCAGATATTAGGTTGGCTAATAAATAAATTCGTTCTGGGCACAAAACTGTTTTCTGCTCCGCAACTACTACAATGTCTGCCAATTTGTGAATATCGAAGGTTTATCAAAGCAGAAGAAGTGGCTCTTTTTCCGCTTAGGTAAATCCTCAATCCACCAGAATCTGCTCAATGGATCGTTGACTGACTGGTTAATCTAATGCTTCAAGTGTCTTCGTTGTGAAGTCTTTTCGCCCAGATAAGGTTTGGACTCGATTACATCGTTATTGGCTTGGACTGGCTTGAGATGTTGCTGAGAGAACGTTCCTGAAATGCCTTTCCGTACCTCATAGCTATGTTGGAAACTTTCGTGCGGGAGATTTAAAGTCGTGGACTTTTGAACTCTGGAAGTTCTTGTCCTCAGTTTTAAGTATGAATCGTACGTTTGAGTATGAACCGTACGTCGTGTCCGTCTCACTGCGAAGGTGAAGCAGCTCCTTGATGTTACCGTAAAACTCATGGGGTGGGCAGAAAACCGATTCTTGAACATGACGGTAACAATGCTGTATGAAAGCCTGCTTCAGCCGTTGTTAGTGTCAGTTTGAGAATCGGTTTTCTATCCTCATGTTCAGTCACCTCATTCCGTCATCGTCTCCAATCATCCCTCATTTCGTCATCGGCTGTCGCGTTTACGTGGCTTTCTCTTAATGTAGAGAAGAATTCTCTTTTTTGAAAATGAGCGAACAACAAATACGCAGTTCTATTTGTCATGAATGAAACAAGATCATTACGGTCGTATGATGCCGGAGTATGTCGTTTGGTCAAGCCTTCCTGACAACGTTCACGTCCTCCCTTTCGCACAAATTCTGCATGTCCTTCTAGTGCAGCATTGTAATGAATTGAGAACCTGTCGCCTAAGCTTCTACTTGTGGTTTGGGAAGACAGTCTTAACTCTTCCGCGGCGATAATTGAATAACTCGTACGTTCTCTGTTCATAAAACCTAGGCATTGTGTTGTATATCTAGTAGTTTTCTTTGCCAGATAGGTTCGATATGAATGTTTTATATCGCCTAACGTTTCGGCCCTAATGCTGTCCTCAGGGACCTGATCATTCACCTTGATCTTGCGCTCTACACGGCCAAACCTCTCCTTTAGACTCGACTATTCAATTTATGTAGTGGATATCAACAAGTATCCAACTCACAAACAACTCACCAAAGATCACGCTGACAATGTTCGACGGAAAGTATAAATGTAGTCCTTTTAAGGATCTGTTTGATGGGCGTTATAGCTGGCAGTATGACAGGAACGGCATAAGATCACTTGTGATAGAGAGTTAATCATTTTTGCCATTAATTTTGGGCTCCCTGGATAGAATGAATGACGCTTTCACGCTTTGCAAGCAGATATTTTGGTCTCTAAAGCTAGACCACGCACTTAACATGGAGATCATTGGAACATTGAAATGATGATTAGCAAAAATAAATAACTCTCTATCATAAATGATCTTGTGTCGTTCCTGTCATACTGAAAGCTATAACGCTTACCATATAAACAGATCGTCAAAAGGACTAGGTTTATATTTTCAACATCTGTGGGCGAAGCGAGGCACTGCTGTCGAAGCGCATTGTCAGCGTGACCTTGGTGAGTTGTTTGTAAGTTGGATACTCGTTGATGTCCTTTTACAGTGAATTAGTAGTCGAGTCTAAAGGAGAGGTCGTGTAAAGTGCAAGGTTAAGGTGGTGTGACTGACTTTCAGGCCTCTGAGGAAGGCAACAATGTCGAAACGTTAGGCGGAATAGAACATTCACATCAATTTGCAAGTTGTTCAACTTACAAGCAAGCTTAATTCTTAACTCTGAGTGTTTGGATTATGAACTCATTGACTTGAGCAAGAAGAATTGTACTCTTCACTGTGCTTCATTTGAAATTGTGGATGCTTGCATTAGCTCGAAGAATCAGAAATCTCTTCAGTGTTTTCCATCATGAAAGTTTCCCCTGTTAAGTGTTAGAATTGTGCAAAAATGGGCGAGTCTGTTTATCAGCCAACCGAATGTTTCTGCTTCTCTGTGCATATACAATTCTTCCAGTTGGTATTGTCCTTATCCCTGCTTTTTTAGCGTATGCGAACGACGATTCATCTATTGAAGGATCTTTCGATGAGTTGGATCTGTCTGAAACCGTTGAGAAAACTGAGGTTGAGATCGAACGTAAAGTCGAGGTACGAATATTACGAGTATCCAGTGCCAGGAAAGTTAATACGTGGACGCATTCCATAGGTGGAAACTACGGTGCAAAAGCCTCAGTCACCGCAGTCACCACAACAAGACAAGGAAAATAGACCGAAACCGCTCATTTGCTACGAAGATTTCTTCATAACAATGAAAAAGTTTGATCCAACCATCTTGAAAGTCAAGGTATATTTTGTGCTTATTTTGTAATAGTCTTCTCAGTGCTCTACTCTTTTTAAACTTGGGAGTCCTATAGTGAGCCAAGTTTATCTCAACCGAGTATGGTTTAGATTGACGGCCTCGGCAAAGAGTCCTTTGCATACTCGTTTGCAAACGCACAAAATTTCAACAATGGCTATGTAAGTATCTTTCTATTCGTCTATTCATACTTTGTTCTGCTTCGCTCTTACGATCCCTCTTACCCTTGTATATAGAAACCCTACATGCTCTGTTCAACTTGCGAAAGCTCCGAGCATTGGTCAGATGCATGTCCACTCATGACGGTTAGTTTTATCTTCGTCCTCTTATATCGTTGAAAATCCAGAGTTTTTTGTGCCTACTAAAATTTTCTTGATTGTGTTCAGTTTTTCCTAACTTGTTTTTTTGTGAATTTATATCATGCTTCCTTAGTATTCGAACTTCAGATCCCTAAGGTTGAAACAATATTTTATGAGAAGAAAGAACATGAATGGATGGAACTGGACAAAGTCATAATTGGAACTTATGGCAGGTTTTGGATTGATCATAGTCATGTGAAATATCGCAGTTCAGAGCGAAAAGTGTTCTTCAGAAAAGGACCATGTGAAAGAACACAGAATAGAAACGGTAGGCGCAATGGTTGAACGGATACGCGAATTCTTGGAAAATGACTTGAAGAAGAAAGTTCGGCTTGACGTAAGTCGCTCACAGGTTTTGCATAATGAGGTTGTTTAATGACTTTCGTATTGCAGATTTTCGGTTCCTTAGTCAATGGATTAGGTAGTGGAAGTTCGGACGTCGATATCTGTTTTCGGTTCGAAGAAAACGAGCCGCCTTTGGTATGATATCTTTTTGAGCTTGGCAATTTTTATATATTCAAGCGTGTGCGACAGATCAAGTTATGTCTGCTTTGTCCCTTATTGAACCTTGCAATGTTTCAGGAAGTGGACGGAGTAGAGATTGTGCGGGAGATCTGTCAGTCTCTACAAAAAATGAAAGGATTGGATAAAGTCTATGCAATTACCACCGCGAAAGTGCCTATAGTGAAATTTGTCTGCCCAAAATTTGCATTTGAGGGAGAGTAAGTCTCTATAATTTCGTCTTTTTTTCGTTTTATGCTTAAAGACTATATTTTAGCATAAGTTACTACAACGTACTGGCTTTGTATAATACACAGTTGTTGCGAACGTATTGTGCATGGGATAGGCGTGTCGCACCAGTAGGTATATGGGTGAAACGAGTAAGTATTTTTCAATCTTGAAAATTTGGATTTGATCCAAATTTTCCCATATATTAGGTCATTCCGAAAGTAATTTCGCTTTTTTCGAACGGACGCCACATACGATGGAACAAAGATTTCTAAAAGATCTTGGTAGCATTCGATGCAGAATTTCATTCACTTTCTAACTGTTATGCAATTGTTGCAAAACAGTTAATGAGCTTTCAGAAAATAACCAAAACCTGCAACCCGTCCTTTTTGAGACGTTCAAGTTCTATGGTTTTTTAAAACTTTCATATCAATCCTCAGAAGGATTGCAAGTAATGATTCGATAGAGTAAACCTTATAGAACACAGTACTACTTTTTTCTCTTCCTCGTATCTTGCCGTAATTTTTTAAAAGATTTTTTAACAGAACCATCGGATTTTGGCAGGCCCACCTCAGCCACAATCACATCAAACATCATAATTTTTCTGAATTTGAGACTACCAAGATAGTACTATGAGTTAGCATGCATTTTACAAAGCATGTGAAGGTTTACGGGTTCGAAATATCAAATTTCGTGATTTTCAGGTACAGCATGAGGCTCCTTGAAAGAAATAATTGTGATGATTTTATCCCCGAAAACTAAACGAATCGGAAACAAAAACCACCTGTTAGAAAAAGGAGAAAATGCTGCATCGAATAGTGCGCGAGCTGCTCTTCTTTTGATGTTCTACGAGGATTTAGTTGCCCAAGTATGGAAATCGGTAGCATCAGTTAAAATTCTGTTAAAAATGTATGACAAGCTATGGAAAGGAGAAAAAAAGTAGTGCTTTATTCTATAAGATTTACTCTATCCGAAATTGCTTGCAATCCTTCTGAGGATTGATATGAAAGTCTTAAAAAATCATAAAACTTGACCATCTCAAAAAGCATGGGTTGCAGGTTTTGGTTATTTTCTGAAAACTTATTGACTGTTTTGCAACATTTACACAACCATTAGAAAGAGAATGAAATTCTGCATCGAATGCTACCAAGATCTTTTAGAAATCTTTGTTCCATCGTATGTGGCGTCCGTTCGAAAAAAGCGAAATTACTTTCGGAATGACCTAATACATAGTACATAATATTCAATAAGTTTCCCTATGAAAATTCCTCCTCAGTCTTGCATTTTGATGTGAAAATTACACTTATCAGTATTCGGAATTTTCATGTACAAGAACGATTCGTAGTCTTCACCCTGCAGTTTCTCTTCGAATCCAAAATGTATCACAAATCATTAAACTTTTCTCGACGTTTTTCTCCGTAATGAATTTGCTAGAATATGTTTCCAGTGGGCGAAGTCGTGCGATTTCGGTGATGCATCACGTGGTTCGCTGTCATCATACGCCATAATTATCCTTCTCATTCACTACCTTCAGAATTGCCAGCCACCTGTCCTGCCTCGCTTACAAGAAGTATTTGTATTCTCAACTATCTGAGATTCAGAAAGTAGTGCATTGTTTAGGATTTCCGTAATGGAGAAGTAAAATCAGTAATGGTCGAAAATCACGATGTATACTATCATAAAACAATCCCCGGCAAGACTGAATGGTCAAAGAATACTTCATCGGTAGCACAATTATTTGTTGGATTTCTGGATTATTTTGCCCGCTTTGACTTTGAAACGCAGGTGAGCTATTATTGAGTTATCTCGATACTTAGTCAACAATTTTTGTTTGAATCAGCCTTGCTTATGATCAGGTGGTCCAAATTCGGCGCAGGAAACCACTGCTCAAAATGGAGAAAGATTGGAGTCGCGCTATGTGCATAGAAGATCCATTCGATCTCCATCACAATTTGGGTTCGGGTGTTACCAAGAAAAGTAAGCGGAATTTTGGCTTTGATATTTAATATCTGTTATATGAGATCTTCAGTGTTTGTATTCATCGCACGCAACATCCACAACTCTCGCAGAAGGTTCATGTTGCCCGAGATGCGCCGTGAATTCTTGTCTAAAAAAGGATTGCCAGATGATAGGGAAATGCCTCCTAGTTTGAGCGATATATACGCGGTATGTTCAATAAGATGTTTTTGTACTGCTCTCATATTATCCATAGTTTTGTCGACGCGCTCATTATAATTTGTCTTTGAAAAATCGGCTCTTCAATTCCTCGATTTTGGTTCTGCTAAATTTGTCACAAGTAATCCCTTTTTTGAAAGTTCCTGAAAGCATCTTTAAACGTCTCGCGTAAGATACAATTTCCTGAAAGGCAGTGGGAGAAGTGTTCCTTTTTACGCATCAGAGTTCAGGTTTAACGTAATATAGTATGGACTAATGCTATTGCATGCAAACATTTCTGTCGTATGTTGGCTTACTGTTTGCGTTCTTAGGCAACTCTACTGAAAGAGTGTGGTATGGGTGCTGCTCCTTCCGATCGTCAATGTCGAATATGTCATCGGATTGGACACTTTGCGGAAGCCTGTCCAAAGTAAATTTTCGAAGATTTGGTGGTCTGAGTTTTTTTTTAAATTTGGGCGTTGAGTACGTCTTTTGTTGAGATTTTGTTTCGTTTGTTCTCTACCGATTCTGGAGACCTACCTAAAACGCCTTATGCGTTTTGAGGCTTCACGATGATGAGACGACCGAATCCCAAGTTGAGACAAAGGATGAGTTAGTGGAAAGTGATTTTAGGAGTCAACATGGTATAAGAACACCACGTAAAGAGCCTTGGCTCAAAAAGGCTCCAGTGAGTTTGAGTTGTTGTTGTTTTTCACTCGCACAGTGATTTTGTGTATTTATTCCCATTTTATTCCTACACCAGTCTGTCCCTTGGTTTGCTGTGTTGGGTGTGTAATTTTCTTGTTGTCTTGATGCTAAGTTGTTCTTTCCTTGTTCACCTTGCCGTGCAGATGAGGCTTTTTAGAAGCGTCATGTTTGCACATCTTTGCTTTGGCAATTGACAAGTGATGTGGTTTAGGTTGGAAACAATGGCGAAACGCCCCCCAGAAGCGGCCAAACACAAGCAGGTCAAACAGAAGGGCGAGGCTATCAAATCAGGAGGTCCTATTACCGCGTAAGTTTTTGCTAAGTATTCATTTGTAACGAAGCTTCATGTATTTTTTCGTCTTTCCTTGAATAGTTATGGTGACAAAAGTGATTTGATCAGATTAGAAAGAATTTTTCAAGTGTTGGCTTTCGTCTCGTAAACTGAAGGAATGCTCTGAGGATATAGCTCCTGTTTTTTTTTTCTGTTACTCTGGCAGCGAAAGCAGTCTTTTGAAGACAAGAGCTGACACACCATCTTATCTTTTATCATTAAAGCCGTGTACAGGGCCTATGAAGCAAATTAGTTCACTACCTCATTTGGTTTATAGTTTCAGAAAGTAGAACGACACTCGAAGGAAATTCAACCGCAAGCACAAGTACAGACGCAAGCACAATCACCAGCAGTGTTACAATGAGTGGAATGTACAGTTTCCGGAAGTCATGGCAATAATTCGGGTACAAGAAACGAGTCTAAAACCTACAGGCTCTGCATTTACCGTGCCAATACTTTCTCAGACATTTTGGGTCTTCAAGGTTTTTTTACTTTACGTTTCCTTTCTTCATCTATTCTTTCTTGTTTAAGGTTAGAATTCACTTTTTTGATAGCAGTGATTTCCTACTCGAGCTTTTTCTTCGGTTGAGTTTTATTTTTGTGACCAGCTACACTTAGATCTGTAGCGTATGTATGTTTCGCAGTATCTTCTATTTTAATCGTTGCCTTAAACTGTCATCAAATACTCAGGGGTTTCTGTGAGGTAGATTGGGTAGAATTTGAATGTTGACTTGCGGTTTTTAATTCTTGTTCTTTGGATTTATATAGCCAGTACTTTAGCACGCGTGCCACTTTCTTAAAAGCGTTGAAAAGCGTTTTTCTATTCATAAGCTTAGTCACTTGTATGTATAACCTTTATTGCCTTGCCTATCTACACAACTATCCTAGCTTTAGGGACCCCTCACTTGTTGTAAAAGGTAAACTATGACATTACTCCACTGCCTCAAAGGAATCTTGCATTTCCTTTGCCCACAAGTTTTGTAAATTCCTCCTCGTTCAAACCAAAATTTGCAACTGCATTTTCCTTTTTTCTATTTATTGTTTTTTTTCTGCAGTGTAAGGAACCTGCTTTATGTATATTGAATGCGTAGGATCTCATTGTAATTGTTGCTGTGTTCACTGTGTCTGGACGGAGAGTTATCAAAATTTTACTTGGTCATGATGGTGTTCCAGTGATGGCTACCTCATGTCCCTGCTCCACAATTATGAATAAAGATCGGGAGCAAATTCGTACAGTTATTACTACAAGTTGTTCCACTTGGATGTACTTATCTTCTTTGGATTTTTGACGTGAAATTGCGTGAAATTTCCGCTTCAATTCACTTGCGGAGGAGCCAAGGCCATTTTATCGATGCTATTAGTTATTCGGGCTGTGCACATTCGTCCAGTGTAGCTACAACTTTATCCAAAAGAAATGAAAAGTCAGTGACTGTGTTCGTTTCGGGCTCGTTCGAACTTCAAACCACCTCGCACATCTTGACATTGAGTCACTTTCCCAATAGTTCACTTTCTGAAAGAAAGCGTCTAGGGGAAATCGGATTAGATCTAAAAGCGGGTTTAAAGGCTCTAGTGTTGCTATTATTCTCTTGTCTATATGTGGACAGTTTTCTTATCAGGTCTATTGCAGTTTTGTAAGTTGTTTGCTAATCAGTGGTACGATTTTGCTTTCACAAGTTTAGCCCTCTGTCATAGATTCTGTTTGACTGCTCTCGAACATCTGGGATAGCACTTAATCACCGTCGGTCAGAGTTTACGCGATTTGATCGTCGCGATTGATCGCGACAAGACAATTGTAACAATACCATTGCATGCCGATCTTCTTGCATTTCGGTTGTGATAGTTTTCCAACCGGCTAATCGTGACTAATTAGCACAACCGAAATACAAGAAGATTGGCATGCAATGAACTCGTAACACTTGTAGCGATTGAATCGCGACGATAAAATCGCGTGAACTCTGACCGAGGCTTAAAACAGGACGAAAGTGCATCTGCGAGCTTCGCCAGCACTCATGTCGCGCAATTTTTGGCAACCATAATGCTTGTCACGTGCCGCTCAGTAATAATGCTGAAAGATCGTGTTACATTTGAGGGGGCAGTTCTCTTTTCATAGCAGTCTTTCAATGGAAATATGTTTTTTATTGATTATTATGATGAGAACTTTGGAGAGCTGGAATTATATCTTTTGATTTGACGAGTTATGCAGTTGCTCGTTTGGAAGGGTTGCCTGGACAATTTTGCAATGAACGTCAGAAGTAGTCATCTTTTTCTGTGCATTTTTCCGTCTCGGTTCTAGAAAAAAAAAACGGCGCCAGCCACACTCAAGACAGCTGCAGATTTTTTGTAACCTAATGCAAAGAACCAGTTTGGTGTTTTCTTGCAGTAAATTCTTCTCTATTTACTTGATCGTTCGAAGCATTTTGAAGCTTTTTTTTGCTTGATGTTAATTTCGGTCACAAGACACTCATAACAACCTTCTGGACACCATGCTGCACATTTCGAGACTTTTCATTTTCAGCTCATTATCGAAATGAAGTATTGAAATTACTGCCAGCCGAGGGTGACAATACTTTCTGCTTCTTATGGTTGTTTTCGAATTACGGCATTTGATGAATTTTACAATTCGCTTTACATTATGGAGAACTTCTTAGTTTTCCTTGCTTCATTTGGCGCAAATTCTTGGAGTAATTCGGCTTGTGGGCATAGAAAAAGTTTTGCATCATCAGTTTGTTACAAACGAAGCTTTCTACAACCAGCTTCTTTCTTGCCGCTCTTTCATCTGCTTGTAATCTATTGTACCAGACACGCTATCTTGGTATGCTAGCGCATCACCTCGGTTACCATGACTGTTTATCTTCTGCAAAAGGATGCTTTTGTGAATGTTCACTCCTCGCTACTCACCTTAGCCAAGCGCATGCAGGTGTTGACATTCGCTATGATTGAAATTATAATTCAATTTCGAAATTTGACGATGGCTTCGACCGAAAAAGCGACGGTTGCCCGGCAGCATCTACGAGATTGATGCTGAATATAATTGAGCCTGAAACCTTTAGTAGGACGGCCATAAAATCGTCGTTTTCTTCCTTTCACGCGTGAATCTCGATTCCATGATTTATGGTAACGCTCAAAAAAGTTTTGTCTCTGATCACTCTTATTTTTAGTGAATAAGTCCCTTATATGAACGGACGTCTAAATCATGTAATTTCTGCAACATATGATTGGATTTCCTACTTTTTCGTTTAACTTGTACAAAAATGCCAAAAATGCTTGAAGATAGGATCCATCAGTCGAGAACTTTTCAGTGAGCTTTCTCCGATGGCTCAAAACTTATTGGTTGAATCTAGATACTATGAATTCTTTTGGTTATAATTTTCTTCAAAGCACTTCACAGCACTGATGAGTAGTTTTGTAGGAACCAGGCGTTTGCGAACTTAGCTACCAAGCAGAGCTCTGTACGAGCTGGCACTAGGGTGATTTTCAAGCGAAATCCCCTTTGAACTTGAAAATTTCGTACGAAGTCCCCTTTGACCCTAAACAACAACCGTAAAATCTCTAAAAAAACGAAACGTCGACCAAAAAAAATAACGTCGCCATTTTGTGTCTTTTCGGCCACAAAAACGATATCCGCCTTGACCCGGTGCTAGCTGTGTCGAGCCCTCTTACCATGTTTTTTCAATTTTATGCCTAGGAAAGCAGACTATGTTTGTGAGGACGAGACTTGGTTGTTACCGGGAAATATTGGAAACATGATTGCAACAAGCTTATTGCTGGAACCCTTTAAAACTTTGCTTCAAATTGGACCCCTTCTCTTTGGCTGTTATCTCTTCTGCTTCTTAATTGTTGAATTACTGATCACTGCATCAATATTAGCCTCTAGTTTGTTCAATTTACTCAACCTTCGCTTTCCGTCGTCCTTCACTTTTCTCTTTGAACCAGTTTTAATAGCTGTTTACTTGTGCATTCACCTTGCGTCTCACCTGCAATTTGCTCCTTCTTTAAACTTCCATTTTTCATGAACATTCTTTTTTCTCCGTTGTTTGGAGTGCGTTCAGAGATGCTGCTCTTTTTCAATGATCTACGCAACATCGGTTTGAACATATTCAATGACGTAGAGCTGTGTATGTATGTGATGTCCAATCATTCTTTGTGCTGTGCCAACATCCCCCATCCTTCTGCTTCTCACAGAAAAATCGAGGAATGCACTTTTATATGCCCTTTCTTCTTTGTGAGAATACTCAGCTTCTGTCGCTTGTGCTTCGCACGATGTATGTGGGTTAATGAGAATGATCTTATCTTCTGAGGGTTCTTCTCCCCTGAGTCTACGTAATGGCTATCTACTTGAATATTCTATGATTATGAGCAGACGTCTGGAACGTCCATTCGTACTCGGCGGAATTACTAAGAGGCGAAAATTCTGTTGTATCGTGATAGCTTTCTCATTCTCACTAAATCGTTCCGATTTTTGTGGTGGAATTAAATGTGTACTGTAGCTATATGTCCGTGTTAATCTATCAATGTTGTAATCGTCTTAGATGAGTCAACCTCAAAATTCATCTGATTTCAACGTTCTTGATTTGCGTTTGAACTCACTTCATCTCGAGTTTTTCGAACCCGTCATCAGAGTCATTCTTTCCGACCTTTGAAGGACTAAATTCTGCGATAATTTCTTCCATGCACAGATCCTTTTTGCTCTGCTTGGCAGAATTTTTGGACTTTTTTTTGCATAATACATATCAGCTTACCCACAGGGCTGAGAGAATTCAAGATTTATGACATTTTTCGCGGAAAAAAGTTCAGGACAAGGAGGGTTGAGATATCCACCGCAGGCTTTGTGCGAAGTTTCCATGCATTTTATCCTCGCGCTTTCGACATTTAAAATTTTTGTTTTCAAGCAACTTGATGCAAAAAGGTGGTTTCTCCATTCGCTTTTGAGCTTTGCACGCTATTTTTTTTTAAATTGGCTGCAAGATACTGTTAGACACATGAGCTTTACTGAGCTTATATTAGGTTGGTGCAAAAGTTTTGTCAGTTTTTTCAGTCCATCGGCAAACACGCTAGAATGAAGATAAACAAACACTTCAAAATGTATAGAATTTCTTCCTATTTCCAGCTACTAAACTTTCTTTGTGTTTCGTTGCGAGAGTGACGAGATATTTGCTGGAAATTGCAACCACTCGTTTTTACCATGCCCAACTTTCGCTAATTTTCAAAGTTTTTGTATGAGACTTTCGGAGGGGGTCTTAATAACCAGCAGATAGGGCAAACCTTTTGCCAACAGAAGCGGTTTTTTGTAGCCCTACGGCTTGTCTTTCAGAATTTTTACGATTTATTTTTTGAAGTGACCAAATTTTACATTCAGCCCGTTTTAACCTCGTAGAACATAAAATGTCGAACAGTTCAGTCACCATTCGATGCAAATTTTTCTCCTCTTTCTAACACTTGTCTTTTTTTGCCGAAACAGGCGAAATTTGTGGGGAAAATCGCAGTATTTTTCAAATTCAGGAGTGCACAATGACGTAACCTATGTTTCAAAATCTTTATTTTTTGAACCGAAAATCGCTCGTTTAGTTTGTAGTGGTAGCAGTAGTAATAATCGTGTGTTGAAACCTCAGTTTTCTGTAGGTTTTGCGGTGTTTGGTGCAATAACAGGACATGCGATTTTTCCAAAACACACTACTTTTAGAAAATTATTTAGCAAGAATTTGAAAAAGCAGCTGAAAAAAGAAAAAAATTGCACAACTTGGCAAAAGGTTTGCCCTATATGCTGGTTATCGAAGCTCCTCCGAAAGTCTCATACAAAAATTTTGAAAATTAGCGAAAGTTGAGCATGGTAAAAACGAGTGGTTGCAATTTCCAGCAAATATCTCGTCACTCTCGCAACGAAACACAAAGGAAGTTTAGTAGCTGGAAAGAGGAAGAAATTTTGCATCGGATACATTTTGAAGTGTTCGTTTATGTTCATTCTAGCGTGTTTGCCGATGGATTGAAAAAACTGACAAAATTTTTGCACCAACCTAATATTACAAACTTAAGATTGAGAGAAGTGATAATTTCGAAATTTGCTGATGTTTCTGCTTCTGACCGTCGCAGTTCTCCCAACTTCACGACTTTATGAAAATGATGGTCCTCGTTTATGGCTCTTATCTTTGGTCGAAGATGCCTAATCATTGACGCAATTGAGTCTTTCTAGAGTCTTTCTTGTAGCAGGTGATTTGCAAACAAGTTAAGGTCTTTATCAGTTTTTCTTCTTTATTTTGGAAACACTAAAATTATGTTACATCTATGTCATACGTCCTTTTATCTTGAAACCTGGGCGTTTTGTGGTACTGATTTCAATATTTTCATTTTCCGTGTTGGGCAATAATTTGTCCCCGATAACACCCTATATTGCAAAAGAGAAATTTCAAAATATGCTACTTCTTTTTTGACATCATTCTGGTTATCAGTCTTGTCAGCTTTGCTTACCTATCTCTCTACATTTTATCATGTGAGGTTTCTAATTTCTGTGTGTTTGCTTATGTTCCATCTTCAAACTGTGCTGCTCTAAGCATTTGGAATTACATTTATTTTGCGGAGAAAGCGCTTGTTCCTCTTTGTTTCTGATTACAATTCAAATTATCACCTGCCAAAAATATTGCAACCCTTAGATTCATGATAGTTCAGCTTTGTGCTTTTAGAACCATCACATGATGTAGCACATTTTGATTATTTCATGCGTGTTTCAATTAAATATCGAACGCATAAGCCACATGTCACATGGTTTATTATTATTCTTTCTCCCTCGACCTTTTATCGAAGCATGCGATAATTTAGTTGAATTGAATGAAATAAAAATTCTACTTATTATCAACTCCTTCGCGGCGGATGCAGCAATACTTTGTTTTTCTCGATGAAGACATTCTGAATCAACGACTCTCTTTTTCGAAGAAAGGCTCCTATCTTTGCGCGAGATTTGCGTTAATTGGTTTCTTTTTTGAGCTGATGGATGGTGAGCTCTTAGATAACAATAATTACTTTGGCTTCTGTTATTTGATTGTGGCTTTGCGCTTTATCAAATAGTATTTTCAATTAAATTTGTTTGTAGAGCTGAAGCCTTTGCTAGTCTTTGCTATTGATCGATGTTGGCACATTCTTCATTCAGCTGCTTTGCACTTTCACGCTGTTTTGGACTTGAGCCAAGTGCGAAGGCGTTTGTTACACTTTCGCTTTCCATATGTATGGAAAACTGCCTTATTTGTTGATCTTATACGTGGGCACTGTTGTATTTGGGCAATTTGTGTGCTCATAATGACTTGTGATTAATTAGTTTTGGCTCTCTTGTAGAGCTTTTGACTAATGAACTTCTGTCTCTATTTCGCCGAGTACGCTGCGGAATAAAAAATTGTGGTTATTGCCAGTGTCTAAGTTGATTCTTTGAACGTTCAAATTGGATTCAGATTGCCACCAAAGTTCTTATCCTCTATATTTGTAATGCTTCTCGCTCGTGTCTGCTTCAACTGCGCTGATTTTTGTGAGAGTCATGCTCTTTTCGTCAAAACTAAAGCGGAAAATTATTGGTGACAATTTGAAGCTTCTAATAATTGAGACAAACACTTAAAACTTCATTACTGGCAATATCATCTGACTTTACTAGTGGTACACGATCTGTGGCTTATTTCTTTCATTAAAATTTTTTTGTGCTGCTGTATGATTGTATTAGTGACTATGAGTTCCAAGAAATATGGCACAAAAATGATTTAAAAAATCATGAGCTTGTCATCTTAAATCTATCTACCCGTTCACTTGGCGCAGCATTTTCTTTGTTAACAAGGAATTTGAGAGATGTTTACTTATTATGGCAATGTAGAACTTTATACAGCCATTCACCATATTTGACAACTCCAAATTCTACAACTTAAGTTTTTGACTTTGTCTGGTGCATCTTCTAGGATGTAACAGTGCTGCTTGTGCTTTTAGTGCTCTTATATTAAATATGTTTAATTTCTTTCACAAACTCTGCATTTATATGGGAATTAAAAATCCGAAAAACCTCAGGATAAAACTGTGAAATTCAGTTTTACCAATGTCTTATCTTTTCTTCACCTGCCACTGCCAAGTTAATTGACTTCTCGTAAAAACATTGGCTTGGAAATTTTGCAAAATCTTTGTGAAAATGGAATGACTTTTGGTGCAGCATCACTCCTTTCTGCAGGTTCTGGTTTATTTGTACAGTTGTAGATGAAACATTGGTTGAAATTTGCACACTTCTGCTGATTTTTGATTAATTGCTAGCTTTGAGCGCTGTTCTGTCGCATTGATCTGTAGAAAAAAAATCGCTATAATTTACGCTTGCTTTGCCTTGTGAAATGACCATAATCATTTCTCATAACTTGTAGTTATGAGTAAAGTATCCGCAATCCATCAAAGACTGAGTGACATCATCCTTGCGTGCTTATTTCTCTGGCCTATGGTAATCACCAGGTTATGTTTTTGTGTGTCTGAAGCTTCTATGTCGGCCATCCTCTTGAGATTAATGAAATCGTTATTGTTGTTGTCGGCGGATATCTTCACCCTTTATTACCTTCTCTCTGCAGTCTGGCTGATTGAAAGCATAGAAGAAACTGTTTGCTGGGAGTTTTTGTTTTTTCGCACGCGAAGAACGTTCAACGCTGCTAAAAATACAATCTGAGGCTGCCTGAGCATAAGTTTTCGCCTTTGCGCTGTCGTTCAGTTAATAGCGATTTTTTGTTTGTTTGCTGAACATTGCTTTTGCCCATGTTTATACTCTGCAGTGTGTGTTTGACAGTGATTCGTTTTTTTGTGGAAACACTTTTTTCTTGGCTGTTTACCATATTCTACATGCGTTTTTCATGTTCGTACTATGTGACAGTCTAGCCTGCACATGATATACGCGATATTTACTTTTCAAATGACTTTTTACAAGTACTCATTGATTAAAAAAAACGTCCTTTTGATTAGTTCTGCTGTTGTTGCTTATCTTGGCATTGCACTTTAAGCCAGCAGTCTCGTTTAGCTCTGGAATGTTGTTTCAGAATTATAGCTCGTATGTCTTGTCAACGTTTGCACCTAATGTACAACCAAAAATGGATAAATGAATTTTGTTTGTGAGTACTGATGGGGATGCTTTTATTAGGTTATTGCCCAGAGGCAGCTCATATGGTTGTTTGCTGCCGGGATTTTTTGCGCTGAACTCTCGCCCAATACCGTATTTCGCCGACACTGACGGTAAGGAGTACGGTATGGGTTGGAGCTTAGAGTCGATTTCCTCGGCCATTAATGAATTTTATGAGCTGCTTGCTAGGCAGTGCGTTAGAACTTGCATTCAGTTTCCACATAAAAGCCCAATAACTTCCAAATTTACAAGGACACTGCTTTCAAGCATCATCACATTAATAGTTTGATATGATAATTTATGTGACGGCTTTGCCCTACATTGTCGTTGTGCGTCATAAAGAAAATTTTGATGCGTATAAAGTTTTCAAATCACATCCGTTCCAGGGTCAAATTGGCCGTGCAACGGCCGATGTTCAGCTACGCGAAAAGGGTCACATGTTCGGGTTGGAAATTATTCCATTTGAGCATTTTAATCCACTTATTTTGCTCTTACTTATTTCTTGTTTCACTTGGTATTTTTGATGTTTTCTTCTAGAATGAAATGAAGTCAGCGCGATCACGTCCCGTCAGCAGTCAGACTGTTTCAACTCGTCGCGATAAAGTAACCACCACCATTCGACCACATCTGCCATGGATGTCTGGGTCTTACTGTAAGTTTCATTCAGCAGTTTCACGTCACTGTCGCTCACACAAACTATAAGAAACCAAGCTAAGTCCGAAGGTTGTTGCCAGTGAATGTTATAGCAATAAGGCTGTTGACTAACGTCTCCAGCCGGACAAATGTTGACTAAAGAGTTCTCCGTTTATCTGGGCTTACCTCCATTGATTCCGAATTTGCATTCTGGGGAACGTGGAAATGTTGCGAAATGGCTTTATATCCTGAAGTTCCAGATATGTGGAATTTACGCTGTCTACCTATCCATGGATATTTCCATCATCCTTCCCTATGAACATATTGGACGGGAGCAACAAGCTGTAAAGCCACATTTTGCAGCTTTTTGTATGACCCCCGTGATGATCCCCGCCAACCGCCTTCTCTTCTAAGTCATTTTTCTTTTTTCGAAGTCAATAAAAACACTCCAAAGTTGTGCTTTTACCTAACCCAACAGTGCTAATCATGTTTCTGGTAAGAACAGTATTTCGAACTCATGAAATCTGCGATGAATCACAAGTCGAAAGTTTGGGTTTATCGAGAAAGTCGATATTCCAAAAACTCATTTGTTCTTATCAGCAACATGCTTAGCACTGTTGGGTTAAATAATCAGCACAACTTTGGAAGGTTTTCGTTGACTTCGAAGGAAGAGAAATGATTTTGAAGAAAAGGCGTCTGGCCGCGGGGGATCATGCAAATAGCCGAAAATGCGGCTCGCACAGCTTCTTGCTCCCATTCATTATGTTCATAGTGAAGGATGGTGGGAATACTTACGGACAGGTAAATGGCGCAAAATTCACATATCTGGAGTTCAGGATGTGAAGCTTTCTATTAAGCTGCGATCCTCTCCCCAGCGGGGATGTTAGTGCATGCGGCCCCAACATACAAATGCGCAGGCGAGAAATACGCGATGCCTGAATGCCTGCCTGGAGCCGTATTTAGCCGATACGCAGCTGTTTACTCATTGTTGCACAGTCTGCAGTCAGTCGCTTTCACAGCAAACGAAGACAATGGTTCAACGCGCATGCAAAGTACATCTCGAGCACAAAATGAAATTTTCAAAGTAGAAAAGGCTTGCATCTGCCGCTTTGTTAGTTCTTGTTAGACATCAATTGACGTGTTCGGCGTTGGCGTTAAATTCTGATTTCTTTGTCTTCCATTAATTGTTCATGGAAACGATCGCAATCGTCTGGCCGCCTCGCTATGGTAAAATTTTTTTGCTTGTGTTTTTCACCGTTTCTTCATGGCACCCTATCTTCTGTGTCCATTCATTCATATACCAATGCAATGTAATGCCGGCACACATAGCTAGCTAGGTAGAAAATATTGGATTTGGTTTGCTGTTGGGAGATGGATGATGGAAAGTATTACCATTTTCTGGAGCAAAAGTGATGTTATTGCGTTGTCCGGGTATCAGTGAAGAGCAACCGTTCTCCTAGTTGTTCCTTGCGACCAACTTAGTCAATCTGAAAGCCTCCCCATGGGGTGTGGTGCGGAAGGCGACAATCCTCAAATTTTGTGCCTTTCAAAACTCTTCAGTGCCAAAGTGGCATGGCGCCAAGGTAGGGGGATGGGGGCTGAGATGCATGACTCGATGCCACAAGTAAAATTCTGTAAAAGTCAATAAGGTTGATTTTACACTGCTTGCATTTTGCGCCCATTGTCGCCTTCCGCGTGTCCCCCGAATCCTAGCACTCTTCTCCATTCTGGGCAAATTCAATCTGTTCAATGATAAATGGATGACGTTGTTATTATAACAGTGTTCACTTCGGAAACCCTTTGTTTGAAAATGGGGTCATTATTGACTTGAATACAAATTGGATTTACGTCGCTGGGTGGTGCAAAACAAAAACCTGTTAAACATGTAGATGACATGTCCAATTCTTTTGACACGTGGCAGAATGTTGACACTCCTTCTTGTGAATTTGGAACGAGCATGATACAAGAAAAAAAAACAGTATCCTTCTTTGGAAAAATGGGTTTGGATAAATGAAAAGTACACTTTCTCTTCTGCGTTTTGAAATGAATTCACTCGGTAGGAAGGGTGTACATACGATAGCTAGATAGGCCTACAATACACACAGAAGCTTTCAAGAAAGGTTGTAACAGAGATGTCGTGGTTTCATTGTGACGAATTGTTGTGACTATTTTATGACTTACAGAGCTTCAATGAGAAAAGCAATCGTAAACCTGTCATTAGTGATACTAATACTTCCAATAATCAACCAAATCCAGAAAATAATAGTAATCCCTTTTAGCAACGTCTACTTGCGCAAATTTTACCCTTTTTGAAAATGAGTGCTGAGCGAAAAACTCCTCCCTCATGTAGTTACAATCGAGTGTAAACGGATAGCTCACATAGAATTTTCCAAGGATTTTTTGTATAATTCCAAATAATTGCTTGATGGGACCTCCCAAGCTTGAATATCTGTAAAAAATGCAAAAGGAATTGTTAAAGTATTGGGAAATCACAGCCATCAGAAGAAATGTCGAGAAAACAGAAATTCTGCAGTTCTTTGCAGAAAATTCCTGGAAAATTTATGCGTATAGTACTGGATTGTGGCTACTACGTTCATTTTCGCTAAACATTCATTTTCGGAAAAGGCCATAATCCGGGAAAGTCGGCTTTGCTAGAAAATTGTTTCTTACTAGTTGTGATGCGAAACGGATTTCCGATGAAGTAAAGGGTGCAGGTATTTAGCCGACGAGCCCAGGATGAATTTGATGAATTCCATCAAAAGCTCCAAGTTGGATCTTCTTTAGTTTCCAGATTACCTCAACATCTTCAACTTTGAAACTGTGTAATCTCCTAAGATGAGGTTCTCCACTGCATTTACATAATCTTTCAAATTCTGCTACTTCATTAGTGTGTTGCTGTTGTCGTAGAAGTTTTGTGCAGATCATTTCGAATTCGAAAAGGACTAGTAGTAACGCTTTTCATATGGGTTTTGAGGGGTGTGTGACGTTTCGCACGACCGTAATGCTTTCCATACAGGACCACCGCCGCGCGCGACACACCCTGCGGCGGCTTTTGCCTAAGCAAAACACGGGGAGGAAAGATTTGCGGCGTGCATTACATGTTAAGACAAGTCAGAATCAGGGAGACGCTGGAGACCGCCCGTGGGAAAAGACCGTCTCCCGGTTTTGAGAACTAGCTCGCTGGCAAAGGCACCTTTGATTCAACGGGATTGGCGGAAGGAAGGCGGGGCTTCGAGGCCTAATCAAGGCTAGATAATGAGACGCTGAGACGCTAGAGAGACACTAGAGATTCGCAAGAAAGACGTAGACTGCGTCATGGGTGCTAGCGATCGCCTTTGAGCCTCCAATCCCTTTGAATCAAATTAATAATTCTGTCGTAAGATAATCGACTAAGCGCGAATCTGCCAAGCTGGTTATGTTCTTCTGAGAAAGCGAACATTCAAGATATACTAAGCCTTGCGCAGTCCGCCCTGATGACATTTGGTTTATTTTTGTTGTCGACCAACCCTAAGAATCCCTCTATCGATGCAGAATGGTAATACGTATAGGTTTGAGATACGTATAGGTCTGTCACGCGTTGCTATGATTCCAAATGATTTACGGAAACTATGGTCACCTGAGCTTCCCCGGACAATTCAGTCATGTCCCGTTTAGGTTTGCCGATCGTCGGCCTACGCAACGATCTGAATGGTTCGGCATTGCAGTATATTCGGCTGACGTGAGTTTTCATTTCAATGAAGCTCATATTTTTTCACATCGAGTTTCTATTACAATAAACGTTTTTTCAGTCTATGAATTTCTATAACAGTGAAAGTTCTTTTCACTCTATGTACAGTTCAATAGAACCCAAAGACCATCTTTTCAATGGTTTTTGGTTCTGTGAACTGATCCATATATAGCTATACAATCGACTGATTTTTCAAAACAGTCTCCAAATGTTTCTGTTTAGGAGCATGTTCGACGCATTCAGTCCATATATCTATAAGAACAAGACGGGGGTGATCGAGATAAGTAGAGCAATGAAGCTTCACAAAGGTAACTTATTAGATTGAGAATGTTTTCTAATTGATTTTTACACTTTTCAGAGGACAACTCGTTCACAGAACGTCAGCTTGAATTGATTGTACGTTTCAAAGTAGAGTTGGAAGTTCATCTTTCCAACTATTTTGGAACAAGAGTCATGTTAGCGGTAAGTAAGATTCGTTCGATATCCTGTTTTTTTTTCATTTTTTCTTGCTTCCTATATGCGTTACTCATTTTGGTTTCCCTTTTGTGCTTCTTTTCTTTTTCTAGTTGCTTCGATATAGATTTATGGTTCCACACTCAACGGATTTGGAAGTTGCTCTTGTGATGTTGACATGAGTCTCTCGTTCCCTGCTGGCCCACCAAAACGCAAAATCAGGGTTGGAGGCGGAGTATGTCCTGATTTGGTTATGCGTGAAGTGGCAAAAGCTCTGGTAGATTATTCGAATGCCCGCGATGAACAGTACATCTGCGCGAAAGTACCAATTGTCCGTTTCCGTGGTAAGGATATGGATATCGAAGCAGAGTAAGTCAGCATTAATAGTTCCAAAGGTTTTTCATCAAATTTTGGTTCTTGTATTCAGCATAAGTTACCGAAATGACTTGGCTCTGCATAATACACAGCTACTTCGGCAGTACTGTAAATGGGATGAGGACCGACTACCTACATTGGGAATTTGGATCAAAACGGTAGGCGTTTATTCCATACATAGTGTAGATAGCGTTTATATATGCATCTAAGTGGGCAAAGCGATGTGGAGTGGGAGATGCTTCAAAGGGTTCGCTTTCATCATATGCTTGGATTTTGATGCTGATTCATTATCTACAGAGAACCGAGCCAGTGCGAATGCTACCTTTCCTACAATTTGTGAGTTCTTTATTTATAAGGTAACCAGGTTTCCGCCCGTCGAAGTAAGTCTTGAAGGTCTTTTTCACTTTGTCGTAGGCTGACGAGGAAATCCATGGTGCCGAAGAGTAGTTACAAGTGTAAAATGGGTGGGTGTATGCATGAGTCTCTGAAGAGGGTTTACGGAACTTATGTTGTCGGGAACGAATCTTGACTTTTGTTTTCGTTACTCTTTCTCACAAATTTCATTTGCATATGACCGTAAATGACTGTGCAGCTGTTGGTATTTTCCTTGGTGGCGGGGTTTTGTTCAAATTTATATTGCTACCTTCTTCTTCATTCGAAAAGCATTTGATAGTAGCACAATCGTTCTGCAATCCTGGTCATTGTTTTAGGGCAGATGAATAATTAGTGCTGTTTGATTCCTCAGAGTAAAATTTGGATGATGCGACATTCGCAGTAAGTTTTCACCATAGCAGTGGGGAGTTTGAAAATCAAGGGGCGGGAGGGGGAGGGGTTTGCTTCCGCTGAGTCACGCACGGATTGACCGCAGATTGCGGCGCACGCGCTGCGCAACAACCGCTCGTACAGTCGAGTCGATTTTCCGCTTGATATAGTGTGCTTGCACTGCAGGTAAAGCAGTACAACTTGTGCGTAAACAAATATCACGCCATCAATGCCGGCATTTTGTACGCGTAACTGTCCCGGCTTCACAGGCGCAACTAATTGTTCACGCGCAAATTTTACCTTATTTCACCTGTAGTGCAAGCACACCATATTATGTAGGACATTTACTCGATGTGCGACAACGTGACATTGCAGCCGCGCGTGCTTCGCAATACGGCCTTTCCGTGCTGTCGACAAGTCGATGGTCGACAATACCTGCTGATGTAATAATGCAGGAGAATGCTTGCAGTCTCCTTTGTTGATGTATTGGCGAGGACATAGTGATAGTTATTATACTTTTTGCGTGTTAGGAAGAAGGGGAAGAGCTAGAGTAGAGCATCATTTACCGTACACTCACTCGGATGGACAGATTGCCTGACTTTAGTAAGATCCTGTACAGGGCTTATCAACTGCACTGCCGGGAGCACCAGCATCTTCGCTCCCGCGCGGCTGCTTCGCCTGGATTCTGCACCTCTTCCGCGAACATGCTATCTGATCACTTTCCCAGCGCGGGCGTGGGAAGGGGCGGGGCCTCAATTGACTGGATCTGGTTAGAGGTCGTGTTCGCAGAGATGCACACTCCTGCGCGAGAGTGGAGATGTTGGTGCACCCGACACTGCAATTGATAAAACTTGCATTTGTGTGTGAAGTTGGGCACCCACACAATAATTAATGGAAGCGAGTGGCGACGTTCCGAAAAGCTAGAAGAAGGTATTGCTCAAGTCAGCCGTGCTACTTCTTTCAAACAGAGAGACCATTGCATTATGTTGAAGGAGGTGTCATACTAGCGTCACTCCATCTAGATAAATTCCTCGTTATATTTGACTTGTAAATCCACTTACGTCTCTCTGAAATGCGGATGGTCGTTCCTGTAGTGATAACCTGAATTTGCAGGGTATGCAAAGCTTGTCGGAAGAAAAGTATGTTAATGGGTGGAATGTGGACTTTTGGAAATTTGTGGATGTAAGTTTTCAATGCATATCATACCAGATCATAGATCATACTGGTCAAACATGTCCATATCAGGTGGGACAATCGCAACGGATTGGAATAAGCACCTATGAGCTTTTTGTCGGATTTTTAGATTATTTTTCAAATCATTTTCAGTATGACAAACATGTGAGTTTGTACTTTTACGTATAACACAATGTGAGATATAGCGTCCATCGATCTGTTTCTAGATGATACAAATCAACACGCCCGGTAATGTAATGAAGATGGGACGATGGTATAGATGTCCGCTTGTAATCAGAGATCCGTTTGAGTTGGACCACAATCTGGCACAAGGAGTAGATGAAGAAAGTGAGTTGGATTTGGAAGTATACTTTCTTATTCATTTTGTTTCCTTGTTGTTACTCTCTTTCATCGGATTTTGGCCCATAATTTTTCAGTGTTTCGTTACATACGATCGTGCATGAAACATTCTCGTCGTGTATTCATGGATCAAAGCTTGCGCGCGGAATTTCTCATATCGAAAGGTTTCCGTAGAGGAACATTGGATAAAGTTCGTATGAATGATGACCTGTTAAGGGAGTATGGAGTAAGTTTATTAGCTGTTCTTAGCATTATGTGTAGTCACTGACTTTTCATTGTCAATAATTATTTGCTCTATGGAAGGTTCTGATTAGGTTCTTGTGGTAGTATTTTCCGAAGTGATCATAATTCATACGCAGGCTCACCTGCTACATGCTTGTGTTCCTGTGCAGCAACCTCCATGGCGACAGTTCAATGATCGGGATCGAACAATGAGCTCCAGTACCAACACAAGTGCATCCTGAAAATGCTCAAACATGGAGGAGTTCAAAACAAAAAACAAAACCTCTGGAATACTGTAAACATGTTTTATATCATTCTGCATGTATGCTTTTTTCTTCTTTTCGTTCCTTCACATTCATCCTTTTGTCACTTTTTGAACTAAAATGAAAAAAAATTTTTTTTCTTTAAGACATTTTAATGCGTTTTGCATCTTATCATACTTTCAATTTAGAAAAAACCATAAAAAATGTAAATAGTACCAAACGTCGTTGTTTTGGCTCATCCGTACGTAGTTTCAATCAAATGAAAACTCTAATGCGGAATTCCAAGCCAGTATAGTTGACTGCACGGGATCGCTCAGGCTGAACGCCCGCGAGCGTGTCTTTTGCGGGCTAACATTGCCTCGCGCGCATGACTCATTATAACGTCCGTACTCGGCAGCCGCGCTGCAGGCACGCTCGTATGAGTTCAGCCTACAGCGATTTGGGCGATTTCGTGCAGTCGACTATACCGCTGCCAACGTTAAAAATTTGAAAAAAAGCAACATTGAACGAACATATGATTTTTTTTGACTTTTGCCATCTCCAGTAGCAACGTCTTGTTCTCTTTTCGTATATATCTTGTATGTTACCCTTCTTTTCATCTCTGAGCGGCTGGAGTCTGCGTTCATTTATTTATGCTGTAATTTAAGCTGCTTTTACATCATCTCAGAAGTTTTCCTCTAAGTACCTTTTGCGTGTCTTTATGCGCTTGTAATTATTGTATCGTATCAGATCTACATAATCATCATATACTTAATTTTGCGAGTTTACAGCTTAGAAAGGATCAAAATTAGTTAATAATTTTTGAGAAAAAGCTGGTTGTAAACTTGCAACTGGAAAACCTGGTGTGACTTAATCGGTTATACTTGTGTAATGTCATGTCGAAATATGTGCATTATTTGCTTTATTCTGCTCCTTAATTATGGCCTTGTGTTTTCATTGAAGTAATAACGTCATTCAGTACTGTTCAAAAGGAGACAGTTATCGTTGCTGTGCATCATGTCATTTTACTATATTGAAGCGTTTTCCTCAATTTAATTCCTCTTTATCGTGTTGCCTAGTGTTTTCTGCAACCTCCTGATTTGTAAATTCACTACCATCATCTATGTCTTGATATGTCATGTAATTCGCAGTCCTAGGTAGTGAACTGATCTGCATCTGGTAATTTGCACCAGTTCTTATGTATGAATTTTTTCTTCTTTTTTTTCAATTTGCAGTAATGTTATCCTCATTCCTTCGGCTCAAGATGTGACGCGTTTTTTTTTGCGTGAAAGACGTAGGTTACCTCTATCCTGTCAGTGGCCAAAGGGTTGAGAATAACTGTCTCATATAGCTATCATAGAGTTCTACATTTTCGAAAATCCCTTCCCGAATACCTCGTTGATCATACAGTATGTAAGAATTGTTTCTTTGTATGTTTTGCATGTTTTTGTCCATAAAGTGATCCGACAACCTCTTCTTGGTATTGAAATGTTCAGCGGTTCGAGATATCTTATGCAAGCTCTCAATCGATATATATGCTTTACAAAACCTTCGAAGTTTATGTTTACCAACTCGCACTTGGTCTTCTGCTTGGATGTATCTGTACTTTGCTTTGGGAACGGGTGGAAATTTGTCTAGAAGGAATAGTTACAAGCAAACAGGCGAGGAGGGGGAGGGGACAGAGATCTCAAATTTTTATTTATTTCCTATCACTAGAAACAAGAGGGGAGCTAGCAGTTTACTTACAAATCACACGTGAGCGAGACCTAGCAGGTACAAGTCGTCCGCGCAGGCGCCGGGTTATGTGCTGCGCGTCATTCCTCTTTTCTCATGCACTTTCTCGCGTTTTTTGTCTGCTCTCGCCCAACCATGAACTATTTTCAGCGGACGCAACAGCGTTGCCCTTCGAGCACAGCGCGGACGACCTGTAAGCACAAGGGCGATGTTTTTGACCTTTTTTCGCATCTGTGAAAAGAAGGAGCGCTGCAAGTGGTAGAAGCTTATACTATGGAGTACTCATCCCAGTAGACACTAGTGAACGACTCCGAATTTGAACTAAAGCAGACCGTTTGGATGGTTCTAGGCCTTACTGTAGGCAGTGACGGAATAGCGCCTGTCGGAATGTGCTATATGGAACACGGAAGCATTTGAGGGCACCGTCCACCCTTCAAGCCGATGCCGAAGGCGCAGCTTAAGATCGTCCTGTGGAAGCCCGAAAATCGCTCCGGAACAACGAAGAGAGCAGAGGACCTTTAGGCGGCAACGCCCCATCCAGTAATGCCATCCCATTCGTGCTCGCATGTCCAATTTCCGTTCGGAGAATCCACCCGCGGGTTCTCTAGAACGGGGATTGTCGCGGTTATCGCGCATCTCCACTTAATATTCTGAATTGGGGTCATGAGAAGGTTTCGGAAAGATGAAAACATGGAGTTTGAGAATTAGGGTGGACGGTGCCTCTAGCACTGCGTTCATACTGATCCCGAAGTCTGGGAACAGTTCCAGCACAGTGTTCGAACTGAGCGCTGCTACTCTTCCCGAACTTTGGTGCTGGAACTGTCCCCGGACTTCGGAATCAGTATGACCAGCCTAAAAACAGCGTTTGGATAGAATTGCGAATGAAATTTTCCTTGCTTACCTGGGCTAATCCTTCCCGTTGAATCCGAAAAGGCAGCTTGAAGAGCACGAAAATGTCAAAAACAGACCCTGCATCTTGTCTGTTTGCGATATGCGCAACGTGAGCGAAGCACAGTAATTGACGGGCAATAAACACGCTCATATTAAAGCAAGTCACCTTTATGGCATGGCCTTCACGATAATCTGGCAAGATTATTGTACAGCTGTGAGGAAATGTGGACACTGTAGGGCACACTGTTCGCGGAAGAGCGTCACATATGAGGCTCTAACTGAGAGCTCAACTCTACCGCAACCTCATTTCGTTGAGTTTTTGAGCATCGTTTCTTCATTGCTAATGTTCAAGTCGAGAATGATGTGAGCAAAACGAAGGTGGAGGACCCCACTAACTCTTATGCCTCTTTCGTCCCAGTTTAGTTCCATCAACCAGAGCTGGACTGCGGTGGGGTTGTGTCGCATTATGCAGACCCGCCAGGTTTTTAATTTAGCTGTATCGTTGTTGTACGGTCCTCAGGTACTATTCCAGTATACCGACCCCAAAAATCAAAAATCTCGGATTTCGCTCAAACTCGGTATAGGGGGGTTATCCGATCCGCTGATGCCGAATATCATATCGATTCCATGCGATAGCGCCATTTTCTGGGGGTTACGGTGGGTATACGGTAAGAGGTCAAAATCACAAAATTCTCTGAAACTTGGTGCAGGGGGTTATTTGACATGCTGAACACGAATATGATATCCATTCGTTACGGTAGCACCTCATTCCGGGGTTACGGTGGGTATACTGTAGGAAGGTCTAATTCACTGCTTTCCACACCCACCGCCGCGCGCGATACACCCTGCGCGACTTTTGCCTGGGCAAAGCAGGGGGAGGAAATTTCTGACGTGTGACTGAGATTTCAGGCCCACAATCTCGATCTAGCGGTGGTATTGGTAATGTATACCCAACGTAACGTCGGAATGAGGCACTATCATAACTGAAAAACATCATAATCGTGATCAGCACGTCAAATAACCCCCCTACACGAAGTTGGGTGGGGGAACGAAAGCCGCCAGGTCCAGCCGCCTCCGCGGACTGCTGGTCCTGGAACGACATGCAACAACGCTGCGAAAGGACCAGCTGGCCGCGAAAGGCGGCTGGACCTGGCGGCTTTCGTTCCCCCACCCCACGAAGTTTCAGCGGATATCGTGATTTTGACCTCTTACCGTATACCCACCGTAACCCCCGGAAAATGGCGCTATCGCACGGAATCGATATGATGTTTGGCATCAGCGGATCGAATAACCCCCCTATACCGAGTTTGAGCGAAATCCGAGATTTTAATTTTTGGGGTCGGTATACTGGAATAGCGCCAAGACTTCATCGAAGTTCAGAGATTTTTCACTTACCTAGGCTTACTCTTCCCGCTGATTGCGAAAATGCAACTTACAGAGTACGAAAATGTTGAAAATGGGCTTTTCTAGAAGCTGTTGCTTTTGTATTTGGAAGCTTGCCGCCGAGGTTGAGACGCAGAGTCGTGGTGGGATCCTAAGTCTTGACTGTGTGCGACATACGTACTCTACTCTGGCATCGATTGAAGGGGCGGGCAGGTCGCCGGGGCGTCCCGGTCGCCACTTCTGAAGCGGTACTCGCTTCAGAAGCAGATTAGTGCACTGGTTGGACAGGAACTTTACCCAGGACGGGAGCCCCCATACGCTAAAATTTCATATCCGCCCGGACGCTGCCTTTAAGACAGAGGCAGGCTCCACTTCCGCCGGAATTCAATGACTCCAAACTATGTAGTCATCCTGCCGCAAAATCCAGCTTGTTTCTGGCTGAGCTTCAGCTAGCGTACTCAATATGCTAGTGAGGATACCTCATGAAAAGCTTGTGCCACCTTCAGCAGGCATATTGGACGTATCTGAAGCTCCTCACATTTGCCGTCATTAAGCTTGAGACGGGTCTTGGGGTTTCCGGTCGGCGATCCTTTCCTTCTGAAAGTAGAAGTACATGTTCTGCGAGATTTCGTTAGACGATATTCTCCGGCTCTCAGAAGCCGAATAATGATCTGGTCTTAGAGCCTTGAAGCTCCATGGTCTTGAGTTCATCGCAGTGCAACTTTAGAAAATAGAATCCATGGTTGTACTTTTGTACAACTTGAGCACTAATGGGCTTTGATGAGCGGAAGAGATCAGTGCAGAAGTTGTTTCGCGAAAGATTTTATTTTATACGAGAAGAACTCGGGGTAACGTTTTTAGGTGCCTTTATATCAAGCAGACAGCCGCCTATAGCCGTGGCTAGCAAGCCATTAGCCGCCGTTAGCAGCCACTAGCCGCTTTTATTATCGCTGGAGCGCGCAACCATCAGATTTTCATTACAGTTCAGTGCATCCGCTTACGCTTTTTATCTTCCATGCTTTTTCTTGATTTTCGCTAATGTGCAGTTCGACTTTCATAAATAACTTTGTTTTCATTGTCGTCATTATCTAGTTGCCGCAAATCAACTTTTTTATTACGATCTGTCTTGTTCGGAACTATCTCGCAAGTACAAATATCCTCACTGTCGTGCATTGGGTTATTCGCAGTTTAATCCTCTTTGATTGGACGCGCTCAATCTTTCCAGATGTGCTTTGCATTTCTTTGTCTCTGATGTATGTTTCGGCAACGATTTTTTTCTCAACTGACTATAACGAGAGATATGCTGGTTCATAAAGAGTAACAACGCATGGTCCAAATAAAGCATAGTCACGAGAAAAAGACGTAGTGCAAAATTTATAATCAAGATAAATGAATCAAAGCACACCAGGAAGAGTAAAAGCTCAGCCAATCGTGGAGGAGAGAATTAATCACTCGAAATCGTTCGAGACAAGACAGATTGCAAAAGAGAAATTGGCCAATGATAGTGTAGTGGAACCCGTCGAGCCGTTGACGATCTGTTAGAAAAACACAAGAATTCTCCCTCTGCCTATCGGCGTACATGCCGAGGGTTCACTAGAAATAACTAAAGAACAACATATATATATATATATATATATATTAAGGTGCGGCGTGTACGCCGCAAACCACAGAGACCATATCGACCTAGCCTATAGTGAGTGAGCAAGTTCCAATATAAGGGACGGCTCTATAACACCTCCCTCCTAAGATGAACAACGGTGCATCTTACAATGAGGATCTACTTGTAGACGTTCTGGTGGGCGACGCTGGCGACTTGGTCCGGTTGATGTCGGTGGCGTAGTCGAGGTGGCTTGGGGTTCAGCAGCATCCACACCATTGTTACGTCGGCCTTCGTCGGGGATGGACTGTGTTGAGTCATGATGTCGATCCATACTTGCTGCGCGGCGCATCTGGTTCGCATGACGTCTCCATAACTGTCCGTAAGCACGTCATATAGCGCTTCTCCATAGCGTTTCTTCACTCGTGCTGGAATCCATTTTTCACATCCAGAGCGAAAATCACGTACCCATACGGCTTCTTGTGGCTGGTACTCTTTCTTTCGTGCTCCGTGACGGTTGAACTGCTTTTCCATAGACATATTGCCTATTCCTTCTCCTTTGGAGTCTTCATTCAGCAGCGACAGTGGTGTCCTTATCTGACGTCCAAGGAGTAGCTCGGCAGGCGAAAGTTGTTTTGGAACAGTTGTACAAGGCGTCCGTCGATAAGATTGCAGAAACTTCGCAAGGGATCGTTCATACCGCGCACAAAGGCGGACGAAGCCGGACGAAGGCGGACAAAGCCGCACAAAGGCAGACGAAGGCGCACGAAGACGCGTCTTGTCTCGTCTCGTTTCTCTCGACACCCACACACACACTCACACACGCCTCGTCTCGTTTCTCTCGAAACACACACACTCACACATGCCTTCGTGCGGCTTCGTCCGCCTTCGTCCGCCTTTGTCCGCCTTTGTCCGCCTTTGTCCGGCTTTGTCCGGCTTTGTCCGCCTTCGTCCGCCTTTGTGCGCGGTATGAACGATCCCCAAGCTTCTCTGCCGTTCCTCCCTCCTTAATTTTCTGGAAGGTTCTCTCAAAGATATCCACAAACCTCTCCGCTTGTCTGTTTGATTGTGGATGGAATGGAGGTGAACGCACATGCTTGATCTCTCTCTTCACAGAAATCTTGGAACTCCTTTGCTGTGAACTTCGTCCCATTATCCGACACGATCACTTGCGGATTTCCAAATCGAGCAAATAGAGATCTGAGTTCTCTCAGGGTAGCTGTTGACGATGAAGGCATCCCAAAAATTTCTGGCCATTTCGAGTAAGCGTCAACTATGGCGAGATACATCTTACCATTCACCCTGCATAGTCACTGTGAAGTCGATTCCATGGTCTATCTTCCATTTTCCATGAATGCATCGCCTTCACTGGCAGTTTGGAGGCTTCTTGACAATCCCTACAGCGGCACACTGAGTCTTCAATTTCTCTGTTGATGCCCATCCAGTATGCGAATCCTCTCGCGATCATCTTCAAGATTGTCATTCCAGGGTGTCCCTCGTGTAACTGCTTCAAAACTCTCAGCGAAGCTGGAATGACAATTCTGTGACCAAATTACACCGGTCGTTATAGGACCTCATGATAGCCTCCACGTTTTGCGCGCTCTCTAAACTGTCTCTGACCCTGACAACCCCGACAACACCGACAACACCATAACCCCGACAACACTGACAACCTTGACAACACCAACAACCGTTGCCGGCAACCTAGGGCCGTTCCCTAAGCACTTCGCGAGAAAAGCCGTATCATGCGCGATGAGTATTATTTTCGTGATTAGCATATCAGATGAGCCCGTTAATGTAGTAGTAGCCTCGTAGTAGTATAAGCAGGTTCTGTGTTTTGGAATTTTTATTGGCTCCCACAGAATTCATCGACTATTTTACATCAAGTGATTCTTGTTGTATTCAGTTTGACTACTTTCCAGTGAACCTGTTTTCTGGTCTTCCAGATGCACCTGACGAATCCAACTTGGGTTCATCATGAAGGTAAGGATTAGCGTAATCTGTCATGTAGCTTTTATCAAGCGTCTACGCTTCTTCAGGTGGTGCAATTTACTCTGTGGACATCCATCCAACAATGGATAAACTGGCTACATGTGGCCAGGGAGATGTGAGTTATGCAGTTTCAGAAGTGGACTAGGGAAAGGGTTGCTTTGTCTCGTTTGTTGATATTCTGTTTTAGGTTGGAGGATGCGGACTTGTTATTATTTGGAATTTGAAGCCAATACAGAGTGAGAAAGCTTATGCTGATATCACCTGCCACAAAATCTTAGCAAGAATACAGCATCAAGGTAACTTTGGTCTAAATACTAAACAAAGTTAGCCGAATCTTACAGCGGGTGTGAATTGCGTTCGATGGGCTCATGATGGTGCTCTATTGGCCTGTGCGTCCGACGACAAAGTGATCACAATCTATGAATATGGTAGGGTTTGCCTTATGGTCACTTAACAAGTAATGGTGTTGCGATATACTGTGGGACTAGATGGGCTGTAAGAATCTAGATGTTATCTGCGGCCTGATGGCCCGGTATAAGCGACGCGACCTAGCGCCTGCTACAGACCTGACACGCGACAAACGAATCATGGATACAATGCACGTCAACGATGTGCTCCCTTTCGATCGGCTCAAGCGCAACGCCAAAGCCGCATGCCACGTACGCAGGCTTGCCGGTTGAGCGTTCAAGTCCGCCGCACTCGAGGACTGCTCAATGACAACGCGTCGCGTATGCGTAGTTGCGCGGAAAGGGATCGTAGTTGACACAGACTGCACAAGTGTTGATATACCCACATTTGTTCATCGCATGCAAAGACAGGGCTTCACTACGAATGCAGCCGTCGTCTTGCTGACCGAGGGCCCTTCCATCCCTTTTGTTGCCTTTCCCATGCGCGAACCATCTTAGTCGGACGCAACGACGTTCTGTGTGCGTGCGATGAATAGCTTGTACCCGCGACATCAACCCATAGCGCCATGGATTACGTGAATTGATGAGGCGCCGCCCCGCTTCGGACTCGCGCCACGTTGCGTGCGCATCTTCGGCGTGATGTGGCAGCAAAAACAACGTGGAAAAAGTTTCGCCACGCTGTCTTGAGCGTCACGTCGCGCCAAACGATGCACTCGCAATGTGGCGCGAGCCTTAAGAGAGGCGGCGCCTCATCAGTTCAGGTCATGTTGAGGGAAGACATATGGGTTGATATCGAGGGTACTTTCTTTTGCATCGGCACAGATATGCCAGTGCTTCACGTCACGTTTGCGCGCGTATAGCTTGGGCATTGAAATAGCCTTACCAATAGAAAGTTCGCAAGTGCTTCGCGTTGCGGATGCGTAGCTATCACGCAAAAGAGAGTAGGTAATTGACATAGGCTGAATCCTAATTAGAGTAAAGTCATGTCTTTGTCGGTCTCAGGCCTTCTGAAGGCCCTGATTTCGAATATGGAGTCGAGAATCCGCGAAACCCTCAAAAATCTCCGTTTTGGAGAACCTGTTGCAACAAGCGCAGGCGAGGGAAAGCCTGCAAAGTGGGCGGGGCGACAGCTGGATGGTGAGCAGCTCTAGATTTGCTCTATCCGGAGCGGATTTCTCTTATAATTATCTCTATAGTAGTTTTTGTTAGTGTCAAACTTTCTGATCCAGTTTAGCTGATTATAGGTGGACGTGTACAGTCGGCTGGTTCCATTGGCAGCAAAAATGTGGTTAATGTTGAAAAATATCGGTTGACTCATACTTTGCATACTCACTCAATGGAGGTGAACTTATTTTTCTCATTTTGGCTCACAAGTCAATCCCTACTCAGGTGCTTAGTGTGGAATGGTCATGCGACGGTCGCTATTTGGCTTCTGCATCTATGGATAATACAGTGGTCGTGTGGAATGCAAAGAAGCTTCCTGGTATGTAATTACAGGCAAGATAATTTGAGTCTGCCAGAAATGGTAATTTAGAACGCATTGTTGTATTGGACAACTCACGCGGAGGACATAATGGTCCAGTCAAAGGACTAAGTTGGGATCCCATAGGGAAGTACTTAGCTACGCAGTCAGCCGACAAGGTTTCTCCATAGCTCATGTTCTGTATAAGAAAGTTGAGCGAAAAGTTGCACATTCATTTTTCAGTCTCTTCGATTATGGACGACAGATAACTGGCAGTGCGATACTGTGATTACAAAGCCATTCAGCCAGGTAACTAAATACTACCTTTGTATCCAATGGCTGTTGTTCGAGCCAAGTCAGCTGCAATTCACATTTGTTTTCTGCAGAATCTCAACTTTAGAGCAGCCAAACTACTATGTTTTCACGTTTGGATTGGTCACCCGATGGTCAGTTCCTGTTTGCACCTTGCGCGATGAATAACCAAGGTCCCACAGCTCAAATTATTATGCGAAAAGATTGGGATACGGAATTAGATCTTGTTGGACATCGAAGGGTGATTTTTGTTGTGATGTATCCTTACTTTGAAAGTGGATTTTCCAGGCGGTGACTGCAATCCGAGTATGTCCACGACTGCTATCGTATGTGGATTATGCAGGAAAAACGATTCAGGTATTAACCATAAGGTTTTCATAGATCAAGGTGTCGTATCCAGTAGAGCAGTGTTTGTATATTGCGATTGTGAGAAATCTAGATAAGGTTGTGGTTCCTATTTCATGTATACAGCCTTCTATGAATCTGTCGTGTGGCTGTATTCACACCGTACACAGCGGCAAATCCAGTGCTGTACTTCAGGTCACATGCGTTGCAATCGGTTCGCGTGACAAATCTTTGTCAGTGTGGGTATTGCCGCGGGTGAAGCGACCTGTTGTTGTACTTCAACGCCTCTTTAAGCACTCTGTTACGGATTTATCATGGCGTGGTACTGATTTGGTCGTGTCATCTCAGGATGGCTCGATAAAATACCTCTCATTCCGAGAAAAAGAGCTTGGCACGATGCTGTCTCCACAAAAAATGGTGACTTTGCTGTAACAAAATCATCAAATACTTGATGAATAAGCGTTATAGGGAAATGTGTGCGAGTCCTTGTACAAAATTCGACCTGCCCAGTATTGTAACTACAGTAATGGTAATGCGGTGGACGCACCATCAAAGTCGAACAGTTCCTTCATAGACTCACCTGAAGAGCTCCTGGCGAAGAGAAAGGTCTGCAAGCTTACTTCTAGATAATTTAAGTAATGAATCCATCTAGGCCGAAGCAGCCGTATCAAAAGAGCCAGCTAAACCCACCGAACCTACTGCATCGCAAACTAAGACGACTACACAGAATGCTGCATCTAAAGTACTTTCCGAGCAGCGACAGCAGCAAGTCGAGGTTAAGAGACAGATTATTGATGCCTGTGAAAATAAGCCCGTATTACGATTATCCTTAGGTTCGCACATCAGATGGTAAACGCCGCATCCAGCCAATCTTTCTGGGATCTACTGTCGACGAGGAGCCTGCGCCAGCTCCTGCGCCATCGCAAAGCAAACCACAGTAAGTATCATTATATAAATGCGTTCCTCATAGCTCGCATAATTAATAGGTCGCGTCCTGAACCAGTGGATGAACCCATGACGTCAGATGTTGACGAAGGTAGTGGGTAAGTTGGGAAACTGGGAGATTCTTCTGTTTGCTCACGCGTATCTACAGACAACCATGCAAATTGAATTCATACTTTGAGCAGTACTTTGTTAGCTACAGCTTTGAGCTGATGCTTATTATTCACAAAAAATGTCAATTTATGCTACGACTCATAGGCCTGCCGCCGTAGCGCGGCCCAATCTTGGCAGCAGAGTATGAATTCATAATAGCGCTGCTCTAAAAGCTATTATCTAGCTCACCTCGGGTCAGTAGAACTTAAAGGCAGCGTCTAGGCAGATCTGGACCTATGGGGATTTTACGTGGAAAGTACTTTTGGGGCCCTAATTAAGGCACTGCCCAAGCGGCAGCGCAATTAAGGCTCTAGCGGCTGAGATATCCTCTCGAAACTGGACCCCGCGATCGCATCAGCATGGATTCATGGCAGTTTCGCGATCCACGCTTTGCGCCATGAATCCATACGAAATACGATCGCGGGGTCCAGTTTGGAGGGGAATATCTTAGCCGCATATGTCCAGACTTTGACGCTGCCTTTAACCCGAAGTCTTTAGTGATTTGCCTACAAATATATGTAGGAAAATAGCAGCAGGAAAAGCAGGAAAATTAAGAGTAATGAATCAAACTCAGTTTAAAGCGGTTTCATATTCTTGGGAACTCCACCATCTCCAAACTTTTTTCGTGTGCTAAATTTGGAACTGTGCTTTGAAGCTTATCAGTTGCCAGTTTTAGTTTTTTTTTACGTAGCGCTGTGGAATGCAGGCTTCTTCATTCTGTAACAGGTCATTGTACAGTGTCCTTGCCATTTTAGGGGTGATGGCTGAATCCCGAGCAAACACTTCTAAAATTGGCGTCCATTTTAGGAACACTTGCTATCCTTAAAGGCATTGTCCAGGTCAACTGGGGAGGGGGGTGGGTGGGTGATGCGATCTTGGCACACTGTGAGAGCACGGCTCCTGACTAACGCAACAGTTCAAGTCCGATCGAAAAAGGTGGAGTCTGAAGCGAGAAAATCACTTTGGAAGAAAGGGGAAGTACTACAATCCCGCCCCCCTTGAAAGTTTTGATGTGGCCAATAAAGTAGATCTAGAGCATTCACCACGTCAAAACTTGTCAAGGGGGCAGGATTGGAGTACCCTTTATTTCCAAAGTAATTTTCTCGCTTCAGATTCCACCCTTTTCGATCGGACTTGAACTGTTGCGTTAATCAGGAGCAGTCCTTTCACAATATGTCAAGATCGCAACCCCCTCCCCCCTCAGTTGATCTACAGGGCTGCTAAATTGCAGAGTCATTTGTACCAGCGGTCGCGCGACCGCTGGTGCAAACGACTCTGCAATTCAGAAGCCCTGTAGAGACAGTGCCTTTAATGGCGGAGACGCTGAGCAGAATGATGTGAGGAAGTAATAATGGTTTCAAAGCAGTTCAGCTTCCTCTGTTATAAAGACTGTGTCGAAGCTCCGTTTCCACATGAGAAATTTGGGCATCCGGCATGGGACACCCAGTTTATTATGTTCAACAAGGAACCCAATGAGTTCCGCTACCCAGTGGTAAATCTAACCCACGAGATCGGTATTTACAAAGCTAGTGGGTGAGCGGACCCAGTAGTGCTTTTTGTTATTATCGACAAACCCAGTGGCACTGTTTTTGCTTACCGACTGGGTAGCGGAAACCCTCTGAGTTTGTTATTGAATACGCCACAGGTTTACCAAACCATTGCCCTAGCGCCAGCCATACTATACATTCATGGCCGAGAACCATAACCGCTAGGGCAATGGCTATTTCTCGGCAAAGTAGAACCTTAGGGAGGATAGAAAGCTCCAAGTACATCCCAGCTTCAGTCCCAAATTTATGCGTTGATTCCTTAGAGGCAGCGTCCAGGCAAGTCTGGACCCATGGGGATTTTACGTGGAAAGTACTTTTGCGGCCCTAACTAAGCCACTGCCCAACCGGCAGCTCAGGTAGTGCCCTAACGCCTGAGATATTCCCTTCGAAACTGGACCCCGCGACCGTGTTTCGCATGGATTCATGGCGCAAAGCGTGGATCCTGGCGCGAAACTGCCATGAATCCATGCGAATACGTTCGCGGGGTCCAGTTTTGAGGGAAATATCTCAGGCGTTAGAGCACTACCTGAGCTGCCGGTTGGGCAGTGGCTTAGTTAGGGCCCCAAAAGTACTTTCCACTTAAAAGTCCCATAGCTTCAGATCTGCCTGGACGCTGCCTTCAAAGCTTGCTTCAAAGCTCTATCAGTCGTTCACAGACTGAAGATGGCCATAACAAATTTGTTGCCTGCTTTCGTTATTTAGTACATGGATTAAGGTGGAACTGGAGTTTTGGTGTAGCTAGAGTCTGCTACCATCATCAGGAAACTGACTGCTGTCCGCTTGCCGAGCCACTGCCTGGACGGCCATAATCAGTATACACTGAGGAGGTCTAGATACAAAGATGCCCCTGGGCAGTTGCTTCATTGCTGCATTCCAGCTGCCTATGTGTCAGAATGGGAACGTGAGCGTTGCACACAGGCTATCTCAACTGCAGTTCGTGTTCACCAGCGGCTTGGTCGGGCGCGGCAGCTTGTTTGGACTTGCACCGCGTTCGCGTAGTGTTGTTTGACCATTTTCCCATACCTGTTTAATTGAAGCTCGACTGTGAGTACTTTACCACGCTTAGGCCCCGGACAGACTTCACGCGACTTAATCGTCGCGATCTAATCGCCAAGATTTCCATTCATTTTCCTTTCACTTTCGAAAATATCGGGTTGGAAAAGTATCACAACCGAATGCAAGTTAATCGGCATGGAATGATGTTGTAACAGTTGTCTCGTCGCGACGATCAAATCGCGTGAAGTCTGCCCGGAGCCTTAGGCTGGGATGATGGTCAGGCGCCACATTCGCGAAGCAAACGCAAGCCCAAACTACGCAGCAGATTTCGAGCTGATGGTGCACTCGACGCTGCCATTGAGCCAGCCTTAAATGTGGCGGGTAACTAGTAGGCGATGAGACGAGGATGGTGACCAAGTGTCTTTACCAATTAGGACGGCATCTTGATGGCCGCTTATGTCACATCCACACTCCTAGCATTGAGCTTCGAAAGCGATTTCGATTGGAAGCTGTAAAGCCGTCTTGGACGGCACATCACAAACGTCTAGAAAGGCCTTGCGCAGCATTCGCAGACGTACTGGGCGCAGCATTCGCAGACGTACTGGACGTATCCTCCAGGCATTTTCCCATGTCTGAGCAACGATTGAATGGTGGGAAATGCTCAGAGCCTACGTCGCAAGGCGGTGCGGACGAGGGAGGAGGCCGAGCAGAGTCCAGTAGCGGGAGCTGTGACACTATCATTGAAACAGCCTGTATTGTCAAAAATGAAACTCGTGATTGAACTGATTACATGATGGGACAAGTTAACTTGTATTAACATGTTTGAAAGACTCGCTTGGTTTGTTTCGAAAGTTTTCTCATGGAACCCTTTCTCATGTCAACTTCCACTAATTCTAGAGATAAATCGCCGGCGAAAACAGTAAGCCGTCTTGCTTCAACTGACGACTCTATGGTGGAAAGCACTGATGATGACGTTGATTCATCAGATGTAGATGCAAGAGCAGAAAAAGAGTCGCAGCTGGATGATCTAAGCAAAAGAACAAAAATGTTGATGGCAGACTTCAAGGTTAGTCATACCAAAATAACCACTTAGCAGATAAAAATTAAATTCTCATTTTTAGAAACCTCTATTGCGCCCATTAGACTCTTCTCGGGTTGAGGTATCGCCAGCAAGCGCTGTTCTAGATGTTCCTGAGCAGAGGGCCATGATAAGCGAAGGCGTACAAGGAGTATGTGATCAGAGACTGAATTGCTGTTCAATGCAAATTCTGAACTTTGAAGGTACTTGGCGATACGGTTGAAGTGGACAATGACTGGATAATGGGTGGTGTTCGTGCTAGTAAGATATCATATCTTCATTCGCGAAATCCTATATGGAGTGCAGAGATTGGACCATCTGTAGCTGTAATCGTAGCAAACAGGTAATATAGGCAATTCATCGCACGCAGAGACTGGACGCCGTTGCGCCAAGATAGTGCGTGTTTGGGAGAGACAGCAGATGGCTAGGGGAATGAAATGCGATTGGAGAGAAGTCGACAAGGTCTGCAGTGGCCCCCTGTCTCTGCGTGCCCCCAATCATCACCCCAAACTCACATAAAAGTCAATGTTTACCCTTTTGCAGATTTTGGACGATCGCTGGATGCTATGACCGCAGCGTTTTCGTGTACACGAGCGCGAATGGAAGACTACATCTTCGCAATCAACTTGATGCCGCTCCTGTTCGTGTTGGGATCAATGGACACAAGATGTACGTCCTGACGCAGACCGGACATTTGAGTACCTGGTGAGTATAAGTAATCTCTCTATGCATATGGGAATTGTATGTTTGCAGCGCGGTTCAATATGTAATATTTTAGGGATGTCGATAAGATGAAAGCCATTCTATCTCGGCAGTCAATTGCCGACTGTGTCGCAAAGGGTAAGCTTGGTATATATTTCTGTTTATAGTTTGTAGTAAGAATACCATGGTTGATATTAGGGGGGAATCTGAACGAGATTTGAAAAATCAAAAGCTTGGTTTAACATCCTTGACTTATTGAGCATCTTCTTAACCGAGGAATTTCTGAGCCGGAACAGCTTTGCAGTTGACGGAATTTAATTCCAGATGCAAATCTCACCTCAATCTCGGTGACGCCCATGGGTATACCGCTTCTGGGCTTTTCAACTGGAACCATTTTCACGTTCTCCTTGGATATGAACTGCTGGTAAGCATTAGTTGCCCGAATGCAAATATTCTGAAACTTACCGGTTTGGACTCATTACTTTACTTGAGATTCTGGCACTCACCTCAAGCGATAATCAGTTTCATGTTGTGCACAGTTACCAATTGAAGCGCCTCGTACTTATAGGCAGATTGTTGACTCGGTGACACCATTGATGAAGTTGTGCGATTCCATTGATGCAGACGAGTTGCCAGATGGTCCCGTTGGGCGGCTTCTGAAGCGGAGAAAACGGTCTGATTTCCAGTTCCCAGGTTTTTAAGTAAAAATAAGGTTGATCTCAGGCCTGGTCTTCTGCCATCTGTACCTAGAACAATCAGTGCATCTGTCAAGGAATCGCTTTTGGAGGGCTGGTTACAGGCTGCAAAAACCGCTGGTAGTACAATGGACTATCGCGGATTGTTGATGACTTACGTGCAGCAGCTTGTGCGGAATCGTGAGTTTCTTCCTTTTGCTTCTCCAAATGGGGAGTAACGTTTCTAATGCAGGATCCACTTCCAAGCTTTCGGACATTTTAACCGATCTGAAGGAGCAAGGTTACATTTGCGGAACGCTACGAAGTGCTCTTAGAGAAGATGTTGAAAAGATAATTGCTTCTGATCCAGTGACTTCATCTTTAGTTAAGTCGAAGGAAACCGACAGTTTAGTGTTCTGATTGTCAACTTTTTGTTTGATCTCCGTGCTGAGTAATGCAGATTTTCGGGTCCCATGACCACCTGTGTAACCTTCTACCGTCAGGTGATTTTTTTTCATGTTGCATCACCGACTTCTCGCTTTATAATTGGTTAACATGTACAAATTAACAAACTAGCCTATGAAGCATCTCAACTCTTTCCTTTTCTCTTCGGAAGTTTCTATGTTTCAAGTTCTTTACGGATTTGGATCCAAGATGATAAAAGATTGAGTATCCTCTGTAGTCATTTGTTTTGGCTTAAACCGTCTTTCCGCGATTGTATCTCTTGGAAAAGTATCATCCTCGTACGCCCATCGAACACCATAGAAATTTGATACTGACGAGATCGGAACATCAAAATAACTCATGGTGAATCCTCGGTCTTCATGAAGCCACCTGGGCGCGTGAACAAAGAGGTTCCCTTTGCTTCACCCAGATCGGCGGCTGGAAGGCGGGGCTCCGTAACCTAATCAAGGCTAAAAAATGACCAGAGAGCAGTTCGCGAGGGAGGCACAGACTGCGCCGCGGATGCGAGCAGTCGCCTCCTAGGTCGTGAAGCGCCGCCTTCCAGCAGCCGATCTGGTTGAAGGGGCAAAGGATAGATACGCCTGTAATGCTGATGATTTGCGCACAAAATGTCGGCATTATAGACGTGGCATCTGTTTACGCGCAGATCTGCCGCATTTTCTCGGCACCGTAAGGTCACTATATTAATCGGTCTACTCGAGTGAACACAATATTACTCCTCACTGTGTGTTCATCAGCATTTATTTGGGCCTCATGCGTCTCCATCTGCAGGACCAGTCTCTGCTTTGTTTGTTGTGGCAACTTGGCAATTCGGAAAGCCACTGTTATTGCTGGACGGCGTTTCTCAGTGTCGTAGTTTGTCTAGATCGCAGTCGCTCAGCCGGCTCACTGTTAGGCCTCGGGCAGACTTCACGCGATTTTATCGCCGCGATTCTCCCAACAAGACAAACAGTTACGAGTCCATTGGATTCCGATCATCCTCCATCTCGGTTGTGATAGCTAGTCAAGATTGGTCGTGCTGGAGAACTATCACAACCGAAATGCAAGATAATCGGCATGCAATAGACTCGTAACTGTTTGTCTTGTTGGGAGAATCGCGGCGGAAATCGCGTGAACTCTGGCCGAGGCACGCGACTGCAGTGGTCGCAATTGCAGCCGCCCTGCAGCTGCTGCAGCGGCTCGATCTGAACTATTCGCTTTCCGTGTATGATTGGACTTCGCACGTAATAATTGCTGCCAGGAGGTGTATGGACGAAGAGGTGGAAGTGCGAGTGTTGTTCTTTGGCAAAGCCCGCGAACTCATGGACCGAGAAGAGATAAAGACACGACTTCCACGAGTGCTGCCATATGAGAGACTTCGGGAGCTAATCTTTACCCAGGTAAGGTATCGAGCAATTTTGGAAGTAAGTAACAAAAATTCTTTTTCTAGCTTTTCGGGGTTTTGGAATGCATCTCCGCATCATGCGTACTCGCTGTGGATCTCAAGTGCGTTGGCAAACCTTACCTTGTTTTTTAACATTTAACAAGTGTTAGATTAGATCATATGAACACATAGCCGATCACCGACATAGATGAGTATAGTTGCGCGCTGCTGTCTCATGTAACTTTTTTACCGTTGCGCGCATTCCACTGGGTCATTTCAGACTGCCGCACTGACCGCAGCAGACTGCAGCAGACTGCAGCTTACTGCACTCACCGCGGGGCCGCACAGATCGCTATATTTTTTCGTGAAGGTGGAGAGGATAAATAGTTGTAGCTCAAACGGTCTCTTAACAATATATGCCCCAATAGACAACACGAGCGGAAGTAAAATAGGTATATGCAATGACAAAAGGAATCTGAACAAATATGAGCATATTAAAGAAAAACAACGCTAAAACTTGATTGAGAAGAGTAAGTTGGAACCTATGAACATTCTAGGCGTGAATCACGGTATTTTGCTATATTCTATTTTCTCTTTCACGAAAAGATGCAGCGATTGTGCGGCCGTTGCGGTAAGTGCAGTCAGCTGCAGTCTGCCGCAGTCTGCTGCAGTCTGCTGCGGTCAGTGCAATCAGCTGCAGTCAGCTGCAGTCAGTGCGGCAGTATGAAACAACCCACTGTCATGCGCAAGCGGTGACGGAACGTTGCCAGCACCAGTACTTCAGGGCTTTACAACAGAAAACTTGCTGTCTTAATAATTACTACGAACTATTGTTGCGTGCTTATCCAAATCTTGCAAGGGAGACGGTCAACAAGCGCGATTTCTTTTTAGGTCATCAACAAAAGCCCAGTTCAGGGTTATGCGAGACTCCAAAAATACCAAACAAAGGGCTTTGGTTTATTAGCTGTTGAAGTCCACACTTGTTGAGTTTGACGGATTTTGATGAAAGACGTCCTTAAAAAAGCGTACACGAATTTGGTATTAGTTGCATTTTCGAGCGTTTTTGACTTTCAGCATTTATTTTTGTTTTATTTTGTGGTGATGAAACTGAACAATGATGCGGCTATCTAGTATATTTCACAAATTTAAAATGCATCTAGAGCGTTGTAGAGCACATATTGCGTGCTAATTGATGTCCGGCTGGCAATAAAAATGCGCCTCTTGACATACACCCATCCTGCAGTACTTGGAGCGGCAATGGTCGGGAACCGTGAAACGTTAAGTGGAAAGACAGCAGCGCCAATTAACAAAATATCACTCAATTAACAAAATGTTTACATCTGACCATAATCTCAGTGAATGTTATGAAGACTGGCCACGTCGGTTCCCACAAGTTTGGCGGGCGAAGTCTGTGCACAAAGACTACGATGCGGATTTTGGCGACTCCACTAATGTTTGAAGTACATTATGGATTTATACGCAAAGGTTTTACCTGCCTTATTCGTGGAAGTCGTCCCAGTCGTTGTAATGCAGGATGTGCACTGCGTGATTTTTGACCTCTGGCATCTGCAAAACTTCGATTTTTGTTTCCAGATACGCCGACAAAGACGAGATCGTGAAACTAAATCCTGCAAGCGAAATCGCTGTGATACCCCCGCTCAGTGGTGGATAATCAGACAGTCACAGCAATTCGATGACAATTCACTTCTTCTGCTCACCATATTCTTTCTTATGCCCCTTTTCTCAGCATATTAACTTTTCTTGCTCATTAATGGGTGCCATAAATGTACTTAATCGCTATATCTTACCCTACTCTCAATCTCATCCGTAAAAATTCATTACCTCAAAGAGCGATACTTATTTTCTCATTTAACGACATCCCTACTGAAGCATTTATGTGAGAATATAATTCTTACTAATGAAGATTGTAATGGTTTCAGTGCTGTTGAAAGTTGGTCGTAACACATTATATCTAACATTCTCGTTTTTTTTTTCGTGTAGATTGCTTTAGGATTCGCCTAGTTAATTCTATAAGCTTGCTAGCTTGTAAAAGTTCGTCGATCAGTCAGATTATAGCTGAAGGTGCAGATAATTTCATTCAAATTCGGTCGAAATTACGAATAACGATTAACGATGCAGCCTGTCTTAGGTGCATTTTTAGATTCTAATTAGGCGAACTGGCGGTAGTAAGAGGATGCAAAATAGCTTTTCTTTTTGCGCAATTATGGTTGCGAACGATCAGTGTGGTGCGATAGTCGTTGCCATCCAAGACTTTCACCTCTTTGTTTTATTCATGGCCTGGTATTTGCCAAATAGCCAGTGCATTTCACCAAGAATCCCGCTTTCCGTCAGTTACGATTTATAGTATGGTTCTTCTACGTTCCCTTGACTACAGTATGCCTACAGTAACCCAGCGTTACCCAATAACGGAGCACACGAAATGGAGTTTTTACAAGCAGTTTAGTTTTTTTTTATCCGACTACTAGGATCCATTTACCTCCTATTCGTTTACATAGCTTTGCCACTTCATTGCTTGGTCTTTTCCAGATAAAATGTGGAAGAATACTCCAAAGGGCGTCTATTGAACTAGGTAAGTGCATTATTTGTTTTTGACAGATGCTTCATTGATTATGCACTCGAAACTGCAGAGTCTACTTGCTGAAACCTAATTATCGTACTTGACGCAGCGTCTGCGGACATTTTTCAAATGGAGAGCTTTCCCTCAATTCGATCGCCACCTGCAAGGTGTTCACTCACACAGTGTGTGCAGTTGCGGTAAGTGTTTTCACGGCTCGATCAAGGTCATGACATAATTTTTCCAATTAGCGACTATTTGCGTGAGCGAGTTTGAGTCGTGGCGAACTTGCTCTATGTGAACAGTGTAATATTGACCACATCTGTTCCACCTCACGACGACACTTGCTCGGGTGTGGCGCTTTGGGTGTCATTCGCGTAATTTTTGCTGCAGTATCAGCAAACTTCCAAGTCTTTTTTTTCCATGGGTGTTCATTTTCGCAACTAGCTGAGGACATTCCTGTTTGCATACTTTTCGCAATTAGTTGGAGGCATTGCTGTCTGCATATATTTAGATCCTTTGATCTGCTTTGAACTTGCTGCAAAATGTGATTTCAAAAATCTTGGGACCCATGAAACTCCATCCTGGACGAAACGAGCGAAATTGCTGCTTCGATATTTGCATTTTCAAGCATGCAAATTGGAGTTTTATGGTTCTATTGTTCTGCATGTTCGCCATATCTTTTTATATAATGGTTTTTCTGTTTTACGCTGGCATTCTGCGCCATTTTCAAACATTTGAGTTCTTTTCTGAAAACGTGTCATCCATTTTTTTAGCAACTATCTATTCTCGAGTATAAGCGCGCTTCTTCTTTCCAAAATGTCTTAAAACAAAGACTGCATTGTACCTCAGTCAACCACAAAGCTTCATTTTTGTGTATTCTTTCTCTAAGATTCAGATCAATAGCTACTATATGATTTGCAGCACACCTCTGTCGTGCGCATAAAACCTCTTCCATTATATATTTTGAATCATGAGAGGGCTAGTGTGAACATTTGTTCCATGAAGTACTGCAGGATAATAGGTGGAAGGCATTGCAGTGAATGAGAATGAGCTTAGAATACGCTCAACGTACTTCTCTTCTCCGTTGTGTGTTGTAGAGCAGTCATAAACATTCAAGCAGTATGATATACCTGGATATCTGATATCTAATGCTGGGTATTTATGACACGCTAAGTACACCATCATGTTGTGATGAAAGAAACCGAAGAATTTCGCATTCTCTTTCTTTGAATACGTCTTTTTTAGGTTGGGAGGGGATGACTATACTGGGGATATCATTCTTCTTTTCTTCGTAAAGAGCTTTCAGGTTTGCTGTCTTTTTCTTCCGTCTACGCTTACATCCAATCCAATAATCCAGAGCTTTTATTACGAATGTAATATGCTGAGTGCAGGAGTTTGCATCTGATGTTGAGTGTTTGCTGCAGCTTTTTTCTTGCTTTATATCGAACATGTGGTGGTCGAGACCACATGTTGTGTTTGTTGCACTGAGTAGTTGAGAAAAAAGCATTCCTACGAAAGGAAAACTTTCTTCTTTTTTTTTTTGAAAATTGTCCATATTCGATTTTTTCTCTATGTCTGTAAGTGCTTGAGTAAATGGGATTATTGTACTCTGTTCTGATTTTCCACTCTTCAATTTACAAAATTTGTTTTGCAGGTAGTGCCAAAGTAGAGGGCTGCTGACTTTTCGCCATGTCGATGAGCAGTCAGGGCCATACGGCGACGACAGGCGATGTGCCGTCGTCGAAACGTAGTAGCCGTAAGGAGCTCGTCGACCACTCCCTGTATCCGCCATTTCTAAAGCAGGTATGGTTTCACGCAAGCTCTTCCGTTGCATTGTTTGCTTAGCGGCAGGTGTCTACTATTCGCTGTAATATTGACTTGATGCACTTATGACTCAGAAACGTGTTACGGTGTCATATCTGTTTCCACATCGAAGGTATGGGAATTCTGAATTTGTTGGAAATGTGATATCATTCAAATCGGGTAGTTATGTCTTGCTTTTTCACAGAAATGTCTTTTGGGTAGGCTTTGTCCTAACTGCATCTTTCCACTCCTCAGCTTTTTATAGCACTTCTTTAATTTTTTTAGTTTAGATGGACGCCAAACTCCCCGATTATGTGCGAGAAGGCGATATAGAATATCCATTCGAAGAAACGAGTGGGGTAGGCGACGAAAATCGCATTCGAGGCAATTGGAGCTCGAAGATGGATTACATGTTGGCTGCAGTCGGATTCACCTTTGGTATAGGTGAGTGATCAAATTCTTGTTTACGCTCTAGACTTTGTCTTTTTGCGTGTCATTTGATTCATTGGATGTTGCTGCAATGAATTGCTTGAACCTTTCTGACCTTACTCAGCATAAAGTGCGCAAATCAGAGTATCGCAGCTATGAAGCTGCATCCGTTCGCATATTTTTTACCATTATCTCCTCCTTCGTTTAGCAGTATTCGGGCGCTTCTGGTCACTCTGATTTCTGCGGTCATTCACTGATCAAAAGGTCTTGAGTAAGCCATTGCCAAACCTCAGCTTATGATACATTATCGCTAAGGCAACTCAACTGTTGTCCAGTACCGTACTCAAGAACATTGATTAGCCCCCGAAAGAAGGACGGTAGCGGGCGAGAGTTTAAATTGCCCATTAGTGTGCTGTCTTTTGAAACTGGTGTATACTTATCTTTCAAGCCTTTTTCTGTCTTAATCTGCAGCGGCCTCTCACATTATCAACCTTTTGCTGTGTTAGTGAAGGTTTCTGACAAAATTTTTTTCCAGGAAATTTATGGCGATTTCCGTTCCTTATATATAAACATGGAGGTGTGGCATTCTTCATACCATATTTGATAGCATTGGTCGTTGCTGCCTTGCCAATGTTTTTCATGGAAATAGTATTGGGCCAGTTTTCTTCCTTGGCGGCTATATCCGTGTGGAATGTCGTTCCAATGTTCAAAGGTTGGTGAAATTTGCATATGAAGTGTTGCATTTACCAGTTATCACCTGTTAGTCCATTCCAGGTATTGGAGTAGCCATGGTGCTAATCTCGGCTACACTCGCTATATATTTGAATATTGTTTCTGCGTGGTCTCTCTTCTACTTTCTTAAATCAATCAGCTTTTCATTACCTTGGTCGAACTGTGTTAATTCATGGAGTGGATTGAGTAAGCATACTATTCACGTCCATTGTCATTGATAAATTAACAAGAATTTGTTGAGTTTATTTTTATGCATAGAAATTATTTTTTGTGTTCTAGATTGCTCCATGGGGACTCGTATATCATGTGTTGAAGCAAATGGCACGCTTCTCGTGAATGGCTCTTGTATAATGCAGGTTAGTTCTTTTGCAGAATTTGTAAAAGCTTGCACTGTCTTGCATACTTATGCATTGCCAGTTTGCCTTCTATTTCTCTATAAGTTATGACTAGCATGTACTTTGCACGATTCTTGAGAGGAAGTTACGGCACTTTCTCTTGTAGTATTACTAAGGCCCTGGCCAGAGTTCGCCCAAAAGCGCTCAAAAGCGCCCAAAAGCGCGCAAAAGCGCCCAAACTTCTTTAAGCTCTCCTCACTCTCTCCCATCTCTCTCATCACACGAGAAAGTGAAGAGACACCAGAGAAATTTGGGCGCTTTTGGGCGCTTTTGGACGCTTTTGAGCGCTTTTGGGCGCTTTTGAGCGAAGTCTGGCCAGAGCCTAAGAATGTTCAAACTTTGTTATGTAGACAAATTACCCATTCTAGCAAGCGAACTCTACCATTGTGATCTCTGGCACAAATCTTCAATCTTCTCCGAGTCTTCGATATTTCCAGTAAGTGGTTCCAGTTATATGGTTTCCTAGATTGGTTTGTATTTTCCTCTCTGTGAGCCAATTTTCTTTCAGCGACGACGTTTTAATGATTTCGAACAGTTTCACAGACATAGGCAGATCATTGAACTGGTACCTTGGATTGTGCGTGCTGGTGTCATGGGTGGCTGTATTTCTATGTCTTTTTCAAGGTGTTAAGTCAAGTGGAAAGGTATGAGTTCATCCTTGTTTTCTTCCTCTTTTTTTTTGTTCCTGTGCCATCTGCCATCTCATTCACCGGAACTAAAGGCAGGTGACCAAATTATCTAGGTAGTCTACGTCGTTGTTGTGCTGCCATTCATTATTCTGATAGTTTTACTAGTTCGATTGCTCATCCTCGAAGGTTCCCAAGCCGCTCTGTTGCATTTCTTCTGGCCGCATTGGTATGTGCTGCGAGATTTTAATGTAGGTTCTTTGATGTTATTTATTTTGATCTTGATCTTATTTGATTTTTAATTTTATTTAAAGCTTTGAAAACTACTGTAAAACTTGTTAAGGTTTGGGGTGAAGCCGCTGTACATGCATTCTACTCTGTATCTTGTTGTGTTGGTGGTCTTTATACCATATCGAGTTACAACCGATTTCATAACAATTTGTACAAGTAGGAATCATTTTCATCTCAACATCTCTACAACTTAGATCAAACCGATTTTTCAGAGATATCTGGATCATACTCACAGTTGATGTACTGACGTCTATAGTTTGTTGTGTACTGACATTCTCCGCAATTGGTTTCATATGCTTTGAATTTTCGATCTCGTTGGACAAATTACAAATCCGAGGTGACTCATAAAAATGATACAGTCAAGCTGTATCACATTTTTCCGATTCTTCATGGATTTTCAGATGGAGTACATTTGATTTTTGTATTCCTTGCTGAAGCCCTTGCGGGAGTTCCTGTGGCGCCGCTTTACACCGGCCTGTTCTTCTTGATGGTCGTGCTCATAGTGCATTCCACGCAACTTTTTGTGGTGAGTGCTAGTCTGAGTAAAGCTCTATTTATTGCCTTTTTTGTTCACTCTTCCTACTGCTGTAACTTCAGCTATCCGAGATATGAATTTGTTCCTCAGTAACTTCCTTTGTTAGTGAATCTTCTCCGAAAATGATTCATATATAGTCTAGTTTCAAGACAATGTCACATCACATTAAGGTGGAAACGATAGTGACCTCTCTTTGTGACGAGTTCCCAGAGCGTCTACGCCGTAACAAACGACATGTGTTGACTTCTGTGTGCGCCGCTTTCATATTTTTGAGTATACCATTTTGTTTACCGGTGAGTCTCACAGCCGACTTTATTGTACGCAGTTCTCCGCTCTTAATTTGTTTTTCTCAGGCGGGACTGTATTGGTTGCTATTGCTCGCGCAGTTCACGCTCACATGGCCCTTGGCTGTAATTGCATTCCTTCAGTGCATGGCCATTAGCTGGGTGAGTGAGGGTTGTGTTTTTCGATCTACTTGTCTTTCGAAGGATGTTGTCACTAACGTTGCAATCTTCTTCGTTAGTTAAGCTTTGTTTTTGTATTTTTTCACTTTTTCATTGTCTATGTTGTAGGTTTATGGTGTTGATAATCTGTTAGACAATATCAAATGGATGACTGGCTCATATCCACCGTGTTACATATTTTGGAAGATTCTCTGGAAATTCATCTGTCCTATGGTATACCTGGTGAGTGCTGACATTTCTTTTTTTCATTTAGTGTGGAAGTAAAAGCTCTTGCGCAAATTTTTCTGTAATTCTTCTGAATTCGTATGTCCTCATTTCAAGGACTCACAGGACATTGAGCTACTTCTGCGGGTTTTGAATTCATTTACCCTGTGTTGCCATCTTCTTATGTTATCAGAGTAAATCTGCGGAACGTAAACAGTTCGCTGTTTTTTTTTTCTCGGCGCAACAAACATAAACACATAGTGCATGTATACTACCTCCTCAGTTCTCAACTTATGATCCTGTGTACAGTGGCCAAAGGGGGCAGGGATAATGCTCGCTTGCAAGGAGAGTAGTTATCTAGGTAGAAGTATCCTTCACAATACCTCCCTGGCGCAACCTACTTTTTGGTTTTCACGCCTTGTTGAGAAGCATCAAATTTTTGCTTTGGCATGCGATGCGGTGGTAGTACTCATGCGAAGAACTCTGGCACAAAGTTCATACAAAGCGAGCTCTATTAAAACTGGACTTGCTTCTTTTCCAATCCAAATGCTTTCTTTTTGAACGAATGTTATATTATTTAGTCGATTTTATGTTTCCTCTGGTTGGATTGGCATTCCGTATCTTATGAAAACTATGTGTTCCCGTACTGGACCTCACTTCTTGGATGGGCGATCAGCATATTTCCCTTACTCTTCGTTCCTATAGTCGCTATCATTCAATTATGTTTAGCAAGAGGATCATTTTCTCAGGTAGGAGCTCAATAACTCCAGAATCCTTGGTTTTTATTTTGAACCGCGCTGCAGAGATGGACAACAACCTTAAATCCGGACGATTCTTGGGGACCTGCACTGGCCGTGCATAGGGCGGAGCAATTCCCTTTGCAGATACCCGAAGCTCGACGCCTATTGATTCCACCTGAGGTCGAGGTGATGGGCAGCCACCAGGAGGTAGGATATTTTTGAGTAGCGTCGATTGTTTCGATTCGGCAATCAAGCGTTTGTCATGCACAATATTACTTGCGAGAATTGTCTTTTTACCACAATTTTCATCTCACTGATGAACTACAACTTTTTGCCCTGAATGAATTTGAATGCTTATTTCCCTATCTAACCGCGTATTCTTCGTTAGCGCTTCTACTGTATTTGAAGGTAGTCTCGGCAGAATATCGTTTTCCAGATTTTTACCTTTCCGGAGCCTTCTTGCCTTGAGAAACCCATATCTCGGCTTTTCAGCGCATGAAAATGGCGAAAATGATCCTTTTTCGAAACTTTTCTGGTCCGCATTCAGCGAAGATACGCCGGAATTCTCTTCTGCGCTCCGCCTCCCTCGTTTCGAGCCCCGCCTACTTGCTCATACTCTCCACTGAATGCGGACCTGGAAAGCTTTGGAAAAAGCTCGTTTTTGCCATTTTCGTGCGCTGAAAAGCCCAGGTATAGGTTCCTCATGGCGAGAAGGCTCCGAATAGATTTAAAAAAAACTGAACAGCGAAATTGCCGAGACGCTGTCTTTAATGGGACCAATTCCTGAGAACTCAAAAGCATTTGTCTGTTTTGGTACACCCCTTTAATGGATATCTAATGAATGTTGAATTCAGGTCTGTGAGGAAAAGGAAGGAGGTGCGGTCGAGAATAATCGAGACGCAACGCGACCATTGAGCGTTACTTCAGGGAAATCAAAAGGCGCAGCATCAATAAATGCACTTGCCACATTCGAACGAGAAACTGCTATTTGATGCCGGTTTGTAGCACAGCGTTCCTTTTCTGTCTTTTTTGCTCTCTGTTTTTTCGCCGCTCACGATTGTGCCGTTCTTACCCGGTGCTGTAGCCGCACTGTTGAGCTTCTCTCTATCCCTTATTACGTCTACATGAATAATCGTGCAGCGTGCATCACCATTAATAATGTGATACTGGTTCAGCATTTTTTGTGCCAGTTTAATTTTTTGTAGTTCTCAAACTGAAACGTGCGCAGTATTGTATAGGCTATCATTTTTTTGAAGAAATTGCTTCCTTGTTTAGATGAAGGAAACATCATTAGTCATGTGTGTTCCCGAAATCCTAAATTTTGTGCCAAAGCTTAGCCTCAGCTATAATTTAGGTACTAGTTCTCTTTGTATGGCACTTATCGATAGCTCTGCCTGCGCGGGCAACTGATACGGTATATAATGTGTTGAGATGTTTGATTTGTGGCAGATGTCACGTGGAGGCGGAGCTTATCGATAGCTTTATCTTTCTCTATCCAAATGATTTTTGTACCTACTCTATATAGTGATGTCTTTCTAATATCCATGTGATCACACATTTTGTTAGCTAATTATGCCTATTACTCTGTTAGAGCTTAGCTCTCACTATTCCTATCAAGCTGTTTTGTTGTTACTTACCTTCAAAAGTCATATTTTATCATATTTGCTCATACTCACGACGATCTGCCTTTTGTAAGCGTTTGTACCCACGTCGTTTTTGTTTTATCGCCAGTTTTACTATGTTTTTACTTTTTATTCCCAGCATTCATTGCAAATGTGCCGGACGAAATTGCGGTTTTGGCACTTGCCTGTTTCATTTTTCGCTCAGACAGCTTCTTTTGCACTTTTGCGACATATTCAATCGTCAGCTGCTGTGTACTGAGACCGGCACCGCCTGGCAACGTCAATAGCTTTACAGTGTCACTTTCCTGTTGTCATCGTTTGGCTACAATGACTGTCAACGAATTTGTCATTTTTCAAGTCTAGGCTGAACCGTTAGTTCGTGGCCTTTTTGCGAATCACGCGGTGTGTCGTCTTGCAATGTGCTTATTATCTTCTTTTTGAACAAAGAAATAGTCATAATGAATCTTCATAAATAATTCAGCTTGTGTTGCGTTTTTCGGTCTAAGATGTTTGTAACATTTCTACATGTAAGTGAGACAACATACTAGTTGTGGCGAGTGATGCTGTACCTGAAACAGCAAAATTATTTCCTTCAGCGTTCAGTTACTTACAAATTTTGGCTCGCGTTCGAGGCGATAATGTGCGAGTAATTTGACGCCATAAAACCGTTCGTAGTTGCAAGGGAAGGGCCACAAGTGAAAGTGGCCAATCCAAGCAAGCTACCTACCATTCGATGCAATATTCAACGATGATTTCGAATCTGTATTCCTTATCTGCTAAGCGCCTCTTGAAGAAGTTTTGAGCAGTGTTATTGACTAAGAATTGCGAATTTGAGCGCATTATTGCGCTTTCAGCTCAACTTTAGGCTTTCAGAATCATCTACTATAATAATTCGCAGGCCCCCCCATCAAGTGTAAACATGTGGCTATGTCCGGCGATGACGTCACCAGTGACATCGTCACTGCCGGCGAGCATGTTTACAACCCCTCCAGAGAGCACCAGACAGTTCTGGAACTTTCTTTGAAAGGTCAATTTCACAAAAAAGTCAAAAACAATGAACTCAGACGTCGCAAAGCCAAATAAGCAACCTTTTGCCTCCAAAACTGTGCATCACATAGACACCACCTTGCATTACGTATGCTTCGGTCGCCTTTCATGTTAGGTTCACTTCACCCATCAACCGTACCCAAAGTCAAAGTGGTATTCATCCCAACACTCTCTATCCACCATTACTGTTGCATCTTTTGAAGTCTATCCCAAATCTCTTCCTGTCCCAATGGTTGCTCTATCACTTCTATTATCATCGTGTTTACATTCTGAAAGCTCTTCCCTCCATGCTTATTGGTAGCTTTGAGCGCTAGATACGCGGAAATCGGTCTTTTTCTCTCTCCCTCTATGAGTTTTCTCTTCTTTACGCTTAATTCATTGCTCCAGCAGTGTCTTCATGTCAAAAAAAAAAAAACAATTTAGGGGATCAATAGCTATCTCAAGAACTGCTGGCTTTGCTTTCAAGCCTTCTTCGTTCTTATATCGTTACCTTCAAATATTGTTTCCAAGTTAAATTCGTTGTTGCACAGAAATGCAGAAATTGTCTTGATCTTCTAAAATCTATCGACCTTGCTGCACTCTGAGATCTGTTTAGTTTCAATCATTGTCTCAACTCTAAACACTGTTTCCGTGTCAAAGGCGTCGCATAAGACTATATCGTAACCTAACAAATCGCTGCATTCTAACTTTTTCTCCAGTCTTAATTTTAGCACTGTAAGATGCAGTTTCATCTATCACAAAAAAATTAAAAACGCTATAGAGTTGCCTATTACAACGAGTTTCGTTCTTTCAACAATCTAATCCATATATGAACGATTACTACTGCCGGTGAGCATGTTCACCAGACAGCTCTGGAACTTTCTTTGAAAAGTCAATTTCATAAAAAAAGTCAAAAACAAAAGAATTCGTCGCAATTCAGTCCATATAAGAACGATTCACTACTGCTGGGGGCAAGCCATCCCTTAGGGTGCAGAGAGCACTAGCCAGTTCTGGAACTTTCTTTGAAAGGTCAATTTCACAAAAAAGTCGAAAACAAAAGAATTCAGACGTCGCAAAGCCAAATAAGTAACCTTTTGCCTCAAAAACTGCATCACATAGACACCACCTTGCATTACGTATGCTTCGGTCGCCATTCATGTCAGTTTCACTTCACTCATCAACCGTACTCATTGCTTCAGAGCATCATGAGATAGTCTACGGAGTAACTGAGTGATGATCATCAGTACGTTCTTACATATGAATTTAAGCAAACATCTCTTTGACGGCTGCATATGCTTTTTTAAATGCATGAACCATAAGCTTTATAGAAATTTGTGTCAAAACAGTAGATTAAACCATCAACATTAGTAGATGAAATCATAGTTTTGTTTGACGAAAAAACTCGGCCTATGATTATCAGCAAACAGTTTCTGGATATGTGTCTAATCATTCGAGAATTTGCTATGTAAAAAAAAACTTGAGAGCAATTTAAGAAACAAGGATATCTCTATCATCTCTGTAGCAGAGTCCCATAATTTCCGGATAACTTTTGTTGCTTGCGCAGTTAGTCATTGTATGCTGGATTTCATTGAACGTCTGTCAAAAACTCCTAGTTCGTGTTCATTTCCGGACTATCTGTACACAGCATTTTGTCTAGCCAAGAGATTTATACGAAGCACGATGAAAAATTTTGAATGTATTGTAAAAAATTTTTGCTTCGCGGTATCGCAGTATGTGTAGTTATTGACTATTAACCTTGCATATGCATATACTCATCGATCTCACTCTTATCTTCAAATGTTACGAGTTACGTATCATGTACTCCATTCCGTTACTAGGCACTGAATTTGCATAGTCTAGCGATAGTCGATTATTCATGAATTTTGCTTTGATTATGTTGTAAACTCCAAGGTATTTTTACATGAGCGATTGTGCAAATTTTGCAAAAGAGAGTGGTCTTATAGTTTACAAAGTAGATCAAACTACAGATTCTGACTCCAAAGTTGCTGCTTTAGTAATAGTGAATCGATTCACGGGTGTAACCTCTAAGAAAAAACCTCATTTCTCAAAAACTTTGCCGGTCAGGTCAATCTATATCAAATTAGCATGAACCGTACGTATGTCGTCGGACATTGTCTGAATAATGCTGGATAAGTTGAAATTTGGAATACATAGCTGAAAGCGCCAGGATGATAGCTTATGAATTGTACATTTTATCCACTTACAAGACCAAAGCGCCGCGTAGCGGCGCTTTGGTCTTGTTCAGAATAACCTAGCTGCATGTTTTGGCCCAGCGTTAACCCAACATGGCTCTGTACTGCCAAATTTGCGCTGGGTATACACGATTTCTTAGCAAAGTAATGGCTTCTAACGGCCCATGCCCAAAGGCGCTAAGCAGATTTGGAATACAGATTCGAACTCAGTGTATTATGCTGCTGATGGTAAAGGATATTCGTCGACGACTACCTCAACTAGTGCATTTACACCACCACGGGCGAGCTTTTTTGGACTCTTTCCAGCTTGACAGTAGGACAGGACAGGACAAGGCAGGGGAAGGACAGGGATGCTGCGAGCTAGCAAGTCCCTGCGCGCTGCAGCGTACTGTCAAGCTGGAAAGGCCCCATAAGGCATGCCCAAGGTGGTTAATTGCATGAGTCGAGGCACTTGTCGACGAATATCCTTTATGCAGCTCGTTTGGATTAGCCACTTCGATTTTTGACCATTCCCTTGAGATCACACTCCCAAGTTGTGATTGTGCACTCGATATATCGCTCAGGTGCTGTTGACTGTGTTTACGTTTTAGTAAGAAGAAAATGCTATTGAACTGGTATAAGCTTTTTTGTGGTTTTTTTATTCTTGCGCACTTATATAATAAGGAATAGTACCTACTGCGCAGTGATATACTCACTTCAACCGTATGACGCTATGGACTTCTCTCTATGGATGTTGATGTGAAAAATTATTGAACAAGACGCAGGTGCGGAATTTTCATCGACTTATTGCACCTTTCGTTTTCCTACTCTGAATGAACCTTTCTTCATTTGGTTAGGACACCTGAATTAACTTTTACGCACATTTGGAGGAGAATTGCAGTGCATCTTGTTGTGCTAAAGTTGAGTGCAGATCGACTATTGTTGTTGACGAAGAAAAATCGCTTAAGTTTGACTAATAAATAGAACGAGCCCCGATTTTGAGTTTTTTCCTTGAGTGTGCACATATTGCTGCTAAGAAACTCAATGCCTCTTATTAATGTAGTCAAAGTTAAAAGCACCTGATCGATATATCGTTTTTTGGCTGCCTGCTCATGCACATGCATTTATTAGCAACTATTGCATTTGATTTGAATAAGTGTGATTTCTTTCATGAAGTTGCCCCCGACACGTGTGCTCCTCTTCGCACTAATTCCTAATTCCCCTCCCCCCCCCCCCTCCCTCCCCTCTTATCATTGCCTGTAGAAAAGTATCAATATTCAGCCACTGGTTGATGTGCTCAGTTGGAAAACCAAAAGTTTTGCGCTGCTTAATGGCTATCGCGGTGTGAGCTTTGGTCAGTGTTGACATTCGTGGACTTTGATATCACTTATCAGTACAATCAAACTGTTTGTTTTGATACAAGTACTTCGCGCTTCACAAATGTTTACTGCACGGTTCTTGCTCGTACTTAGGACTTGTACATACTTTCTCAACATTTCGATTTTTTTCAGCTTGGTCCTGACTAAATTTAGTCATGGAGAGTGTGAATAAAGAATGGGGCGACTTTCAGAGTGAACTTGGAAAGTTGGAGGTATCTGCAATTTATCTGCCTTTACATCTATCTTGTCATCTTCTTGTTTTCACAGTTTTGATTGATGTCCTTTTTTATTACAGTATTTAGGAAATACATAGCGAATACATCAAGAAACTGTCTGAACTGACAAAGCTGCAAGAATCATCTCTGAAAGGAGTAAAGCATCAAAACTATGTTCTCAAAAACCTCGATGACACATTGGACAAGTAGGTTTTTGCAGTTTTGCATTTTGATCTTTACTCTAATTGCTGTCCGCACGACCGCTCCGGCTAATAGCTGGAGAGGCCTCTTTTCTTGAATAAAAATTGACATAGTGCGAAAATAAAGAAAGAATCGCATCAACAAATTGGAAGTTCAGAGTAGTTTGGCGGCAGATTTTACTGACCCACGGACATCTGTGGACTTTGCTTGCACCTTGCTTTTAACTTACCATCATCATTCACAATGCTATCTATGCTAGGATCAAAAAAGATGGCACCACTGATGATAAGGAACGTCTTGAAAAGATCGAACATGATATAACTGATGCAAAAGCGAAATTGCATCAGATGGAGTCGGAGCTGCCGGTGAAGGATAATGGATTCTACCTGTCGCTGATCCTAGGTACTGTATTTAGTCTAGACTTCCAATTCCTTTTCGATTACGGTATTTTTTTGTTTTAAAATTTCTTCGAAGTTCACATATATCTAATGATGGATAGTCAAACATCCGTTACAAAACTGATAGTTTCTCGGTGCGATAGAAAAGCAGAGGGATGGAGGGGAGATGTTTCTGCATCTAATTCATGGTTAAGTATCGAAGACTTCTAAATGAATTACTTTTTTCCCTGAAAAATCTGTGTGGAAAGTGAAATTGTGTCCTTTAGGCAAGAATCTAAATTTGTCTCTACTCTCAAAGAACGACCGATATAAGTATAAACAGGTATGTTTGTCCTCGGACGTTTAATATCTCTTTCTTAGTGACGAAAACATCCCATTCCAGGATTATGAGTCTTTCAAGTGGAAGGTGACAATCGCTATCCTCATCAGTGTAACTTTGTCGTATCTGTTCCCTTGGAGGGTTCTCGATTCCATTGGGAATTTTCTTATGGTCTGGTGAGTCGAACTACAGTTCTTTCACTGTTTTTTGGCTATTTTCTGTTGCATCTTTTTGTCGTTATGTGTTCCTATTTTACATGTCTATAAGAACACACTTGAGTACACATTCAGGTACTATTGCACGCTGACTATCAGGGAAAGTGTCTTGAGGATTAATGGTTCTCGGTAGGCTCTATTTTTGCGTGTGATTCCTGTTACTGCGGTTTTATGTTTTTTTGTGTGTGTGTGAAGATTTCGCCATTCAACTTTTTGGGGTTCTTTTCGAACAGTTGTTTAGAATCAAAGGATGGTGGGTGTTGCATCATTACCTCTCTTGCGTTCTTTGCGGTATCATATTGACATGGCGCGATGGTCACTGCTACCAGTCGTTCCGGCATCAGTTTTTGACTTTCGTGTTCTACTTATGCTTTGTGCAAATTCTACAGGTTCGCTTTTATGCCATTTTTACCGTAATCTTATTTTATAGAAAGTAGCTGTATTTTAGACGCAGTATCAGTCGGGATGCCTTCGCCGTCTTCACGCTCTCGGCCAGGGTCACCTTATGGATATCACGGTCGAAGGATTCACCAGCTTCATGTTCAAGGGGCTCACCTTTTTACTACCGTTTTTGGGCGCAGTTTACGTCAGTTTTGCTCGATTCTTTTGGTGCCTTTGAGTCGTACAAATAAATTTGCAGGTTTTCCAACTATATAATGCTTATGTCCTATGGAATTTGTCATACAGTTGCAGAGGAGAGTGGCAGGTTGGTATAATACAAAATTGATGTTTTTTTTACTGTTTATTTGTCTGTGTGTCAGTTTACTTGTTATGTTTTTCTTCAGGTACTGGCGCTAAGTTTTATGTTCTTGCTTCTTGCCGTTGGCAATATCGTCACAACGAGCTTGGTACTCCTTAAAAAACTGCGTTCCACTGGCTCGTACAATTATATCGTCGGTTTGACGGAGAAGTATCGTTCGAGATCGAATTCGAAGGACGAGTAGGGTGCTCCTGACAGTTCCACGTGCAGAAGTAAAGTCGACTTTGAGATCAGGTGGATGGATGAAGTTTTTCATCAGTTTCTAAATTTTGTGCAGTTTTATAATTTGATTTCGCTTCGGTTGCTTTTCACTGCCTTATGCTGGATAACGTAGATTTTTATTCCGCTTTGTAGATCTACTCTACGAATTATAATCGTACAATAGGGGATCCGTCATACTTCGCCGACAAGCCCAAAAGCGCCGAAAAAAGTCCAAAAGGCTCAAAGAAGCCCAAAAAGCCCAAAAGCGCTAGAAAAGCCGAAACGCCCCTAAAAGTTTTGTTCTGACAGGAATTCTGACATTATTTTAATGTGTAGACGACAGAAAATCAAGCAAAATGATTCGGTTGCGAAATCAACATACATACCTTAACGCCAAAACTTGCGCTAAAAGGGGTGCGTCCCGGTTCTTTCTAGCGCATTTGGGCTTTCTTGGATGCTGTTGGGCTTTTTTGGTGAAGTACGATGGTCCCTAGGATTGCAGTTTGCTAGTTCTAAAAGCTCTTTTCGTCTTTTTTTCCACAATCTAGTGCCAATAATTCCAGAGTTGTTCCAGAGAGTTACCAGTTGTACAGATCTTATTCCTATTGTAGATTTGTACAAAGGCCTCTGAATTTCATGACAGATGTTTTATCCCAGTTACATTCTAATCACTCGTTCTATCAGATATCAAATATGTAAATACAGAATTTATGTACAAAATCTTTTTTCATGGGATGTGTGTTGAGATACTTTATTTTTGAAGGGGGTTAAGCCTATTATAAACACTGCTGAGATTTTTGTTCGAGCGCCGCCGAAGGGCGTTGGTACAAGTTTATAAAAGTTATTCTGATTTTTTTAAGCTATGGAGTTCCCTCAGAAGTAGTTGGTTCTGTTTTGAGTTTTGCTTGAGAGCTGTACGTACAAGACTGTAAAAATTGAGTGAAAAAGTATACACCGATGCCCGACCGCACGTATCGCAATGACCTTAGACGGGCTTGTTTGATAGCTTTATGAATGTGTTCATGGGAGTGATGGCTATTTTCCTCTACACGAATTTTCAGCAAGGAATTTGTTGTTTTTTTTGCATTAGCACATGCATGAATCAATTCAGGGTGAATTTCATTTCCCGTATTGTATATACCAGCACTTTTTAATGTACTTTCAATCAATCAATAGCTTCAAGTACATAACTGGTAATCGATACTTAAATTCGAGTTTTTCGACATAGCCGAGATCACACAGATACAATATAATTAGTGAGCTCCTTCAACTTCTGATTGATGACTATGACTTCTGCTTGGTGGTTCACCCTTTGCACGATGACGACTATGATGACGATGTTTTGCACGCATCGGTTGTACCCGATTCATTACATCTGAAAGCAACTATGAGAAAGGGGCAGTCCAGATGGGAGGGGGGGGGCTTGTTGTAACAGTAGACAGGGACCGATACCCATATTAAAATTTTTGCAATCCAGCGCGGACCACAAAGCTCGAGCTACCGCTATATAAATGAGAGCCGATTCGGAACCGGAGCGGAATCGGCGCACTAGACGGTGCGCACATTGACATTGGCGTCGCGTACGCGACAGGACTTAATGCTGGACAAGACGTAATGTGGATTCCAAGCTGAGTTTACGTGAAGCCAAATGCTAATGTACGTCGTTTAGCGCGCCAATTTCGTTCTGATTCGGAACCGGTCACAAATGTAGCATAGCCCTCTGAAATGAACTAATTTGAACAATGCGAGCTACTTACTTCTCTCTTCCTCCAAACGCGCTTCTTCCTCTTCCCTCTTACGTATCTCCTCTTCACGGTCTCGTTTCTGACGTTCCTCTTCTTCACGTTTTCTTCTCCTAGCCTCTGCTCTTTCGGACTGACGTCGCCATTCTGCTTCTCTTCTTCGTTGTTCTTCTTCTTGACGACGGCGCTCAGCTTCCTGCCTTTGGCGTTCTTCTTCTTCCCTTTGACGACGTTCAGCTTCCAATCTTTGTCGTTCTTCTTCTTCTCGTTGACGTCGCAGGGCTTCTAGTCTCGCTCTCTCCGCCTCTTCACGCCTTTGTCGTTCCTCTTCCTCACGCCTACGTCTTTCCTCTTCCTCTCGCTGCCTTCGCATTTCCTCTTCCTGCTGCCTTCGCATTTCTTCTTCACGCTGTCTTCGCATTTCCTCTTCTTGCTGTCTTCTCATTTCTTCTTCACGTCTGCGTTGCTCTTCGATTCTGCGACGTTCATCCTCTTGTCTTCTTCGTTCTGTCTCCTCTTGTTCTCGCTGTCGTTGGCGAAGTTCTTCCATCTGTCGCATTCTCGCTTGTTCATCTTCCATGCGCTGCTTGTGATGTTTCTCGGCAGCGTCGCGCATTTTTTTCCGCATCACCTCGTCTTCCTCCATCAAGCGGTTTACACTCTGTTCCCTTCTGCGACGCGAATCGTCCGTTTCGCGTTCACGACGCCGACCGCGCCGCCCGCTACTCATACTTGACGTACGTCCGGTACTTCGCGATGTTCTTGGTTTAGAACGAGCATGTTCCGTTCGTTGTTTCGCAGTCCACAATGGCGATCCGAGTTCGGCGGTTTTACAGCTATCCGATTTTTTCAAAACTTTTCCACTTCCACCTTCCATCATTGGATATCTATCACGTCGTAGTGGTTCCACCACTGGATATTGCTGTGTTACGTCAACTTTCACCTCGCCTTCATCACGACCGCTCGTAGCTCTTTGTGCTGTTCTGACATCTTCCTGAAGTTTACTCAGTTGTAGCCGATATAAGCGCTAGATATCGATTAACCCACCTGTAACCACAGTTCATATTCTTGTAGGGGATAACTGATAATCTCAGGATGCGACCGCTGTACCATAAGTCGAGCGGTTCGTAGTTCATTCATATGTGATGTATATCCTAAACGAGATTGCTTGTTATCAACAAGCTTTTGACCTATAATCTGTCTCAGCTGCACTGTCGCTTTTGCATGCTAGACGCATTCGCAACGCGAGGGCCTCGCGCCTGGCCGCCGATCGATAGATACCGCATGTGAACGGCGCGCGAGGCACAGCTAATGCGGATGTGCCAACTGGATGGGGACACTGCAATTGAGGCAGGCTGCCTGCGCGTGCGTTGAAAACACACAGCAGCGCCTAACTAGTATGGGTGTTTTCATTTGCACCCGCATACAGTATGCTACCGTAACCTGTGCGGAATTTGAAGACATTAATGTCGCAACGATCACGACGACTTTTGGTACTTTCTCTCTAAGCTATAATTTGCGTCCATTTCGTCACAAATTATTCTGCGCGATATGACATACAGTACCGATGCAGAAGACTGTATCATGATTCGATTCCAGAAAGTGGAATGCGTACGGTATGAGAACAAAAACGGCATGGGGCTTTACTCCAAGCTTCCCTAAGCGATTTCGCGTGCGACGCCGCCGATAAGTACGCTACAGTTTGAGAGCGCAGAATGGGCATATTGTAGCGGTGCAAAAGGACCGTTGCATGCTTGACTTCGAAATTTGAAGCCTGTGGCTCTCAAGAGGCTTACTGCTTACGCTCTCATATAGTCATTCAATAAAGGCCTAGTGATTATTACATCGAGTCCTCTTTTGCAACGCATACAGTATGCTATCGTAACCCGCAGGTCTTTGGAGGACAAAAGTGAGTAGCGTGTACCCATTAAGGTGTTTCTTTGGGAGTTTTGGCGTGCGACAGCACTGGTAGGTCCACACCACATTTTGACGCTGTGGAGTGGGCATACTGTAACGGTGCAAAAGGGCCGATACATACTTGACTTCAGAATTTGGAATCGAGCTCGTGGATCAATTGCTCTTTATGTTATACGTACCGTCCCATGGTCTCACATCTTGTATAGCAGTTCTAGTAGAAGGCTGGTCTGGATGTCCGGGTATAGCAGTTCTTGTAGACTGATCTCTTGGATACATGCGTATGGCGGTTCGTGTTGAAGGTACACTTCGATCTCTTCTTTGCGGGTATTGCATGCGTGGATCGAGATACACGCTGTTTGGGGGTAAACTTTGATCTCTTCTTTTAGGGTACATGCGTTGATCAAGGTAAACACTCGTAGGTCTGGTCTCTTGGTCTCTTCTTCGAGGGTATGTCGGTATGGCAGTCCTTGTAGAGTGAGTGCTTCGATCATCTCGTGAATACTTGCCAGCTGAATGTGCATATTCTTGCAAGGATAATGCCAAGTTCATATTCATATCTCCCGCCAAACCGCGCCGCGACCGCGCGCTTCGAATCGTGTCCATTCAAGGGGTACGCGGAAAGCGAACTGGAGCAGAACGTAAGTAACTTGAAGAACCGCCTACTTTTGCGTCACGCCATCTCGTCGCGTACCTCTCTTGGTCAAGATCGAACGCACTTTCGACGCCATAGAAGCTGGAGACGGAGCATCTGTTTTCTGCGCGCGCAATCTGGATTTGCCGCCTTTCGCACCACAAATCAGCCTTTTTGTGCTTGTCTGGCAGTTATTCCATCCAGCATTTGTTTCAAAAATGCTGTTTCATAAGCGAGGATCAAGCTTGCAAAAACGCCTACGCCGCGCTGCAAGTCGGTGCGGTTTGGCGGGACATGCATGACTATAAACGCAGCCTAAATGTCGCGTACCGCGCGATCTCGATGTATGTGTTCTAGTCGTCGTTGTATGGCGAATTCTTGTTGGACCACGAGCTCCTACTCCATATGGAACTTTAGTAGGTTCAAATTGAGACCCAGTTCGTTGTCGAACTTCTGTGCTGCGATATTCTTCGGTGGTATGTGTCGAAATTGGGCGAATTTCAGCAGCATACTGATACTTTATTTCTTGTTCTTGCTTCTAAATCATTCGTTATGGCGTTCGAACTTCGCTGAAGTTTTGGCTGCGCCCAGAGTTGTTTGTGGGCCGGCGCGCTGTGCCAGTATCAATCGATCGACCTCAGCCGGCACAGCTTGGGTGTGGCGATGGAACGGCGCTGGCACACGAGCAACTCTGAACGCAGTTTCAAGATAAGCTACTTGCTCACCTTCTTCTGTTTTGCATTACTATCGGCTCCCATAAATAGTAATAGTAGCAGTATCAATACGACAATGATCATAAATACGGCTAGAAGCGACATTAGTAAGGTCGGTCACTGGAGGGCTGACCGCTCCGGTTAGTAATGACAAGTAGAATATACCATCCTCTCAATGCATCTCTCATAAATCCTATTTGCAACTCCCATATCATCCTTATCAATGCACTCAACAAGTGTGTTCAAGAAAAATCTTCATTTTCAATGCCAGAAACACACAACACGAAACAACCGGGGCTAACGCAGGTATAGAACACGTGGGACGCTGACGGGTCCGCCTGCGCTGGCAACTGGTACGAGCTAAGAACTGTTCAAGTGCCCGGCTTGTGACAGATGTCCGCGCGGGTGTGACCCACCAGCGACTGCCGTCTTCGTCCCATTCTAATCTCTTTACCAAATTGGAAGGACATCGTGCTCAAATACATACCAGATCACAGACTGAGAGAAGAAGATACATCGACAAAATATATAATCATAAACTGTACAAAGATGAAGTAATAAGTCTTATCAGTACAATATTTACAAGAAAATGAACAACAACAAAAAATGTTTTTGGAGACGACAATCATGTACACTCTTCACTGCTCAACTGCCGTTGAAGTAGCGCTATCTAAATCAAGAGGCTTACAAAAAGCATACAGAAACCGATTTTCAGTTGAGCTTTGGTGCTTTAAGTGTTCTCAACTATTATACATTTACGTTGGTTGCTGACTCATAAAAATATCAAAAACTACATGCAATCTTGCCCAAAAAATTGAGGCTAGGGGTAGATCGGGTAAGAAAGGTTGTTTTAGATGGTGATGATTTGAATAGAAAAAAAGTATCTTTGTTAAAGTAACGAGATTTGATTCCTTTCATTCTTGCCTTCAGTTCTCTTCTGTTGCGCACCAGTCTAGCGACACTTTTGGAACTCAAAAGGTTTCACTCAATTCAGATGTAGTCAAACCCGGATAGTTTCCCAGACATAGTTCGGAATGGTTTTACTTGTAAAACTCATTTCGCATGGGAAAGAGGTAAACGCAAAAATCTTAAATGATTGTCCGACCTTTGATTTTTGTCGGCTCTTCGGCTTCGGCACTCGATCGGCTCGAACTGGTGGTTAGCAGCGATGTCATCGAACACACCTCCATAGTCTCTTTTTCCTCACGAGCAAGCTAAAACAAAATATATCTAGGGCAGATACAAGTCCAAGAAAAGTTGATTAGTCAAATTTTCGCGTAAATTGACATAGGAAGCTTCTAAGCAGAAAACTTTTTCTTCTCATAATGCATGTATTAGGTTTCGTTATTTGAGTCCTCTGGCCTACCTGTTCTTTCAGTTTTTGATATTCCTGAGACGGATACATACCAAGCATTTTGTGAAATTCTTCGGTAAATTCAGCTTCTTCACTAAAAAGTAACAAACAGTTGGTAACACTTCAGGCATGACAAAAGCCTTACACGCTGACTCTTCGTACAAATTCATCTATTCTGGTGGATAAAGTATGCTGCCTTTCGATAAGTTCACGAAGTTTAGCTAGAGATTCTTCCATAGACCCAAGAGCCTGCAACAGATTCTTGCAGCAATAATTAATTTCATGAAAGTTACAACAGCCAGAAAATATCACGGCGGTTCTTGGCAAATGTGGGTATTCTTACGCAAAGCACTTAGAGTTTTAGTGCGAATCTCTGGGAAACTTGAACAAGCCAAAGCCCAAGCAATATCTCATAAGACTCATTGGTAGACAAAAAACTCAATTCTAGACCCTCGCCCATTACCGTATTGGCTAGTGCTGACTCAAAAGAGTACGGTACTGGGCTAAAGTTCGAATTTAAAATGCTCGGCTGTGAATTAAACATATGGGGCTACGTCCTGTGCATTATTTGGTCAAGACTTCAATTACGGCAAAAAACAGATACTCAAATTTGCCTGAACCGTTAGAGCTACTGTCGCAAAATTTTTTGAATCAAAAACAGAGGACGTGAGTGATATTGAGGTAGCAAAAACTTCACAAAGGTAAGTAACATATCGAGCTCACCTGGTTACACCCGCAGTTCATCATATTCAGTGGTGGAACGAGATCTCCAGAAGTATAAGCTTCAAATTCTGAGCGTTCCATCTTCAAACTTGCATAGTTCATGTCTTGTACAAATTGCAGCGCACAAGATAAATTTGTAAAGAAATATCCTGTAAGAATCATATAATCTACCACGCACACAGATAAGAAAAGATTTTCTACCTGATTCCCCGCTCATAATACGTGTCGGCAAAGCAAAACGGCTAATAAACTTCACATTTGATTGAATAAGGGGTGGATTTCCCTTGAGCAGCACGTAGATAAGCACCGGTAAGAATTCGTCGGCACTCGTCGGAGCACCTGGAAAGCAATGAGACAATCGTTATTCGCCCTCTTGAGTCCAATATTTGTGCATAATTATGCTAATTCTTAGTAAAACACAGACAAGGACATGAGAACGCTCTCATATAGGCTGTACGAGAAAACATAGCTGAGCTCTACCAAATGAAAATGAGTCAGAAGCAGGTTAGTTTGATTATAAAAAATCAGTAAACAAAAAAAAAACAAATTTCTCAATGGCCAAAAAAAAACACAAGTCGGATCATAATAATAGCATCATATATTTGTAGAAGCCCCGCAGGATATAATAATGATGTAAGTCTTCTGTGATTACAAAAAGGCTTCCGAGTCAGTAAATACCAAAACAACGAACAAAATAGATGATTGATAATAAAAAGCATTATCCAGTAAATCCTCACCGCTTTCTTTCAGCGCCTCAAAAATCTTGTGTGAACATCGAACGAGGCATTCCAACTTTTCGTCATTTCTTCTATGGCTATTTATATCGATCATTTCTGCTATGGCATCGTCAAGTAGATTTCGAACCTAAAATATCATAGAAAGTGAACCTTTCAGCAAAGCCTAAACAATTTTGAAAAATTGTAAATAATTTGTAGACAGGGCCTTAGAAATCAAGATATTTTGAGTACTCCCAAAAACACTCACCGCTGGTCTAGCAAAGTTGATTTTGGTTTCCAAAAATCCTGCAGTGACCCAATTTAGAGAACGAATACGATCTTGTAACGAGAGATCTGCCACTTCCTCATCAGAACTACAAAAAATCAAAATAATCACATTCAGGAAAGATGGCAAAATGCCGGCCTCGTACCTAGCACAGAATAAATGATTATAGCAACATGTACAGATATATTTTTCAACTTCGGCAAGGACGTCTTCCACTTTCACATTGCATTCTGGAAAAGCAAAATAGTCAACCACTCATTTCATGGAAACCGAAAAAGGAAAAAGAAGAATTCTAAAGAGATAATAAGCAACATTATAGAACAAAATATAAAAAAGAAGATAAAAATCATACTCACTTTCGTGGTTGAAAAATGGATTTTGATTCAGCTTATCGATAAGATACTGATAAAAGCCTTGCACCAGCTCTGACATCTCATCTGGACTAACTCGAAGCTGAAAGAACGATGCTTATACGGCAAAGCTTCCACAAAATTTTTCTGTCGATTATCCTTACCTCATGGATTTTCATCACAGCATATTTGACTTGTCTTGTGACTTCTTGCAAAATTGCAGTCGGTAGGCAGGTCACCAAGAAATCAGTCAAAGCTTCTCTTGCCGCTTTGCTATCCGGACTCAGTTGTCTCGGCCTTAAAATATGTAGATCAAAATTTCTAAAATTTGAAAATAAAGTATATTTTACCTAGCAGGTGTGGCGTTCGGTGAAACATGTTGCAACGATGATAGCGAGTCATCTGAACAAAAGATTTGGGAAAATATTTAGAATTCTCCCTCTTTTTCATGAACCTTCTACAAAACAATTGTATCGTTGGATAAAATTATCGCTCCCTCCCCGGCACCTCGTTTCCCAAATTAGCTCTCTGGCAAAAGTAAACACGATGACTTATTAATCATCCAGAGTTGTTTTAATTGAGGCAAAAGGTTGGAACCCAACACCCTATTTGTTGTTCGAAGCTAATACAAATTAGGTTCAAAGAGGAGAGATTGGAATGAGGAAAACAGCACGGTTCTGTTTGCGTCATCAGTTTTCGTACGACAAGAGAATTTTGAGATTCCAAAAAGGAACTCACAGTCAATTTCTCACATACAATCAAAATTCTTCTTTCAAGTCACTTGACTTCATTGAACCTTTTTGGAACTTTATTATTTCTTCCAATATCGCAAATAAAATTGTCAAAACTTCAAAAAAACTTAAATCCTAGAGTCTCAAATGAAAATCATATACTTATGAAATTTCTTTGTATCAGGAAAATAATGTCTGCAAAAACTTACTTGACGTTGATGCCATCAATGATGGTGAACGAAAGATCTTTTTTATCGTCATCGTGCGACTTTCCGTTGCCATCTTACGTCTTTCATGGAAATTATCGAATCCTAGCAAGGTTCTGAAACAAGGCAATCAGCTGTTCTTTTATCCAGTCAAGCGCAGTAAGTGAAAATGAATAATGCATAAAAATTTAAATGCAAAGCTTTTTTAGGACTACAGTTTCTCATGACTAATGCTAAAGAATTTGTACCTGATAGGTTTTACAAAACTACGGTTATCCAGTGTCACAAGGATATTATTTATATACTCCAGCATGAAGTGTTTTTTACACTTTTTCCATTAGAAAACATACATCTCACAGAAAATTGTATTTTGGTTGAATTATAGTTGCTAAGTGTCTGAATTGTACTTCCGTATGTTTTCTACAACTTAAGCCCGCTTCTTAATGCAAATTTTCAAGCCCCCTCCGCCCTAGGTCAGGCCAACATTCTTCCCCCCCCCCCCCTTCCAAACATTTCATTTGCAACATTGTATGTCATTCAAGCTTTTTTAACCTTCTCTCAGCTGACAAACGAGAATATTTTACATGCATGACAGGGAAATATAAATGATATTTGAAGAGCGAAATCCTACAATAAAATTCTCTGAAACTAATAAATATCGCTCAGCAAATAGGTTCGGGACAGCAAAAAGCTATTTAGATATGACAAGCAAAAATTGATTAGTAAGAGAGAAACCTAATTGATTTGAAAGATCAGAAAGAAGGAATCTCATGACGTGGACTGTGACCAACACAAACCGGTTTTATTACAAAAACAATAGGTTTTGCTCAGCGCAGTAATGATTCGATCATCTTTTATTTATCTTCTCTTCTTTTTTCGTCAATAAATCAAATGGATAGTTTAAATGATTTCGAAACAACAATTCCTACTACTTACCTGATATAAATGAAAATAAACAAAAGAAGGAGATAAAAAATAATGTTACTAAACCCACCATCAAAAAATTTCAGACTAGACCTTTACATAAAAAAAGTCGATACGTCTACATTCTAAAGTGTTACATTTCGTAACGACATCATGTGAACAGACATTGTTATGACGTTGATTCAAGTCCCCTCTTGTTCACTTACCTAACCTTCCCCTCCCCCCCCCCCCCCCAACTCAGTTTACAAACAAAATTAGAAAAGCACAGCTATTTGCAATTTGTGGAGGTAAGGGACTGTGCATATGACTTGTTTACTTGTAAATGATTTTGAATGTTTGAAACTTCTGGTTCAAACTTGCAAAAACTTTTTTGCCCCCCCCCCTCTTGAAAATTTTTTTTCGGGCTATCGCTCGAAAGAAATTCCAGTAGACTTATACTCCACCAGACAAACTTGGCTAAAAATGTGTTAATTCTTGAATCTGCGATATCTTCGGACAAATGCGATGAGTCAGGATTCCTCAAAAATCTTTTAATAGGGGCAGAAGGGACATTTTTAGGGGAGGGAGGGCTTGAGAATGTTTCGCATGAGTTAATATATTATGTAAGCTACTGTTCCACGGGCAAATATAATACTTTTTGAATTTCTCGAAATATTTTATTTCTACCCATGGCGCAACAAAGGAAGGGTTGAACTTATGTGGACTACTTTTCTATCTAGGTTATCGATACTTCTAGAAATTTCTATAAATCATGATTTTCCCAGGTCACACTTCGAGAAATAAACATCCTTTCTTTTCATATTTCTCTTACCAGCATCCTTTTGCTCCTCCCTACGCCCCTTCCCCCCCCCCCTCATCGTCTTTGCAAGAACATTCTAAAACCGCCACTCCGCGCTTCCCGCTTCTTTCGGGAGGAAAGAATTTATGCAAAAAATGTCACTTTGACATTCTTCAAGCCTGGTCTTAGAAAGAGTTTATGAAGTCAGTTTGATCTATAGCAAATCGGTAAAAAGGTTACAATCTACTCAAAAGATACTTTCTCTCCTTTATCAGATCCGCTAACCCTGTTACTTCCTCCGCCTACTAACAAGCTGCCAAAACTTCCCCTTATTACACTCTGTAGCGTGCATAGACTTCTAAACACTTCAAGTACTTTTCAATAAGTTCATGTGCAATTTCCACTTGAGTACAACTGAATGCACACATTAGACGTCCTTTGTGCGGGGGATCGATGGGGCAACACACACGGTTCATTTGCAGAGGTGCTAACAAGGCTGGGGGAATAAGAATGGAACGCTATTTTTGCAGCTAGAAGTCTAAAAAAATCATTCTCTTTCAAAATCACAGCTAGTAAACCATACTGCTAAATATATAGAAACCGAAGAAAACTGCTTGATATTCATTGTTTCAAATAGAATTTCCAAGGAAGACCACGAAAATTTCAAAAATCTCATAAAAAGTTCCATCCGACATTGCCAAAATCATGCCCATTAAACAGATTTTTGGGAAACTCTCCGTCTTCTAAAAAACACTTTAGGCAGCCTCTGCTCCGAACCCTTCCCCTTTGGAGTCGAGAAAACACACCCATAATCGAAACAAGTTTTAACTCCAACTCTGAAAAACAAACCATTCTTTCTCTTTTATTTCTTTCTTAATTTCTTTTTCAAAATGCCTTGAATCTCCCCCCTCCTTAGCTAAAAAAAAAAGAACCGGTGAAAAAAGTTATCATGTGCTGAGTTCTTTTTATTCTGCATTTTTTTTACTCTGAGATAGTCCGGCATATGATGAAAGAACTCCTTCACATAAGATGTACATTCTGTGGCAAGGATTCTTGAGTTTTCCGACCTCCCCCCTCCTTCTCCATGCCCCAATTTTCTCGCTCGATTCTAAAAATCCGACATCTCTCAGACCGCAAAGAACACATGCTTCATTTATGTAAGGGCGCACGCTAGGCGCATTATTGAGCAAGGCAAAGGCAAAGTCGGGCAAGGCTCTGATCTAGGGTAGAATGGCACCAAAGATTACGGATAAATCATTTGAAAAATAGTTCTAGATGTTCTATCTGTCACACCCCAAAAATTGGACAATAGGACCATCATAAAGAGAGAATGAAATTACTTGTTCTTAGCGTAGTCCTGACTCCTTTTCTCAGCGATCTGATGTTCTCGCCAACATTTTGAACAACGATTACCCCATTGTGGTGTGCCATAGAATCCACATCCATTGATGCAGAGCTGAAAAACAAAATGCTATTTTAGAACGACGCTGGTACGACACCTCAAAGTAATTTCCTAGTCCAGTAGGTAAACAACTATATAATCACAAAATGAACGAGCTATAGGTAGATATTTTCAGTTTACACGGGTATTTTGTGCCTTAAGTCCCCTGGGAACTACTCTTCCTATTATAACTGAAAAACTGCAAATTACCCAGCCGTGTTCAAAATTGCTGCTTCCGCCAAAGTACAAGCAAAAAATGAAAGTCTATAAATACATAGAAACATTATAAATTAGGACCTATGAATAACTGAGACATGCATACAATAAAGCAAATGTCGGTTAAATAAATTGATAAATAGGTAACTTTCGCACTTCAAATGGCGCAGTGGAGACAAAAATTGAGAAAGAAATCAGGTCAATCATAACTACTTCCTATCCCCGCTTTGGAAAGAATAATGGATGGGATTATTTTTCTTAACTACCACCTATTTGATCTTTGCTCCTATTTGAGCAGCGACAATGAAGATTTGCATTCAAATATGTATCGTAAGAAATAAGGCTACAATCTTGTATTGTTTGCGCAAAAATGCATTTGAGGAACAAACAAATCATGATGGAACGACTTTTTGTAACGGATGTTGGAGAATCAATTCTTAAATTTGACTTGTAGGTTCTTATAGGAAGGGGTTATGCGGTTATAATCTCAAAACCTAACAATCAGGTTACTTGCTGAAGTTTATACCTTCTAATTACTACTTAGATAAACTTATTTTACCATAAAAGGTGTTGATTACCAGTTATTTTCAAGATAATCAGCATTAGGGCACCTCTGAACTACTGATTTGCGTTTGATACTACATTCACATTTCTTTTTTTAAAGTCAACACTTGCTTAGAAAGCTCAAAAGGTCAAGGCAAAAGTGTACTCCTCAAGAGATTGGAGCGCGCTTCTTTCCTTGAGGCACGAAAATTTCCTACTTCTCCCCTTCATGTCACTCCTCATGAGTAGATCACTCCAACGTCCGTCACCCTCTTGGGGATCCTAGTCTAGTACCTCACTCAATTTTGATAATCTTATTGTGAAAAAACTTCATATCCAGCACTTCCTCCACTCCTTCATACTTGCTCAACCGTTTCCGGCAATTACCTCCTTTCTGATTGCCCACTACAACATTCTAATCATAAGGTAGACACATCTCATTATTTATGTTCCGGCTTTGACTTGTTATCGGCTTACTATACAGACGGGGCCACATCGGTTAAGAACATCTGTCTACGGGTTTCCATCTGCTAAGAAGAGGAAGGCTGGACACAACATTAGTGCAAAGTTCTCGAACAATCCAAAGCTCACGAAAAGCTGAATTTTGCTTGGTTGAAAATGTCAATAGATGCAGTTAATAAGGTCAAAAGTGGGAAAACAAGACTAAAGAGGGGGGGGGATGGAAGAAGACTTGTATGGCGCATCATGAAGAGCCGAGTTCAAAAAAAAAAGAAAACCGAAAAGAAAAAGAATGAATTTCTCCCCTTTTCTTCTGTGCTGAATGCACTAGAAACTTTCGTAGCCTTTTGTGCTTTGATTCTCTTCTAATCCTCCAAATTATTAACAAACAGGGGAAAGGGAAGAGGAGATGGGGGGGGGGGGGAAGAAATTTGCAGGAAATGCTTGTCAAAAAATGCAAAATTGTGGATCAATAATTTTGGTGAATACATGTATAATTCTAGTGACATACTGTGTTCTTTTCTAAGGTCCAATGCAATAAAACCTTCACTACCTCCCTATGACCCCCTCCCCCCACAATTATCAACATTGCGAGGGGGTGGTGGGGAGGAGGAGGAGGGGGGGGGGGGGAGAGAAAGAGAGAGAAATAGCACAATCTGTCATTACTAATATTGACTTCACCTAATTAGTTTACTATGTGATTCGCTTCTCTTACGCGAAAAACAACAACAAACACAAAAACAACGGCTAAAAGCATAGCTTACTGAGCGATAAGCTTATTCTAGGCTCACTTCACATAAGTAAACAAGATTGAAGCTCCTGTCTCTCTCTCTCTCCCCCCTCCCCCATCTTCGTCGTCTTTCTCACCCCTTTGGGCATGACAAAACTCTCAAACGAACTCTTGGGAAAAGCAGAAAGAATCTCATAAATTGTCAAAGAAGGACAACAAATAATGAACTTACCAAGTCCTTCTCCTTGATCTGCACTTTGAGTCGGCGACTCAGTTCTTCTTCTCCATCAGTGAGCACATCTTCCGCGTTCGAATTCATCTGAAAACTTATTTCGTACATTTTCCCACAAAAGAGGAAGTACCTCACGAAAGAAACGAGGATCCAAAAAATGAGGAAAACTCACGCGAAAATTGATAGGAATACATTTTATGGATTCTTTCAAGGTACTGAAAGACACCATAGCTAGGAACTCGTGAGGTACAAAAGCCAGAGTGATGGTGCACTTTTACAGCCCCAAAAAATCAAGGGCAGCAGCGAGAGTAGATTTAAATACATGATAGCGTAGAGTGGATTACAAATGATATGGAATGTAGTACAAAACGCGGACAATGCTTTCAATGAAATTCCAATAGAAAAATGTTTCTGTAACCTTTAAGCACAACAAAAAATTGAAAACTTTTTTAATTGTGTTACATGACATATAAATTTGATAACTAGTACAGAAATATTCATAAATCTTAATAACACCTACGCAGCTTATGAAGAACAAAAAAACTTTGTAAAAGCGTTTCTGAGCACGAGTGACGACGTATACACATAACAAAGGAAGTGGTTCAGATAAATATGGGTCTCGGACTTCTTATATGGAAACTGATTTGAAGGTTCAGTCAGACCATTGCCCAAACGGTAGTCCGTGTGATCCATTCGTGGCCGAGAAATTTAACTCCAAACTCTCGTCCAGACCGTACTCTTTCCAACCGTCGCCATCAAGTACGGTACTGGGCAAGACTTTGAAAGCGATTTTCTCGGTTAAGAATAGATCATTTGAACTGCCGCTTGCGCAATGGCTTAGCTGCCGCCTCCAAATCAGTAGCCACACAAACGAACATATTTTGACTACAGTACACCCTCAAGTAAAGTTCTACCATCTACACTGACTCACTAAGGGAAAAAGCACAACAAAGCTTTTTTCAATACTTCTCTGCTCTTTTCTTGTCCAATTTGCATTCAAAGCGAACAATGCAAGCGTATAAATGCACTTTCCTTTCAATTCACAATTTGATGCTCATGTTTTACACTTGAAGAAACAAGAGTGCAAAATTCTATTCATAAAGTGTCGTTGATATTCCGCCTACAAAAATCCCATTCCAATCAAATTCTAAAAAAGAAAAAAGGAAAATTCAATAAGCGGGAAGTTAACAGAACTCCCAATCGCAGACTGAGGAAGCATTAACTGCTATAGCCAGCTACTCCCCCAAGCGCTAAGTTGAGGTCAAAAGCCATTGAATGCGGAATAATCCAAAGCCATCGAGAGTGAGTGAATCGAGAAAGCGGAAGCGGCGCCGGGACCCTTATGTTGAGTAAGTAGTTTAACCAAAGCAATCTATCCTCATCTCCATACAACCAATCATCCTTTAATGCTTGCCATCCATGCGTCTGTAGCGAGTAATCAAAGAACAGATAACACGAGAGAATGTCATGAAAATCACATTTTATACTCGGACGCAAAATTATAATTTGAAATAAAAGTTGCATCCGAGATGTATAGAGTGCATAGAAATTCAGATGAATCTGATGCTAGGAATTTGTACACAAAAGTAGTCTTAACAAAGGTTTCAAAAGCAACAAATTATTTTATTTCATGCTCGAATGGTAACAAATAAGTTTTTGAAGGCAGCAAGGAAAGAGTTTCCCATGCCAAAACTGATGAGAAGGCCTTGGCCAAGGGATTGTCTAAACGACAGCTCATATGATTCAAAATCGAGAAATTCGACCTTAAAATCCCACACACTACAGTACTCGTGGATACTGTTTGATTGGGACTACGGTACCTGGCTAGAGTTCAGGGTTGAGTTTCTCGGTCTCAAACAAGTCATACAAGCTGCCACTTGAGTTCAGCGGAGACTTCGCATTCGCTCTCTACAAAAGAATCTTAGGTACTTAGATTGGTGTAGACAGAGTCTTTCAGGTAAAATCATGCAGATTAGGTCATTCCAGATTCCAATGGCAAAAATGTTCTCCCTTCCAGATTCCAAAGGCAAAAATAAAATGTTCTAAAGCAATACTTTATATTCGTATGCTAGAAAGGCGACCGATATAAAAATATAACTATTGAAATGATTCATTGCAAGTTGTCTTACAAATAATTGATTCGATGTAAAGTCCCGAACATTACGGCCCATTCAGGGATTTGAGAATGAAAAATTCTTGAGAATATTCTCAGAAAGCCTATTCAAGCTAAAACCATCACAGCCACCTAACATGAGGTTGTCTAGACAATTATTGCTCCACATTATTGAACAAACTGAAACATTAAAGGAAATTAGTTTCAATAAATTACAGGAAGTACAAAATATCCGCACAAAAACAATTAGCAGTAAAAATGGAGCTCAAGGCTGAAAACAACTCTCCCGACGGCTACAAATAAGCCAAGCACGTCTTGTTAGAACTACATTGGTCTGGCCAATATGTGGACTCGAAAGAATCCAAGATCTAGTCGCGTGCGACAAAGGAAATGTGTCAACACCTCGAAAATTGAATCTGAAAACGAGGGGCAGCGCGTAAAAACATCGTTTTGACAGCTTAAAATTAGATTTGAGCCGATGCAAAAAAATGGGAATTGTTGTTGAAGCCATTTTACCGGGACAATCATGAGAAGCTAAAGAAGTCAAAACTGCAAAAACGCAACAACTTTATGAGGTTCTCTGAACCAAAGCCAAGGCTGAAATTCCAAATCGTAGAGAGACTCCTAGCAAAAAGAATTCACCAAAGTGCTCCAACCTTTCTTCGAAATGCACAAGTCATTGACTTTCCCATCGAAGTAAAAACCAAACTTCTGAGTTCCTCGAACTTTCGTGAGAAGCAGGACATTCCCGATTCAGAAAAAAAATTCTGCTAATCACATATTCGGACGTTTTGGAGACACGTATAAAGAATTCTGAACTTATGAATGCAAAGTAGCTGAAGAGCAATGAGTTCGAAATGAATTTTTCAGGTGAGTTTGTACTGAACCCAGCGCTAAGATGTAAATGAACCAGACAAGGACAAAGTAAGGATTACTAGAAGGCAACTGTGAAAAAGCTGATAAGTCACAAAAAGGTCTTAATAGAAGAGTACTGGCGAACTTAGAAGTTCAAAAGAATTCGCCAGACGGATTCCCCAAACTTAGTCAATCTCGAATACACAGATTTCTAACATTTCAGGACTTTTGGATTGGCAGTACCCAACAAACAATCAGCTTTCCGTGGCTATAAATGTTGTTGTTGACGTTTTTCAAGGAAAGCAAACAAACCGATCATGCATGAAAAACAGGTTTACATAAGGTTCTTCAAAAAAGTGGTAAGAACTGAGTAAGCATACTCATTTTTTCACCCTTGATTAGTTCAGCCTTTAGATGTCCATTTTAACAAAAAAAATACGCAATTACTATACATAGTAGTGGTAGGAGCACCATTGGGTTGGAGGGATTACAAAAAAAGTTTCCAAAGAAGGGGGGGGGGAGACATTAACCGTGTCTAACAAAATAAACTTCGTGCTCCACACTATTCGCAAGCCTGAGCCCTACGGCAATAGCCTCACTCAAACTTCATAAAACTGATTACTTTGAGATTACTTTGATTATTTACAAAGAAAATAAAACGCAAAATTTAATTCGTGTAGACTTTGCTGACTATAATTTGACTGCATATATTTGAAATTCACGAAGATTCTGATCACTTACAAAATAAATGTTCACTTCAAAAACATTCAAAAACTTACAGGTTGTTACAATTCATGAATACTAAAAATCCACAAAAAAAACAACAAAATAATTTACTTGCTCAATTTTACTATTTGAAAAGGTTTTGATTATGCTCAATTTTACTATTTGAAAAGGTTTTGATTATTTAGAAAAGTAATTTACTAGCATAATCTGCAACTCTAGACTTTTAAGCACTTTCTACGATTCTGAAGAGCTCATGGGAAAAGGGAAAGGGGGGGGGGGAGAGAAAAGAGACAAAAGGGCGCAGCTGATTGAGCGCCGTCTGGACCACCAGGCCGACTCCACTTTGAGCGAGCTTTGAGCTCCGTACTTCTAGCTTCTAGCTCTCCCTCCCTTCTTCCGCCCCCCCCCCCCAAGTCATGAGCTTTCAATGCTTACCCTTCTATGAATAAATTAGACATACAAAGGACAACAGCAATGCGTCTATGTCGAAAGCAAATGTAAAGCGTCATAAGTAGGATATGCGGATAATGAGCTGACATTACCATTGAAATTTTCGCTTTTTAAAAAAGCATAGAGCATGTCAAAAGGACACAGCCATAATATGGCAAGTGCACGAAAATGTTAGCTTTATATGACTTCTGACAGACAAGAGATACAATTTGATCAAGTATTGTGCAAATACGGCCTTTTGAGGGAGATTAATTGATTCAGTAATGAAAGAAAAGGTCATCGCAATATACCCCAGAGCATATTTTATCAATGAAAAAGGCTTGCAAAAGTACCTCCCCTGCGCTCTAGCGAATTTTATGTACTAATATGCTCGTAAAAGATAATGAAGTGAACATTCAATTCGTTTCCACGACATATCGGGGGTTTCTTTCTGTACCACAGTGAAAATAAGGTAACAAAGAGTAATAAAATGTGGTACTGCAGGAGGCTGACTCATTCCAGATGAGCCAGATGATCCGCCAAGTACCCCTACCCGCATGAGCGGAAATTAGCAATGAAATTGCGCCACGCCCATCCAACTCCACTCATTTGATATTAAGTAAAAAAGCGGTATTTCACATTCTGGACATCAAAATACTTTCCATACTCAGAATATCCAAGAGGCCCAAGAATCAGGTAAAACAAAATTAAACAAAAATGATGCAGTAACAGAGTTTGCAGATAGAAGATAGCGTTTGAACAGATCCTCAACATTGTTTTCTCATTACTTCTAGAGATTCTGGAAAAGATGACAAGTATGCGAAGCTTCTAAAGTAAAAGATGTTTTTTTTTCACTTTCAAAGATATAATACTGAATGGGCGTGGCGCGAGTGGCAGGCCAACCAATCATACCCGCTCGAGCCACGATTGGCTATGCAATTGCTGGCGCGACTTTCATAGCTCCATTCATATTTTGGAATGTTTAAAGAAGCGATTTTCATTCCAATCAAGCTTCAGCGAACAATCTCGCACTTAGCACCTACAGGATCCCAGTAAATGATGAAAAAAATCAAAAATACATCAAGGCAGAAGGTCTGAGCATGAAGAAACGGATTACGAGCAGCGCAAAACCCTCCAGCATCCATATAGTGCGCCTACTCGATAAAATTGACGAGAATTTTGGGTAAACAAAAAGTGCACCGAGGGATTGTGAAATTTTATTCGAGTGCAGCTTTGTCGTATCTCCCGGAACGAGCAAGATGGCTGCTTCATCTATGCAAATGGGGGGTCGTGGCCACTCGAAAAAGCTTTTCATCGCACTGTTCTTTGGTTTCAAGCTGTTAGTTCCGCAAATTATCCACAAGGGACTTGAGGGTGTCGGCAAAACTATTATTTATTCACAGAACTAACATTTAGGTATATACTAATGATAGGTTCAAATCAAACGCACGGGGTATAGGTAATTAGAGAAGATGAGCACCTTTCAAAAGAAATAGCAGAACTAATGATTTTCTTATAAATTCAAAGACGCACGTAGCTAGAGCAAGGCGTGCCGTTCTCACCATCTTAAAGATATACTGCCGACATTTATGAATTTCCCAAGATTATTTCGGCGCGTAAAACGATTTTGGGAAAAGAAAAACGTAAAATAAAGAATTATTGGGAGCAATTTTCTCAAATTACTTGAATATGCATTACAGTTTTTATAGGTGTGGATATTGCTAGCAGATTCTGTTCATAGCTGTTCCACTTCTCCCAGAAGCCGGGATTTGTCGTTCCCTTTCTTTCGATTCAAACAATTGGAGATACTCATATTGATCCTAGAGAGACAATTCATAATTTAGCAAATACCAGTGTTATGACAGAGGAACAAATTCGTTCAAAAATGGTGGACAAAAATGCGAGCAACAATTTGAAGAGCAACCTCTTTGGCGATGACTTGAACACTTGTGGCCCATAACCGTTTCTTTTTTTAACTAGAATTTCCTCTCTTCCAGAACCCTTGGACAATAGGTAAGGCTTCGACAAACAATCCTATGCTATGCCAACATCAACTGAGAATTTAACCATCAGTGATGAAAAGATAGCAAAAAGTAGTGCTCATTGGTCGATTAACCTTGCTATCATCAGTGGGTTAAAACTGAAGTATCGAAGGAAACTTGCTGTCAGTTCTTTAGCTGAATCAAATACTCGTCCTAACCTTGAGGAAATGAAAGAAAAAGCCCAGGATGAGCTAAACAACAAAAATCAAACCTAAAGAGTGAACGAAAGGAACAAATCTATAACTTCAAACGATCTGAACACATCTGCAGACGCAATCAAGGACACACTAGACCTCATTCAAAGACTAGAAACCGGTTCAATGCAAGGTAAGCGCCACCTACTGTGATGTAGACTATTCGACTCCCGCTACAAGAGGTGTAATAGAGCTACTGAAAAGTCAATGTAAAGTACAGCACACGATGTGTGAGTATACACATCACATGCTGAACCTTACGACTACCCACTGATGAGCAGTAGTAAAAAGTGTTTTGATGAGATAATGTGTCGAGAGATTATCAGTGACATGTTTTCACCAGTGACGGTCCCAGGATTCTCGTCCGAGAGGGAAATGGGGGGGGGGGGACGAGCGGCAAAAAGTTTTTTTCAGATGCTCCGAAAAATTTTTTGGGTTTTCACAAAATTTTTGCGCCCAAACCCCTAAAATCTAGAAGAATGGGGCGTGGCAGCAGCCACAGCCCGAGAAAATTTTTTACAGGGCTAGCTTGAACTTTCAAGGATTTTAGAAATCATTTTGATTACTTACAAGAATAAACAAATCAATTGCAGACTTTATAACCTATGTAAGTATATTTCAATATTTCGCAAGGTGATGACCACGGGACCCAAGGTGAAATGTGCAAAAATATCCATTTTTTCCCAAAGGCTAGGGGTGCCGGTGACTGTTTGTTTGAGTTCTATTCAATTTTTCCTTGCGCACCTTGCGTGGATTTCTGAAATAAGTGAATAAACGCCCCAAACTTGTAAGCAAAACTCGCGAGATTTTGATCTGCAGCACACAATTTCAACTAACAAATAACTCCACTATGAATCCAAAAAATGCTTTATTCTCATGACATCTATCAGGTCCTTTAGAATATATGGCAAATCGAGAAAAGATTTAATACAAATTCATTTGTACAAAAAGATGAAACATTGCCATAATGTACCCAAGTGTATCCTGCATAAAAAAGTAATGAATAGCTTCAATTTTCAGAGAAAACGCGTGACTACATTTTTTTTTCCTTTCCAACCCCTAACAAAGCTTCTTCGCTTTATCACCCGTTGAGCAAACAAATAGCATTACCTGTATACACTCATATTATCTATGCCTCAGGCGCATGGATGGCTGAGCAGGCATTATGACACCTCGTGAGATTATAATAACACATTCGATTGAGGAATGAGACATGTAGGGCCGTTGGATATGTGGAGAACAGCAAGGTTGAGAGGGAGACGTAATTTGAAACGAAGAAAACAACGATGGAAAACACTTAAAAGATTGTTGTGGCGCGATAGCAAAGATAATGCTCGATCAGAGGACTTTCAAATCAAGTCTGCAAGAAAAATAGTTGGTGTCTAATCAATTCTTATGAAATCAAAACTTTCAAATGATTAGAAGTAGGTGAACATTGACAAAATGGCAGGTTTCAAAAGAAAGTGAATCGCGACTAGACATTCTAATAATAGTTCAAAGAATAATTTCAGATTAATTGCGGATTTTTGTCAGCAGTCCTCATCTCAGCACTTTGTGTAATTGCACCACTATTGGAATCTGCACTGATTTGTAAACATTTTATCGTTATCAAAGGATTCTCATAAAACGACGATTGAGTAAAAGAAAATGATGAAGATAAAAACCATGGTGCCGTCAGCTTGCTGCAATTTCAGAAGATAGTGCAGTCACGTAGATACATGCAGATGAGTGCGACTACAAAGAACTGAACGGTTCCTGCAACTTCAAATGACCACAAACTTTTTTGCCATTCGGTAAGTGCACATGAAAACAATTTTGTGGCATTTTCCTCGAAGATTTCCTACTTCCAATGAACACTTCGACAGAATCCCTACATTCCACCCGGATAAAAGTCATGATTAAGCTTGCATGGTCCAAAAAATCCCAGGAATGATATGAGTAGTTAACAACGCGTGCAGAGAACATCTCGCTCGGGCTCGGCTCTCACATCGAGGGCAGCGCAGCGTCAATGGGGGAAAGCACGAAAACAGCTCGAACGCGGGCACGGGCAAGCCTCAACGACGAAAACAAGCACATTCACAGTAGTAGTCTAGTTCGCACATCGAGCACGATGTGGAATAAACTAGTGTTATATGGGGCGGTTGCTTCGCATGGGAAGGCGTTCGAAGAAAAAGGAATGCACGAATGCGCGCGAAAACGATGGCAAAAAATGAATGTCTAGAATACTTGAAAAAAAAAACGCAGCGAATCGATGGAGAAATTGAGAGACGTTCGGCGAAATCGAAGATGAGTTTTTTAACGTGCACAGGTGAGACCGTGCGAAGCGGGAAATTGGATTTGTAAAGCGATTAACAAAATGCCGAGCAACAAGTCCAACAAAAGAAGGTAAATAAATAGTCACGAAAAGTTACCTCTGTTCATCTTAACTATGTAGCATTCTGGCTTGCTCAAAAAGTATCGACAAACGTTCATCCATAACCCTGTGCAAAATCACACTGCTAAACTACAATGATCAAGAAAAAATTGGTAAGAACATCACTCATTGAAAAGTGCACCCTATGCGAGTATAACTAGAAAACAATAAAAACCCTGAATTTTTTGCAAAAAAAGTGATGATGATGGACTTTAGGTTCGGGCACACTCCCGAGTTCAAAAACAGAAAATTATTCAAAAAGACGTCATTCGCAGAATTTTTTGGAAAAAGTGCTGATGGGGAAACGGCTGCAAAGCGCAGAGATAAGAACAAAATTTATGAGGCGCTTTGCATTGCTGAGAATCTGTGGAGTAGCAGATATAGATCACACCAACTCAATTATGAAGATTTCTGCAAAGAAAGATGGAAAAATCCAATTCCAAAGAAATGAAAAATAATCATTTGTGAGCAGAGAGGGAGAGAGAAAATGGCTAGATTGAATTCAAAATGGAAAAAGAAGAATACTCGATGCATTATTCCACCTCAGTGGTTGAAAGAGAAAAAAAAAGTACAAACAAACTAATAAAAAGATATCAGCCAATAAGATAAACGCACCTGTCAGTGCTGTTTACGTTATTATAACACCTTTCATTGCTAGTTCACATCTCATATCGCGGATAATTCATCACTCATTTAAAGCGGAAGTGAATACATTAGACGATTCAGACAGATCGTCTGAGCTGCTAAAGAATTCTAGACTACTGACTAGATGTGCTCAAAGTGGTAAATATCAGAACAGGTGGAAAACGACTGTATTCCAGCCAACCAGAAAGAGCGTGCATCATAGTCTCTAAACGATAACAGATTCTGATCTAGGACATTAAGGCTCATAGGCCATAAATCACGAAAAAAGCAAAACCAACAAATAGCAAAGTATGGAGAAGTTGGAGGGAGGTTATGGTTCTAGCAACAAAGAAAAAGTTCGATACATAGCAGTACAAGATTACTGCATTCAAAGTCTTTGCATTCAAAAAAGATTAGAGACAACATCCTATAGGAAAAAAAGACAAGTGGGATTAGCGGTTAGATGGACTCGGAAAAGTAAACAATCGCATTTTTCCCAAAGGATAATGGGCCATAATCCTCAAAGAGACGAACAAGCCGCAGAATTTTCTCAGCTTGTATATTAATGATATCTGGCGCAAAAATAAGAAACAACAACTTCATTCCTGAAGCATGTAAGTGAACAGTGGCACCTTCCCATCTATCAAGAACAAGGAAGAAGATCCTCAAGACTTTATGCAGCAATTACGCTGTCTACCTATCTACGACTAACAGGCGAAAACAAACACAAGGATATGTACACACAATATACACCGACAAAATAGACACGATTTGTTATTCGATGAGCAAGATATGTGAGGCAGACAGCGACTATATAGACACACTCTAACAAACACTACACCTAATAAAGCTATTACCACAAAAGAATCACTGAATTCTACCAAAAGATAACGAAATAGCTGAACTAGTAAATGAAACCCAAGGTAATTCACAATTCATCATAATCATAGTAAACAGCAACGAAAAATCAAATGCCTAGTCAAAAATTGATATCGTAGTCATGGTCAATATCAGCTCTTCAATTTTACTTCAAAATTTTGGCTTGCGCTCACTTCTTTCAGTATAAGAGCGGAGAACTTGGACGGGAAGTCTTCTTCTTCAGTCCAAGCGCGCATCTTAGCTGCGTAGGTCTTATCACGTGCAGCTGTGGAGATCATCTTCTTGGCTGATTCCATATCCGAGTCACGAATATAGCGGATAACCAGATAAAACGCTGCGTGTGGATTTCCTAAATAAGAGAGATAAAGTTAAGACAATGTAAGAGCAAAAATCACAAAGAAAATCAAGTGCTCTAACTGAGAAGCATATCCAGATAGGAGCTTAGGGAAATTGGCACAGAGTGCGTCCCTCTTTATTTTCCGAACGCGACAGAATAGGAGGAAATTGTAAACAAATTTAAGCACATATGATTCAATTTACATCAAATCGCAGCAAAGAGCTTTATGTGGTAGCAAAAAGCTGGCTGCATCACTAACGGTAGCTTTCATTCCCAAGACATTTAGATGAAGATCAGCTGATACCATGATTGAAAAATCTTTGCACTACTAATAATGTCAACCATAAGGTGGGGAAGGAAACGATAGGGTCAACGCGAGTTTGCTCAAGATTCCTAGCGAATGACTTAGTCCCAGACTGATTCCTTAAAGGCAGCGTCCAGGCAGATCTAGACCTATGGGGCTTTTACGTGGAAAGTACTTTTGGGGCCCTAACTAAGGCACTGCCCAAGCGGCAGCTCAGGTAGTGCTCTAATGGCTGAGATATTCCCCTCGAAACTGGCCCCCGCGAACGTATTCGCATGGATTCATGGCAGTTTCGCGCCAGGATCCACGCTTTGCGCCATGAATCCATGCGAAACACGGTCGCGGGGTCCAGTTTCGAGGGGAATATCTCAGGCGTTAGGGCACTACCTGAGCTGCCGGTTGGGCAGTGGCTTAGTTAGGGACCCAAAAGTACTTTCCACGTAAAATCCCCATAGGTCCAGACTTGCCTGGACGCTGCTTTTAAGGTGAATCCAATCGTCGTAGGTTTGTTCGAAAGAGAGGATTATGTCGTCTCCCTACTTATTCTGCTGTGATACGCGAGTCAGATGATGCAGTGAATCACCTCATTTAAAGTGATTCAACTATCTGACAAGCCTGTCATAAACTGCATTTGAAAGCAGAAAAAGATCGAGGCCCTTCAAAAAGGAAAGAGTTTCTTTTATCAAAGCAAAAAACCTAATCTTATGTCATGATAAGCTAACTCTGGCAGCCTTTGAAAAATAGTAATTTCCAGATCATGGAATTTCAAAGCTTCTCATGATTGTTGCTTTTCACCTTGGAAACAGTCTTTTAGCTTTGTACATGTTTGGTCTCTGGCTAGAAAAATCTCTTTAACCTCATGTGCACGAACACGGGAGAGCTGTTCCTAAGCCTTGAGTAGCAAGCACTACAGATTTGCCGCAGGGACGAAAGAGGTTAGCCAATCCCTTGCGACAATCACTCCGCAAGGTAGTGCAGAAGACAGGGTGAGTTCAATTATATTTTGCAACAAAATACCAAAATTAAGAACATGCTTTTCGAAAACACATGGGAAATGTGGTAAAAAAAAACTTGCGAAGTACGAGATATTTCTATGAACACAGGCTGAATCGAACTCCAAAAATCAACCAAAAATTTTTGCAGAATGAAACGAACCTCCAGCTGCTGCCCTGCGCATCAAACGCAGCCCTTTCAATTTATCAGCGGTCTTGTCTCCATCATTTGCAGCACTGATATGATACACCGCTAGTGAATATATAGCATCCACTTGTCCCAAAGCTGCTGCTTGTTCCCACAAATTCAATGCCTGGAAAACTAATTAGTAGAAGGACAAGCAAAAACATAGATCTTTGCAAAGGCTCATTTGCGAACGAAAGTCATCTGGCAAGTTTATCTGAGTCTTATGCGCGAACTTTCCAGCAATTAGCTTCATCCTGATCCCGCTTACCAGCCAATTAAGAGCAGTTTTTGCAAGCCCCCATAAGAAGTGCGAGAATCAATGCATCCTAGCACCTAGAATTTTCCCTTTGCACTTTCCTATCTCTTGCATCAATATGCAACTCCAAGTGACCAAAGGACATTCAAACACTCATTTTTGTCAAGGATTAAAGTAAAAATTTCCTAGATAATGAAATGTTAGGAAACATGTAACTGAGGACCTAACAAATCTGAGCGATACTAACAATGAGCAAGAAGAACGAAAAATGCGCAAAAGCAAGAACGAATCTGACCTTAGCTTTATCTGCAACGACTTCCTTTCCAGAGTAAAGAAATTCAGCTAATTTGTTCATAGCATCAGCAATTCCGTGAGAAGCAGCAGCTTGAAACCTAAAATTTAACAATAGGTACATTTGCTCAAGGACAAAAGAGATGCACATTTTGAATATATTGATGGCAGGTACAGGCAAACCCCGGGCAATGAGCTGCCTAAGTGGAAAAAGATGGAGGAGGGGGAGGGCTATTTGGCACCGCCAAAAAATGACATGTAAGACTTTCTATGAACCTCTTGTTGGATCGTGTCATCTTCTGTGTTGATTTTGAACCGTTATCGATAATGGTAAATAGTTAACGGCTGAAGTTTCGACGAAAATCGCTTTCTTTGGAGCCTGAAATAGGTAACCCGATCTGCAACCTAATCGACATGTCACGGCAGCAAAATGGACTAAGCGCTAAAACTTGGGAGTGCTAGATTCATGAACCCACTGAGTTGCTGAACCCATTGGGTTCGTTGATGAATGCAGCCACTGAATGCCAACAAGATTTTAGCAGAGCAAGGTGAATGATAGCGAATGAGTAGCGCGATTATAGCAGAGAACTAGGTCAAAGTGGCTGACCTAGGAGAGCAAGTTCACACGTAATCGCTATGCACTCAACTTTGCTAGTCTTTTCGCGTAAATTCCAGAAATCGGTCAAAAATGCTTACGAGCAATTTAAAACCATTATAGCATGCAAGCAAATACAAGCTCCGTTATATATGTTGAAAAAATGTATTTCTCGATCGTGAATAAAGTATCCGCATAGCAGTTTTGGCAGTGCCTCTCAGCCCTTCCCATAAGTTTCCACATTAGAAATTCTTGTGCCCAAATGCTCAATCAATTTTTTGCGCTCATGAGGCCCTTTAACAATGTCTGTGAAGGCACAAACAAAGAAAATATGCGTCTCTTTATGACTCAGTACAAACCCTAATCAAGTGATGAGTTTTAATACCTCAAGATGGCATTCTTCTTGTCTCCTTGTCTAAACAGATCCTCTCCTATAGCATTTTCTAACTCCCATTTTGCTTTCTCTTCCTTCGATAATGCAGATTTCACCTCTGGCAAATCAGGTACAGCATCATCGGTTTGTACTCCAACCTTTGGATACAAACCTTGACGATACAAAGAAAGGACTGACGCAAAAAAAGAAACTTACTTCGGCAATGTTAACTTTCTTTGGGACCTTGCACGAGATGGCATGTTCGTAACCTTGTGCGACTATAGGTGTAAGTGGTCCAGCTCCGGATAGTATAAGGGAAGGAACCCAATGAGTCCCACCCAAAAGTGGTGAAAATTGCAAGGAATGTGGACCAGTGTTGAACGAGTTTACCAGCGGTAGAACGACATCAGAAAACCGGCTGAAAGAGGAAATAAAACGTAATCTAGCTTTCTCACAAATAAAAAGATATATCTACATGTTGTCTCGATGGCAGCGTCATAGCTCCAGCAGCTCGGTCCTCGCGGCCGCCTCGCTTAGGCCTCGCGCCGCGTTCGTGGAGGCGGATTTTTCCACGCTGAAGCAGCGATTAAAAGGATGACAAGCGTGGGGTGCCCCCAAATACGTCCGAGAACGCTGCGCAAGACACGCGCGAGGTGGCCACGAGGAAAAGAGCAGCTGCAGCTGTGACACTATCATCGAGACAGGCTGTAATGTTATGACACTTACACAAGACCGGGTGGAGAATGGTCTGAATCCGAACTGGTCGGCTGAGCCGCTACTGATGGTGGTAAGTGAACAAATCGGTGTCCATTTCGAATGATATTTGAAAGCGCTACCCGCTGTGAACAACTCATGGCAGCTGCGATCCGCTCTAGACCATCTCAGATCCGATTGCGTAGACCTGAAAATTGCAGCTATAGAATGGCCCGCAGGAAAAATGAGTATTTAATGCGAGAAATGATATCAAGAAAACTTGCCAAAAAGGAAGGGCACACTTTATGCGGGAGAAATCAGAAATCAAATCCCCAAGTGCAACGCACTCTTTCCACAATCAAAATTTTTATCAGAACCTTATGCAAAACTTCCAAAACCCTGCATATAACAAAGAGAAGCAGTTATACAAACTATGCACTCCCTTGCACTGTAAGATCAAAGATCACCCCGAATAAAACTGCAGAAAAAAACATTGCTAGGAAAGATAATTCCCCGAAGTGAGAGGGGCCAGTGATGGCCAACACTCATTTGCAAAAATGACCTTGCGAAATAGCCTTTCTGCAAGATAAGACAATCATATGACTGCCATAAAAACGCAAAGCTAGCAAATTCGATAATTTACGGGCGCCTAAATGCGGTTGCCGCAAGCACACGCCGTGCACGCGATTTTGCCCTAAAAACGAACCAAGAACTTTTGTTTATGGCAGCGCGTATTTTTGAATTTGCCAGTCACAGAATGAATGACACTCATTTCATAAACGAGATGTACTCAAAACACTTGCTGAAAATGCGCGTTTGTCCTGTGCAAAGTTGGCGCAAAACCTATCGCAACTGGGGAACAACCCGATTGATTAATTTAACTTCAATGCGAGCTAATTTGGCGATCGCAGTAGCCTCAGTTGGATTCCGAATTGCGAAGCCCGCCGTACGTGATAGCAAACCCCCCGGCCGCGCGCGTATGCCGAGCGGCAAGCTCAGACATTCGCGGTCAAGTCCAGCCGGTGAAAAAGTTGTGTCCCGACGGAATGACTGCGGGACATAAGTGAAATGATTCGCGAGAAGACCGGGACTCCTGCATTTCATTCGGGATAATGCTGCACGACACTTGCGGTTGTCCAATGTTTTCTACTGAGAAAACCGGGAGCTCTTGACCCGATGATGTCGCGATCCAATCACCGGCGGGACTCCCGCTCTAGGTTATCTAGGTAGGCTGAGGAGCATCATATCTCGCTCCCAGGAGTGGTTTGGACTTGTTCACCCCCGTGGGGGTGTGGGCCGATCCCTGCAGCAGTGCAACGCTGGGCCGACCCGTGATGACGTGCGAGCAGGCCCGCAATCTCATCCGGTTCCAAACATCAAATAACCTTAACGAGACTCATTCGAGACTCTATCGAAGGTTAATTCGATAAGAACAGAAACTAAACTTTGATCTTAGCCAAAAGGCCGAGAAGCGATACCTTACCGAACTGGCAGCGGTGCCACTTCAGCCAGTGAGTCGGACTCATCGCAGGTCAGCTAGCGCTCACTATCTCACAGCAGAGAGCGCAGGGACAGGTGAACACATCTGTGCCAGTAGGTACTAAACGCTGTTTTACCAGCATTAATTCAGAGGCTATTCATCATTGCTACCTTGAGGTAAAATGAACCTTGAGGTAGGTGATTTTATGTGGAATGCATGATACCTTGAGGTGAATTCTACCTCAAGGTAGCCTTATCAGCGATAAATCCGTATTCATCAAACTTGATGCCTTTACCTCAAGGTACATTCACAATAGAAACTTTTACCTTAGCAAAAGGCAAGGTTAGGAGTATACCTTTAGACATCTACAGGTTTTAAAGGTTGAACACTGCAGTGACAAAACTGAACTCACTGCGGCAATTTTGTCTAAATTCGTTGAGATTAGCTATAGTTATAGACATGTGAAGAATTTAGTACTACATTTCTCTTCAATCCTATGGGTATGGTGTGAGTGTTGTAAAAGTCCTGTGAAACTGACGTATCGAACTAAAGAATGTCAAACACATCCGTTATCTGCTCCAACAGCTTTTGAGCATCATAAATCCTATCAAACAGAGCATAGCATACTGAAAGCACAAACTAAATGTGCATAACCCAAAAACAATCGCTTTGCAAGCTCTGTATTCAAGAAAAGCCAGTGTTGACGCTCGTGTAACGCATTTCTTTAGTCTTGTTTAATTGCTCAACTCAAATTCAACTGAAGTAGGCATCAGGTAGGCATCGCAGCAGAGAATTTTGTAAATTGTACTTAGAAGCAGACATTTTCCCGGATAGAGTCTTAAAACCCAGAAATGTTAAATATCTGGACCCTATCCTCTCCAGTGGCCATATTCATCAACGTTACCCAGTGGGTTCCGCTCCCCAATGGGTAAACTTACCCATGGGTTCGCTTACCCAGTGGGTAAGCTTACCCATGATCGGTATTCACGAACGCCCTCTGCCGCTGGGTTAGCTTACCCAGCAGCGCTGACGTCAGCAGGGTGCTCATTGACGTCTATTTAAAGCACGTACTGGCATCCTTGCTGTGCCCTTGCATCGTTTTTGTAGTTCTTCACAACTATTTGTGTGCAATATCTCTACTACATATTCACAAACGCCTCGGCCCTCGAAATTCTCATCAAAATTCTCGCGTAGGTTTGAGTCTTTTAGCATGCAAGCTAATAGTTTGATTCGACCGCGGGACTAAATCATTGTTTGAAGGCTTCCGTCTTTCTAAAATTGACATGATTTGGTACCATGCAAAATTCAAATTCGTGAAAGTGGAAGGGGATTGGTTTTTCGAGTTCAGACTTCGAAGATGTGGGAAACTTGTAATAACTTACATGAGATAAGGCGCCTAAAGCCTTACAGAATTACACATTTTTATTGCAGTCGTGATTCTGCAAGTGTTTCAAAGGGGCTCAAGGTTTCTGATGAAGGAGGGAAAAAAAGCATTTTGAACACTTAAAGTAGCCTAATCTATTTGAGTGCGAGAGAAACAGAACATTTTCTTGCATGAATAGAGCACTAAATTTACAAGTGATTGACATACAGTTTCGTATACGATATTTTAGTTGCAGTAGTATTAGAAAATCTCTAAGATGAGCTAACATTGATGAACTCCATAGCAAAAAGTTTTTTGTTTGCAAAAATGTCAATTTTCACTTTGAAAAGGTCTTGAATTTTTCGGAGGATGGTGAAGTTAATTACCCTAATTTCACGCGTACAAGGCGCGGGGGATTTTTTCTAAAATCCGCCAGCCCAAACACGCCACAACACTTCGCGACCAAAGAACTCTATACCGGGCTTCGTATTGCCTGAGAATATTGAACGGTTTAAGGTTCGCTTCTCGAAACACATTGAAGCGGTTGAGCGGCTTATTTGAATAATCGAAAAAGGTGCGCTTTGTACGCGTGAAATTAGGGTAGCTTGAACCGAAAGTTCAGTCCCTTTTATTTTAAAAAATCGTAACTGCTCCCTATGCGAGCATAATTGCTTACAAAAAACTTCTTCAGGAAGAAAAATTCATCTATTTCTACAAACACCTTCGCAACTCTTGATAGAAAGGGACTCTGCCGATTAAAATCTGAATAAGAAAACCATCCCAACTTTTGATTTTCGAAAATGAATTGTCACAAATACGGGCAGAAAAATCTGAAGACATGTTTGTTGAAGCCAGTGTAAGTTGTACTTTCTAATAGACCCGAATTTGTGCTGATTGAGCTTTTCTGTACAAAGTTGTTTTTCGAGGAAAACGCAAAAATCGACACAAATTTTTCTTTACATTTTTTTGCATTTTCCTTGAAAATTATGATTTTTCATAGATCAACCAGCATAAAGTAGCACTTTTATAGAGAGCAGCTTACGTGATCTCAAGAACTGCCTTGAATTTCTTTGCAGCGTTTGAGATTTTTAACAAATGATTTTCAAAAATCAGGAGTTAGGGTGGTTCTCTTATCCGAATTTCTATGTACAGAGTTTCTTGTCGCCAGGAGCTTCGAAGATGTTCTAGGAGATAACTGAAGTTTTTCCTCTATTCCTCATGAGCAGTTACGTTCACATAGGGAGCAGCTATGAATTTTTCGAAATCAAAACGACAGAACTTTTGTTTAGCCTAATGTTTCGATTTTTTTCATTGAATTAGTAAATTGGTTTCTGCTATGAAACCTTTTTTTGACGGTTTCTTGAAAAAAGGCTTTAGTATCCAAGTAGGAACATTAGCATTTCTAGTATGACATACTACGGCCAGTAGCCATTGGTTCTTTCTGAAACTTCTACAGCGTTTGAAGAAAAGGCCACAATCCTTTGTTACCCATTGCGATTCTCGATGTGTGCTTGGGTAGGAAGTTACCCACGAAAAGTGGGTATCGGAACCCACGATTTCTAGGTAAGGAGTTTCTTGAATACCGGTATTGGGTAGGCTAACCCATCGAAGCTGTTCGTGAATACCGGTATGGCGGCATTTTGTGGGTTAGCCGACCCAGCGGTAGACTTAACCCACTGAGTTCGCTTACCCAGCAGCTTCGTGAATACCGGTTTCGTGGGTTGAGGCTACCCACTGGGTAGGATAACCCACTGGTTTTCGTTGATGAATACGGCCACAGGTCACCAACTGTAGCCTCTCACACTCTGAAGATATAAGTATCCTCGCGTAAATCCCATGCAGATACGAAAAAAAGCTATTCACCGCAAGTACGCCATGCCCTTCTCTGAGAAAACGTCAGTGTTTATCATGCTGGCACAGGTTGTTTTAACCTTAAAGGCAGCGTCGGGATTGACGGCCTCCGCTTTATTGCCTTGTTTGGCCCTACTCGTCGCTCTAAATGCGAATATAAGCCTCCGAGCGCGTGAAAACGAAGAAATCCGAGGTTTTCGGAAGCCCCTTCCAGTGGCCTCCTCCGGACGAGCACTCACATGCCCCTGGTCAGAAACCAGAGAAGCAAGACGGGTTATGACAGTACGAGGTTGCAACCCGTCCACAGTTATGACAGTGCGTATTGGCAACCTGCACATCTAACTTGAAATCCTTGGATGGGCGGGCATGTCGCCGCCGGCCGTAAAGGGGTGTCCCTGTCGCCACTTCTGAGGCGGTTTTCTCGCTTCAGAAGCAAAGTGGAGCGATGCCACTTGGGCAAGACCTTGATCGGGGGGTGGGAGCTGTAGGAATCTGTTCTTTTCTTGAAATCATTGGACCTGCTCGGACGCTGCCTTTAAGAGATAAATTTTGATGAGTACGAAATTATACCTTGAGGTAAAATGTACCTTGAGGTAGCTTCTCAAGGTAACTTATATTGCAGTAGGGTTCATTCTAATCCCACCACTGCAGGCGAAGCAGCTAGGACAGTACGTGCCATAAACTCGTACATTCTTCATATCTCAGGCTCCGAAAACGCATGAGCCGCGGAAAATGATGCAGTGTACATGCCAACTCTGCTCAGCCGCTATGGTGCAGCCCACCCGCGGCCTTTGGGTGCAGTTGTATTGAAATACACTCGAAACGCGATCCAACATAGAACGGCTGACCGCGGATCATAAGTTTACTATAATTTTCCTTCCGTCTCCCACAATTTGTGAATCGCAGTAATAATAAAGGGCCACAGCTCGTCCGCTTCCAGCGTCTGAGCTGGCACGTTTGTGCCATTACGACAATCGTTAGTTTTGAATTTGGTATAGCTGTTTTGGTAGATAATCCTCAGAATTTTGCTTTAGCTAAAGTAGAAAGATGATGGCATACGCGTAGCTTCGCACTCAGTTTGTAACAATCCTATGTTTCTCCAAATATTTTCTTACTCTTATTCATACTTCTCTTTTAGCTGACATACAACTGTACCACGTCAGAACACCATCTAAGAATCCGGAGTACTGTTTTGATAAAACTTTCCAGCAGGGATTACGAGATTGGAGAGCTACTGGGATCACATTTGTGATTGGAAAACAGCGGGCATTTGAACGCCCTTTCCCGCATGGGTAATTTGTGTTTCCAGTGAAATAACGAAGACAAACGATGTCACTTCACATCTAACCAGAAGGCTGTGTTTAAGCTGTCCGTATGCGCAGCTATAGCGCCGTTCGAATAAGTTAGCATCGTGCCCACAGTGGACGCACCTGTGTTGATCGATTAACTTCCGCCGGCACAGTTTCGGTGCCAACACGGCGCTGGAACGGCACTGGCAAAAGCAACCATGGACGCAGTTTAAAAGTGAAGAAATGGTTTGACATTGCAGGACAGCAGGATACTTTATAACAAGAAAGTATGGACCTGGTGATGAAGAGTGCCTCTCCGAGCATGTTCAAAAGTTTTCAAGAGTGCAGGGAGACCTAGCGTTTTTCTAAGTGAAGTCGATGTCCGCTTTGAATATTTTGAGATGAGATGAGAGCTACAAAAATTAGTCACAAATAATAGTTCTTTTTTTAGGCCAAACCGCTAAACGGATAAGTGTTACCATGTGAAGGTATCACTACGCGCAAGTTGACCCCATAATGAACCACAAAAGCGAGAAATCAAAAAAGTTATTCTTATTTCCCAGTCTTATGATATGAGCAGCAGTCTCGACCTACAGAAAAGGGTAACTCTTTTTTCCTCAAAATTAATGATGGTCTAGAAAGCTTTTTGAAGATAGGGGGGGGGGCAATCGTGAGGATTTTTTAGTGAAAGTGCGTTACGTTAGCCAGCATTCCGATTTGTTTTTGGGAAGCTAATCCGTTTTTGGCAGGACTAAATCTTGGCACAATTCTATGCCCATCTAAAACCACTTGATTCAAAACCCACACTAGGAGGGGGAGGGGGGGGGGGGAAGGACAGAAAAATAGAAATACCTCGTTTCCAGAAGACATATTGTCTTATGCTAGAGGCATTAGAGGTAGCGTCCATCGTAATCACTCCTTCCACCTTCTTGTAATTTTAAGACCTTTGCGTAGGTCCTCATTTATGGAGCTCAAAATGCGCAAAACCCCCCAGAATACTTGATTTCTGAGAGCTCCTATCTGAAGGCGCAGACGACTCTTCACTGGGTGGGCGGAGCTTGATAAGGTGGGCGTGGCTTGACAGCGCTTTTGTGGGTTCCAGGTCCATTATCTCCATTCAGAGACAACATTGGAGGATCAGACCAACGCAGATGCCTCCTGAAGCTTACATCCAGGCTAGGTACTAATCGGAGGGGCTTAGATTCTGCCTGGACACTGCCTCTGATTACAGCAATGAGCTCACCTGTACTACCGAAATAGTTCCACATGCACACTTGCCATTCGGCCTCAGTCACGAGAGGATTTGCATACGAATTTGGTCAATCGAGTAGAGCGAAAAACTTTTTCGAAGGCGACTACCTGTGCGACAAATTTATCGATTCAACAGAATTCTATGTAGAAATGACTGTTAACTACAACCTCTCCGTGTCCACATCACATCCATGGACATTTATTCGGCTTTTCTTCAGGTTGGTTTCGCTACTCATCGTTAGTTAGTCCCAAAAATGCGTTTATAAGCTTTCCTCCACCATTTGATAGTTCGTTATAAGACAATGAATTCGCTGAAGGCAAGTTGACTAACATGAGCTGCAAATACACAGAATTTTATGTCTTCCACATGGCTACAGAATCTTTTTTTGGATGTGAGTTGTTCTTCCGAAGCTTCCCGCTTATTTTGGGAGTTTTCAACCCTGTACCAATCCTCCCCCCCCCCAAAAAAAAACAGGATTAAATACTCAGTTGATGATTAATGACTGATGAAAACAATTTTTCAAGAATTGTGCAGCTTTTTTTCCAGAGGAAGAGGTGAAGCTCTATGTTTTCTATATAATGCGAAAAAGTGTAGGAGTCTTGATAACTTTATGAGACAATCATAGACGACCAAAAAACGTGGTTTCATGCATTCCAAGAAACAAGAAATTTTAGGCAAAAATGCAGTTTTTAATGAGATAAAAGATTTTCAAGATTACGTGCTAATCGTGATAAATCGTGATTGTATAATAAATCTATAAGCGGGCTTGTGGTAAATTTTAGTTAGTAGGTGGGGGGGGGGGGGAGAGAGGAGAGGAAAAGCGAGATGGGTATCACTATGACGATACTGCATACAAACGTAAATGGTTTTCTTTGAAAAATATAGATCGTACTCCTGCATCAGATTTTGCTTTCAAGAAATTCTTTCTTATCAATATTTTGAGTTCCTTTTGAATATTTTGAAGTTGGGCATTTACCAATGTATTTCTAGATGGAAAGGATCGGTATGGAAGGCTGTTTGGATGCAATATGTGATTTGGCTAGCCTTATACTGGATCGTCAGTGCTTGTTATCGATTCGCAATGAATGACTGGCAAAAAATGTGAGTGCATTATTCAAAGAATAGAATTTATCTTCCTGCTCGGGACACAAGTTCGGTTCAGAGCTTTATTCTTTTTCAAAAAAGAGAAAGGCAAAAATCACGGTTTGTAAAAATTCAAAATCAATGCACAAAGGATATACGATTCAGCGTGATGACAGTCAAGTTGTTTTGCTGGTTGTTTCCAAAGGGCTGTCACAATTCTGTAATGCTTTTTCTTAAAAAAAAAGCGCTGAAGGTGACAAGAGGCGTGTTTGGGGTTTGGCGTTTTGGTAACTTTTTTAGAGACTGTATGTGTGATATTTTCGGGAATGAGTTATACTTCTACCCTACGCTCGGATCATATGTAGAAGGTGAATTCAAAAAAATTTTAAGGTTCTAAAATTTTTTCAGCATTGAAATATTAAAAAGGGTTTTGGCTTGAGCACATATAAAAGAACATAATGGAAGAAGTAGCACGAACAGACCAGATTCCGAAGCCAAAGTACCGTAATAACGGTTGCATCATCCCGACTATTTGCTCAAAAACCCATGAAACTGGCTTTTCCTCATAACTTCCCTTGTGACTATTTTTTACTCTATCTGAAATACGAAACAAGTGTTTAAAGTTTGCAACAGAACGTGATACATCGAGAATTCAGACTGTTGTAAAAATTTGTATGAAGTCCCATAGCAGCGAAAAATATAGTGGATTTTAGGTCTTCAGATGGAAATGCTCGAATCAGGGATTATGGATATAGTAGAAAATGAGCCATTAAGGAAAATTGATATAACTGATGCAATCGTGTCATTGAAGCCTATAGGTTTCGTAACTGAGCTTGGGGAGAGCGGGGGAAGGGGGGGGGAGGAGGAAGAGAGGAAGAAAGGGAATGAAGGTTAGCATGAGGTTTTCCTAACCACCCTGGTCCGGTAAGAAGAGAGAGCGGAATGCAATGAAGATGACTCACCCCGTAATGGATTCCGGTTTCAAATAGTTTTTTGCAAAATTGGCTAAGTTCCAGTCGTGCACTGAGAAAAATCTTGCTATATACCATTTGACAAGATAAAAATTAAAAAATGCATGTTTTCAATATTTTTAATGCTGTATTTTACAAGTATCGAGCAAGAGTTTTTCGTTTTGGATTGAAGTTGAAAAGAATGAATAGAGACTATATGTTATGCGTCTAATTATTTTTTCCTTCAAAAGAGCTTTGGAATCTAAAATTTTTCTCAGAACTCCACAAGAAAGGAAAACTACAGGAGTGTTTCTTGTATGTTGTTTCTACTGGTTTTATCTTTTGCATACAATGAAATTTAGAAGAGAGAACGTTCATTTTTTCGAGTTGGTTCAATAATTTTATCAAGAACAAAAACCTTTTTTTTTCATAAAAACGCCATTTATGAACAGTTTCGCCATAGACCATTTTTGAACAAAACCTCTCAAGTATTTATTTACTTATATTTACGTCCTTCTTTTGCTGCTTTTACAGACTTTCGTTACTAATTCTTTGACCTCTGATCTTTTGCACCAATACAGAGGTTGATTCAATCTTCTGTGTTCTGTTAATCCAAGTTGATCAAACATCAATAAATTTCACTAAATAAAATCGATTTAAGGAGCGGCAGGATTTGAAATTATGGACAACGTTAAATAAGAACGAATTCCGTTTTCCTTGGCTTCGAAGCAGAGACTCATTTTATAGGTACTTCACACATCTGGTTGAATTCACGAATGCACGACTCTCTTACGTTCCGCTCGACTTGATGTTGGGCTTCTTCGTTGCTGGTGTGCTAAATCGTTTTTGGTATCTGTTCAACATCATCGGATTCATGGACAAGTAAGCTGAAATGTTTATTTCATACTCTGAGTTGAAAAATGAGCGAAAAGTTTTTCTCAACAGTACCTAATTTTTAGCATTGCTCTAATGACAGCTTTGTATGTTCGTGGAACAGAAGAGCGTGCACGTCAGTACCGGAGAAATATTGTGCGTTATTGTCAGCTTACTCAGGTGAGAAGTTCTCAAAATAGCAAGAAACGATCTTAAATGTTAAAATAGGGTGAGGAGGGGAGAGTGGAGAGGGAGGAGGGCGGTGCTCCTTTGATTGGTCAGCAATCGGCTACCATTGGCCAAACTCTGAGAAGGGCTTGGTAAGAGCAGAGAGTCGGAATGTGCGCGCAGTAAGCTGCCATTATAGAGATCATTTCCCGCTCCCACAAAAAGAACAAATGCGCTAAAATTTTGCTCTAATCCTGTTTATTTTCGCAAAATATTATTCTACAGTCTACTTATTTTCTTAGGTTCTCGTCTTCCGCGACTTATCGATGCAATGCCGTTTGCGATTTCCAACGCTGGATACGGTAGCAGCGGCTGGTAAGCTTAAATTCTTGAATATTGGATTTCAATCTAATTCTGACCAAAACCTTGTATACCCTATAAATTGGCTTCTTACAGGTTTTATGATGCCACATGAGAAAGAGAATTTTGATGGCATACAGTACAACTACAATAAATACTTTCTCCCATTTAATTGGGCTTGGGCTCTGATCTACCGCGCCAGAAAGGAGGGCTTGATAGAAAGCGATTATTATGTCACCATACTTTCAGAGGCAGGTTTTGGTAATGACCAAATCAAAAAACAGCGGCTGTGCGTGGCGCTGTAACTGTCTGATTCTCCTCTTCCCAAGCACTCTTTCGGCGACTCAGAAGCGTCGCGACCGCATCGCACTGTGGCTGCAGCTTGTGCCTTGTCTGCGTCATGAACTTACGTGTAGCAAGTGATCTTGTTCGCAGGAAGTAAAAAAATTTCGCACGGATCTGGCATGGCTTTGTAACTACGACTGGGTTCCATTGCCAATGATTTATCCGACTATTGTTTGTCTAGCAGTTCATTCATATTTTCTTGTATGTGTGGTTGCTCGACAACATGTAGAAAATTCGAAATATGATATTTATATGGTAAGGGTTATTATTGTATTTACAAGCCTTTGTACCAAGGCTATAGATATCATTTAGATGGATCTAATATTCCCCTTTATGACAAGCATCCAATTTGTTCTATATATGGGTTGGCTCAAGGTAAGTTTCTTCACCCATCGAAAATAGGCTCCCGCCTGGACATCTGCCACGAATCAAACGCCTCTTTGAATTGCAACCTGTACCAGTCGTCCTTGTGGGCGGAGCCTATCGGTGGTACAAATCATCCTTCTGTGATTTTTTTCATTCAGGTAGCAGAAGCACTCCTTAATCCTTGGGGACTGGATGATGACGATTTTGAGACAAATACTCTTATCGACAGGAATTTAGCGGTAAGACTTTCAGAAGAAGTGTAGGGGGTGGGGAGGGTAAACTTATCTTTGTCATTTTCTTCCAGATGGGATTGAAAATCGTCGATGAAGGCTATGGAAGGACACCAGAGTTACGTAAGGATGTATTTTGGGACGATCAATGGGTACCGCTATACTCTGAAGAGAGCGCATGGGAGAAGAGATATAGCCATCGTGAGGGTTCGCTAAGTCAAGTGAAGTTAGTTATTGAATAGTGAAAAATTTTACAATGTTTTAACAAGCGCAACTCGTTGATTAAGTAATTTCATGAAGGCTCGGCTGATTATTGATTTTGTCTAGGCGTCAGTGAACCGCACCGCAGCCGCGTCTGCAGCGCGTTTTTGAGGAATTGGCGTCTTTCTATGTAATTCGACCCATTCTTTTGCATGAATCACTTATTTACAGACTGAATCCTTCCGTATCGCAAGTGCGCATGGTACCATTGCACGGAAATGCAAGTAGTTCGAATTTGCGACGAAGAATGAGTTCCATCCGGGAGACTATTGTTCCAGTCAAACCGTGGGTTGTCATAGACATACATAGAAGTGTATGGCTAGAAAAAGTAGACACAGACTTAGAAAGCTTCTTTTTTATTTCATAAACTTGTATTTGTATAGTCGATTTCCAGTCGTGACGACAGCCAGCTGCGTTCCGTGCAGCGTCGCATCCGCGACGCCTCTGAGTTGTGGTGCATAAGCACATTTGCTGTAACTGCTTGATATTGATTTTTTGCTTCAGGCTTCGGCGAGCGCACAGCTTCACACACGCAGCTGTGGCTGTCATCACGAACAGGAAATCGACCAAAGTTTATCTTCATTTATTTTGTCAAATTTTCATTTAGTGAAGAGATGTCCCGGCGGCCGTCATTAGCCCAATTTATTCGTTCTGCATCAAAGCTAAGCCTTTTCAGTGAAGGCAAACAGGTGCGCCACGATATTCTGCTTATTTTCCGTAAGAATTCAGAGTTGCTCGTGCCAATACCGTTCCAATGCTGTTCCAGCGCCGCACTAGCGGCGTGCCGGAACTGCGCCGGCGAGGTCGAATCGACTGATAGGCAGTTCGTCCATATGAGTTCCGACACGGCGCTGGAACGGCATTGGCACGCGGGCAACTCCAAATTTCTTCGCAACTCTATTCTTTCAAATTTCTGTTTAGATATCCAAAAACGCGTCCACACCGCACTTCCGCAGCCAAGGCAAGGAACCAGCGGTCCGCATGTTCAACGGCAATGACAACGATGAACCGCGCATCGTTACGGTACCTGGCAGTTTTCCAGTGTTCAACACATCCATGAGCGCTGATACACTGGGACATGATGGTGCAGTGTCGCCAACTTCGCCAACCTCGCCAACCAGTGGCGAGTTGTCGCGGGTGATGACCGACGACAGCGCTATGCAAATGTTCGCCATTGGAGATGGTGATTTACGTGTAGGTGAGCGGATTTGATCTCTTGGGTTGATTACCGTAGGTTAGGAATGGCTAGAAAGGAAAAGGATAGTCGGATCCAGCAATATTTAACCCATTGATGACGACGCCTAATTTTGCGTGGAGGCGCTGAGGGACGACGCGATTTTGCACAACATTTGCAGCGTGGGAAAGTTTTGTGATTATTTACGAAAAGTAAAGTGGTTTTGAAAACAGCTACAATCATATTCTTGGGGAAAGAAGTCTGCAGGTCCCAAGAGTGCAAAAAACTGGTAAAAATACTGAACTGTCGAAAAAATCTAGGCCTAAAAAGTGTATGATTTTGCAAAGAGTGTGGGCCACCGGTGGTCCACGTCGTCCCCGCCGACAGAAAGTGCGTGGGCCACCGGTGGTACACATCGTCGTCAATGGGTTAACTAGAAGTCCAATTTCTTCATAGATTAATTGCTGTAATGAGGAGTACGGACGTACAGTAAAGGTGATAGTTCCTCAAAAATTCACCGTACTTCACCGGAGTTCACCACAATCTGCGTCGCATCGCCATATCTTGCTTCAGAGAAGACGAACTTGGAATTAAGGACATCGTTCGACTCAATTCGGCGACGCGCATCTTCTGATATGAAATGCCCGTCTGGGAAGGGTAGGCACACAGATTTCATAGATTTTGCCTACGGTAGGCTCGGTGTGCAAAGAATAAACACACTGGAAAAGCTATCGTAGGCAAAAATCTAAGAAGGACCGTGAGATGTGATCTTCTACCGTGTACCTACCGTATGCAAACGTCTTCTGTATGTTGGATGTGTTGCAGAGCTGAGTCGAACGGTGCCCTCGGATTCAGGATTAATCCGCTTTAAATGACGATGAGGCAGTCCGACGCAGATTTCGGTAAATCCGGGTAAAATCCGGTGACTTCTTTCTGACGAATTATGAGCGGTATTGTATTTACAATTAGTAGCTCATGGGTTTTATTTTACATTTCTACATATCTACATTCTTGGACTATCTTGTTCGGGAATGGGTCGCGAACTTTTTAAAAGTCGCTTACATGAGTTATAAAGTTGTGTAAATGAATTGTTCAGCTGACGCCACGCACCTTCTTACGAAAAATTCTCCCCCCCCCCCTCCGAACGGAAATCCTGGGTATGCCATGATGATAAGGTATAATCAAAAGCAAAGAGTAAGCAAATGGTTCCCGTTATGCTCTGCTAGAACAACAATAGTGTTCTTGCATTGCTGTTACCCGTGCTAGCAATATCTGCATGTATTAGGTTGGCACATAAGTTTTGCAACTTTTCCCGTAACTTTTTTCCTATTCTATGTAGCAATCTCATTTTGTGGCATCATGTAGATCGTGATGTAAGCTGCAAGTCTGCTCAAACCGTTTGATTTTTGATAACATAGTACAAAAAATCTAAGCATTTTTTGAAAACTGCTGAAAATCGAGGTTTCACGATTTTTTGGCAAGCATGAAGCCCTACAACCTGATTCAAACATATGAAAAAGCAATTATAGGCAGCATGTAGCTGGAAGTTGGCACATTGGAATCAGTGAAAAAGAAATGAAATTTAAACACAAATTAAGGTGGGACGCCTTTGAGAAGTTGAACAAGTCAAATGCGTCAAGTTTTGAAGGCAATTTGTCGATAACTGAGCTGCGAAAAGTCAGAATTCGCTATAACTTTGCCCTATAGGGTAATCCTATGCGGTAAACACGAATATCACATTTATTTGTCGCTAAAATGAAATTCATCTTTTGATTTCACGAACGAGGCCTTTTCATGCGAAGCGGATCTCATTTTTGTGATCAGCATGTTAAATAAGCCCTATAGGCCAAGTTTCAGCAAAATCTGATGCATTCTAAAATTTTTCCCATAGTACCGTAAGCCTACCGTAATCCTCACATAAGATGGTAAAACTCGGCAAAAATGTGTGCATTAGAAGCTTACATCATTATATTGCCAAAAAATGAATGCGCTACGTTCAAATAGACAAAATTTATATAAATAGTTGCATTACTTATGTGCCAACTTAATAAAATAATCTCATGATGTGCAGGACTTGAAAATGATCTTTACGGTCATACAAGGGTTTCGGCATCATTCAAATAACTTTTAAATCTGCTGAATATTTATTTATCTATCAAGTCATTCAAACAAATGCGCTCAAAGTTGGGCCGTAACACCGATTTGACTCAAAGTATCAGTTATAGTTAGCCACCACCTCTCAAAATCTATTCTGACAACTAAATTATGCATTTTTCTTTTTACTTGTAACTTGTACCATTTCAGCTACGCGGTCGCTCGAGACTGATGCATCCGCAGAGAAATCGCCGATGTCCCCGAAGTCCGACGGAGGCCCAGAACAGGGCGACGAACAGAGATCAGCGGGAGACACAAGAAAGAAACCACTACTGAAGTTCTCGTTCAGCTCCTAAAGAAACCGGTCATACCTTTTTCGTTATTATCCATTGTTATCGACACTTGAATCACTCTCGTATGGTCAACATGGACTGTTTACTATGTCTGTTCCATACCGGCTTTCCTTGCATGATGATAACAGTGCATCTCAGTGAAGGCGTGAACTCTATTGTAATGGTGTGTCTTGCAGAAAAGTTCACTAACAATAAGTCTATCGCCTCTTAATTGCCATAGAAATGGAGTGCCAAAGTGTTTCTTAATGTTAGTTCAAAATAAACTTTAAGAAAATACCATAGTTAAACTATATCGAAGGTGTGGTACTCGCTAAAGCTAATTTGTGCAATTGCACAACTTCAAGTATGTTGACGATGGGGCGCAGTCTTCTAATGTTGGAAAGGTAAAGCTCAAATTATTTATCCTCCCACAACTGCGAGAAATTCTGAGGTCATAACGTAATGGTCTCCCCACTCCCTCCCTCCCTCCCCTCCCCCCCCCCTGCTTAAATTCCGATCAAACACTGGACAGATACATATGATAGCGAGGGAAGAACGTGATTTAGCACCATGAGCATGGCTAACTCCGCCCTTTGCTTTGAGCCCACCCACGAAAATTACCGACGCCAATTTACCGGAACTTACCGACTTACCGAAACTCACCGAACGTGATTTAGCACCATGAGCATGGCTAACTCCGCCCTTTGCTTTGAACCCACCCACGAAACTTACCGGCACTTGCGAGAGCGGTTGAGCGCCCGACAGTACAGAATGTAGATTGAAGACGGTGAAAAGTATTGTACTACCCTATCATCACCTTAGTCTAGTAGATTTTATGGTTGGTTTAGTGTAACTGCGGTGTCGACAAGGTTTGCGCGGGAACATTAGCCATAGAGGGACATTTCCAAGCTTTGCTCTTCATCGCTGGTTTCTACGCGCAAATATTGTCGGCACCGCAAGTGCAGTATATTGAAGGTCAGATATGTTGGGCCTGTATATCTGCTCATTAATTTTTGCATGTGCTTGCGAGTTACAAGTTTTCAAGATTTTAGGGCGATCGGAAGGCATCAGAAAGATTGAAACTTTGTAATCAGACCTGCCCTATACTTCCTAAAGGTCGAAAGTATTTTTTTAGGTAATTTGTTATGGTACAGTCGAGTAGATTTTCCGCTTAATATAGTGTGCTTGCACAGAAGGTGAAATGCGGTAAAATTTGCGCGTGAGGAATTAGCTTCGACTGTGACGCCGGCCAACTGCGCGCGCAAAATGCCGGCAGTGCTGGCGCAGCTACCAGTTCACGCGCAAATTTTACCGCATTTCATAAACTGTGCAAGCACACTATATTAAGCGGAAAATCTACTCGACTGTACATACTCTTGATAGTCCAAATCAAATGAGAAAAACTTTGAATTTTCTTGTCATTGCTATGAAAACATGACACTCCCGCAGAAAACTTCTTGCTCTGAGAAATTTGATAGTTTTGTTATTTGGCTATCCACTCACTTGGAGAAATTACCTAATCAGCTCTCATTTAGGTCACTAAACCATTTCGAACTGGACCGCATTTGTCGGTGTAAACTCCATAACTTACTCTTCAATCTTCTAGTGAATCCTTCACAAAACATAAAGTACAATTTTGATTTTTAGTGCATTTTACAAAACACCAAGTACATATCAAAATTCCAGTGTTTTCTGCATGCCACAAAAATCCGAAAATATTTATCTCACTGGCTCACGCAGAGCGAAGTGCACAAACTTGGACCTTCAGTCTCATTCAACCTGTTCTCCAGCAAAAGAACAGCATTCAGGGCTCGAAAATTGTAATCTGAAAGTGCGAAGGGAATTTTACATCTGCACTTGCACCTTGTACTAAAGTGCGCGCCATGGTCTGCTAGGTTCTACTTCAAGGACATAAAGATGGCCCTCACAATAGTATTTCGAACGTATGTCTACACCGGTCTCGGTGAATTTTTTAGAGTTTTTTTTGTGGTAGTTTCCATCTTCTACCTATTCATAAAGACTATATTAAAGATACTCGTATGTTTGTAACAACTTTTTTCTCACGACCACCAATTTCCATAGATATATTATAGACATGCATTAAAAGCGTTTTTTGGGGAATCCCCTTTTTTACGTTTTGAGGCCCGGGAAGTGAAATTTTCAAAAAAAAAAAAAGAATGACATATGTGCGATATAACTCCACTTGCGTTAGCTTGATTTTTTGCTTAACTATTTTGATTATATTCCGAATATTGGTCAGTTATTTTAATATCATAAACAAAATCGAACTTTCTCACGTTGATTACAAAATAATAAGACTCTTTGAAAATCAGTTGGTCTGACAGATATGTAAAAAAAGTACCAAAGCAATATTTTGAATTCACCCTAATTTTTATCCCACTGCTTACTTTTGCTTACTTTTCTTACTATGGTGAAATTAAAGGGGTGAGTGCGGAGAGAGGGGGGGGGGGGGGGAGGAGGGAAGGAGAACAGAAGGAGAAAGCAACTATCGAACTAGGAAATATCGAAAGAGAAAAAATTTTGAATTTTTTTAGAGTTTTCTTTTTTGGAGACAACTTTCTCAAAAATCGACAAGAAAAATATTCCTAAAGCTTCTATCATTTGAATTGCGTACACTTATTTTCCTTATTGAAGCTATGAAGTAAAAATTTTTTGGTTGAAAAACAAGTAATTCTTGTATTCCACTTCATTAGAACTAGACACTTTTTACCATTTTCTGAACGTTAATTTTGATAGTTCCGGTCAGTGTGCGTCGTTCAATTCCTACATGTTATTAGAAAATGTCAGAATTTTTTAAATCTTATTTTCGTCATCCTCAATTGTATAGTCTACGCTTATTCATATTATCAGCTATTTGCTGCGAATGAACTTCTAGGTCACTGAAGCGGATCAACACTGCTGATGTATGCGATAAAATGTGTTAGCAAACTAGTTCTAGCACATTCTATGCCCAAAACCAGATTGTAGAAAGTTAATAGGGGCAAGATTTGGAGGGCAAAGTCTGTCCGACTGCGAATAATTGCACTCAAGCTGTACAAAAGAAATTTCACAAACGATAGTTCCTGGTCTTTCATAAAGCATAGCGAAGAGTACAAATCATCACATGGTTTTCAATAAATAAAGTTTATTCTCTCTGTAGGCTTAGTGTCGTGAATAGCTATGTGAGCAACAAAAGACCATCTTATTATAATTCTGAATACCATTACGCACTTAATTTCATCGTCTGTCGGTATTCGTGTATCCTCATTTAGCAATCACTGTTTTGTCTGAAAAAATAATTAAGAATTGTTTGAATCTTATTTCAATGGCAGCACTATCCGTCAGATGCACCCTATCATGGAAGAATTCCTCTATTTTTCCTTCCATTGAATTCGTATCAGACAGATTTTAGTTCTTTCTGTTGAGTCATATATCGCTTCTATGGTGCTCGCTGATTTTCTTTTACATTTGTCAAACGTCTCAAGAAATTTCCAAAAGCGCTAAATAAAAAATTGTAAAATTGTGAGGATGAATGGGTAAAAGGGGAAGAGGGGGAAGTGAGCGAAAGTACTTGATTTCTATTAGAGTACTCATGTTCACATGATTGATCACTTCTGACAATAATTGACATTGTACTTTGATTTAATCTACTCGATTTTGTTCTTATATAGGCGAAAAGGGGAAAGGGCTATTAGAAAGCGAACTGTACTTTTTTTTCGGCTGGATCACACCTTTTTTTGCTCTTTTCTTTCAAACTTCCTCATGATTTTTTTTGCATTTTGAGAAAAAAGCTGGTTGTTATAACTTTGACTTCAAGTTGTTGAAGAGAATCTCACAAAGGCTTGCTGATCTGAAAATAATTTGTTCAAAAATATTTTCATTTGGACAAAGCACATCAATCGCTGTGTATCACGTGTCGTAGAATTCTGAACTGAATTCATTTTTTTTTGATTTTCTAATTCTTTCAAAAATTTTGCAGCTGCCTAAAAACGGCATAACAAAATTGCCTTAATTTGCTACAGATAACTCCAAATAACGCCATACAATGTAAGGACTATTATATAAGACGCTTGCAATGGTATCCATGAGGTGCCGAATTTTGCTGGCAACATTTGCGCGTGACCGAATTGCTTCGCCTGTATTGCGGACAAATTGCGTCGGCAAAAGCCATAGAGTGCATTTTTCTGACATTAGCCGCCCACTGGCAATTTATTCACATGCAGATCTTGTCGGCAAATGAGGACAGTATATTAAGTGTCCAATTTACTAATCTATAGGTTTAGCTAAACTACTTATTCTATCATCTGCCATATTTCACAGATTTAGTGGAAATCCGAGGATAAATTGACGATATGGTTTATAAGGTTATTTACAAACTAGTAATTCCGTTTTTTGTAAACTTTAGTACCTTTGTTATACCTACTCATGGATCTGCAAGGATTAGAGCCCAAAATCTTGCTTTCTGGGTACTTAGAAGCCAATTTGACAACGATTTGCCCCTGCGCCATACACCCGCAGAACCTCTGGGGTCCTCAAATTCCATTCCCTATCCATGTGAAAGTACTCAGTCAAAGTTTTTATTCTTTGTCTGTCATGTCTACCAACGCTACCAGATTTCCCGTCGTAATTCCCATGGCTATCTAACCACAAAAAGTTCCCAGTACCTGTTTTGGCCCATGAAAAACGCCACGTGCGACATTCGCTGGCTGGCTAATGACGTTCTGATCAACGAGCCAGCCACCATGTCGCTGCTGTGGTGGAAAAATCCGGTTCTGGTTTTCCCACAGTCTTTGATGTTCGTTCAGCAAAACATCTTCGTCTGGTTTCTCATAAAAGGCTTTTCAAAGCTATCTGCTCTCACTTTCCTATCGAATTTTTCTCGCCGCTTCGCTAGTTAATTGCTGACATTGGGCGATGTTGTAAACCACACAAGGAAGTGTGTAAAATCTCGTAGGTTAATGCAGGTGGTGTGGTAAAATCGCACCCATTGTGTAACCCACAAAAAGGTTAAAGAAACCCAAAGACACTTTACACTTACCTTCCATTCATGTTACCATTAGAAACCTGGTTCCTAGCTTGAAGCCCATGGTACCGCGAAGGTACCGTAATCCTCAAAGATTGAGCTCCTAGCTTTTCCCTC